CTTGTGTACTAGCATGGAAGCTGTCATGTGCATGACGGTGAACGCGGCCGGTATACCTTCATGTATGATCTAGTGCAGCACCCCATATGAATGCCAGTAGATGTGCTGGTCAATATAATTTCGAACAAGTAGCTGAGTCACACATGTATATATGTGCAAAGCTGACAGGCCGGCCGCGCCGGATTCTCATGCATGTGCCAGATCTATAAATATGATCAATTTGAAGTCGAAATCGCCTTTGCATGCAATGTATCGATCGCACATACAATGATATGTAATATGGTGGACCGGGCAAACGCGAGATCGGGAGCTTGACGTGGCGCGGGACTCGACATATCGCATCTATCATGCAGCTGATTTGCAGCTTCTTGCTCCAGTGGCCAATTATAAGGTTGCAAGGGTCCAGAAGTGAGTCCGAAAATTTACGCGCTGGCATGCATGGCGGCTTTGCTATAGTTAGTGACCAGTCGGTAATGGGTTGGATCATCCGATCGCAAACGTTTTTCACACTGACGGTATAATTCGAGTCGATCTCGCTGATAGAAATTATAGCTTCGTCGTTTTGATCAGAGTCTACCCTAGATTCCAACTGCTTAAATCGTTTCGATTTGGCAGGCTTTCCGACTTCTTTCGATGACCGCACCATCAAGCCCTCTATGCTTCCTTTTGACGACGGCCTCAAGTCTAAATGTTGTTTGGATGCGCCCTTCGACAGTTGCCATACTAATGTATGACAGCGTGACATCAAATTTTACCCTTACGCTCCAGGCGTCTTACTGAGCTCTCCCACGAATGAACATCCTGCGAATTCAAGGAGGTGGGATCCTCCCAACTCCTTCCTTGGCACCAATTTCGCTACCTTACACCTCAAGGGCTGCAACGGGCAAATGACGAGTGACTCGCACAAAAAGACAATGCCCCCGCTTTACAGGCACCTTGCAATGCGGCCTCGTAACTTGCCCGTACAACGATCGCACGTCAAGTCTCAACCCGCGCCTCCGTTCCCCCTTTTACTTTTCCGGCCCCGCTTACCCCTCCTCCCCTAAACAAGGCACGTAGTCCGCCTTCATTTCCTCCACCATTCCCCCGTTATCCCAACGCCCTTCTGCCGCCTTCGCTTCTTCAGCCCCAACCCCCAAGAAAAACTTCAAGGCACGTCCTCCGCCTTCAGTTCCTCGCCCATCCCCACAACACTCAAAGGCCTTTCTTCCGCCTTCACTTCTTCCGCCCCTCCCCAACCTCAAAAACCCACTTCAAGGCACGTCTTCCGCCTTCATTTCCGGCTTGGCCTCCCCCGCCTGCGCGCGCTGGATCTCCGCCTGCTCCGTATCCCACCGCTTGATCCTCCCCGCCAGATAGTTCGCGAGCGGCTGCCCCACGAAGATCTGCATCAGCTGCCCGATCACGCACGGGACGGCGAGGATCCCCTGCGTCGCGGCGTCCGACGTGATGAACGTGATGACCGAAACCGCGACCGGCGCGCTCTTCTGGCTCGCCATGATCAGCACCGACACGCCCTCGAACGGCGGGACGCGCATTCCGTACAGCACGAGCGCATTAAATAGTAGATAGATAAAATGGATGAGCGTCGTTGCGACGATAACCAGCAACACGTCGCCGAACTTGGCGTTGACCAGGATCTCCCGCCCGCTCGAGATCGTCTGCCAGATAATGACCGCGAGGATGGTGTTGCTGAACAGCGACAGCGCGGTTTTATGCGCGCGCACGAAGGGGAGCACGCCGGGGCAGTACTCGCGCAGGGCCTTCCCGACAACGGTGGGTACCGTGAACGAGAGGAGCAGCTTCAGGAACAGGTCCAGGTAGCTGATGTTCAGGTTCTCGACGCCGTGTTTCGCGCCGGTCAGCACGGCGCGCAGCCAGAGCGGGATGAGGACCACGCCCAGAATGTTGGTGCCGACCGTTAGAAAGATGGCCAGCGCCACGTTGCCCTGCGGTGAAAGAGGCGGGCGGGTAAAATTGCTGTAAGGTTGATGCATGGCTTAAAAGGATTTTATTTGTTGGGGGGTTGGTTCATTTCGAAGGATGGCGAGCGCCAGGAAGATGGCGAGGGCAACGTTGCCCTGCAAAAAGGGGTGGGGATTTTTCTTGTAACGTTCCCGATTGTCTTACGGAGGGTGGCATACAATTTGGAGATGGCCAGTGCCATATTGCTCAGTGGGGAAAGAACGGGGGGGCGGGTGGCTTAAGTCTTCAGGTTTCGAAAGGCTGGCCTGCGGAGAAAGAGGAGGGGGCCAGGTTCGAAGTCAGGATCTTCGAAAAGTGCCTTCACGAGGATACGGATAGCAGTGGAAGCGCTTTCCAGGCTTTCTTTGTGTGGTGAATCATGTCGAAAGATGGCCAGCGCTGTTGCCCTACGGGAAACAGAAGGGGGCCCGGTTTCGAAAAGCTGGTTTTCGGTAGAAGAGATAGCAGTGAGAGCGACATCCAGGCACGTTAGGGGTGGTTGCTCATGTCGATCAAGTTCTGAACATGTTGAGGGGTGCCTACGAGAAACGAGCAGCCACTGGGAGCACCAAAAGGTTCTGCCGAGGGAGTGTAAATGGCATCAAAGACCAGACCGGCCGGTTTGCCTACGAGCTGCAGTCCGGCCAAGTCGCCCGCATCGTTTGAACGGTCGACAGCAGCGAACCCTTCTCGTCAAGGAAGATATTGGCAGCATTGCACATCTCGGGCAGCTTGAACTCGGACCCAACATGTTGCACGGCCAGTCTGCAATTCATTACAGCGAAGTTTACGGAATTCAACAAAATACCATCCTCCCCGCCTTTGTGGGAACTATCGAATACTCCATCGAAAACAACATCTTGAGTGCGAGGTTAAGGGGCCCGAGCATGTGAGACACTCTGATGTCAGCAGGTCCGGCAGGAAACCATCGATACATAATATTATTATCCAGGAAGTTGACACGAAGCCAGGCCGACCATCGCAAGACAAGAATGAGTCTCACACTGTTTGACGTCAGAGCCTCCTCCCTGTGCTCACCTTGGCTGACGTCACTAGGGAGACGCCCACCCCGAGCGTGGTCGGCATCATGCAGAAGATCGCGAGCCCCGTCGCAAATTCCCGGGGGCTGAACGGCAGGTCCCGGACGCCGTACGCGAGGAGCGGGGTCAGCGCGACGATCGAGAGGAAGCCGAACACCGTACCGAAGATGGTGCGCCGCGTGAGCGACTTTTTGAGCTCGTCGGTGCGGAGGGTCAGCCCCGAGATGAAGAAGACGATGCAGATGCAGACAAAGGTGATGACGTGCACGCCCGCCACCTGCGTCGGATTGCATCAAATTGAAACTTTACCACATCCAAACGTATTGAGGAATCCTAAAAGGGGAGATCAGTCGAAGTATGCGTGTGTAGCGACTGTTTGAGCGCGTGAGGGGAGAGGGCAAGGCCCGAGATGAAGAAGACGATGCATTAGAGATGAAGGCGACGACGTGCAAAAGCCCGCCACCTGCGTTGGATTGAAGTATGTTCAAGTTTATCGAGAGAGGCTGGGAACGAAGGACGGAGAAAGGATCGTACATGCGCGACTTTTAGGGATTGTTGGTGGGGAGCATTAAGCTCGAGATGACGACAATGCAGATGCAGATGAAGAAAATGACACCAGCGTCACAATGGAGAAGTCGAAACGAGATCCTGAAGGTTGCCCGCGATCGGGGCTCCAATGCGTAGACGAGTCCTTGGGCTCAGCGGTTTGGAAGGGTCAGTAGGATAGGGACAAGCGGAGGAAGGTGAATATGCAAGTCTGCCTTTAAAGCGCTTGGATTATGACGATTCTATCAATTGAGAATTAGAGCGGACCATACACCGTCATGTGGCCGCAGACAGACAGGCTGCGAACCAGCAGTCTGGAGAAGTAAGTTTCAGCTGCGGACTTTGACTTGGGAAGGTTTTCGCTTTTCCTTTTGAGCTGGGGCAGACGTATGGTGTGCAACGTGAGGCTATTGAAAGCTGGCTGCGAGAAGCATTGCCATAAAGGTACTATGGACTGAATATGACGTGACACGCGAAACAGAGGACGAGATTCGAAATAGATCCATTCAACCGTGCAGTCAAGTTACCATCTTGAGATACCCAAGAGCATTGAAAGGCGGGACTTTCCGGATCTAAAATGAGCATGTTCGCCCAAGCCAAAGGGCAAGCCTGTCAAAGAAGTATATATCAGGCTTCCTAGGCGAATGCGACCGCTAAATCCTAAGTGATGCCCCCATTTTCAAACAGTCACCCTGCATCTAACCTGATGACTCTGCAAAAGGGCGTTTTGGAACATTCAAGACAAGGGTTTCAGAGAATTTCCTCACCTCTGGCTCCAAAACTTTTTCGCCTGGTAGGGGCCATGCGAGGGCCACCAGCAGCGCCACAAAGAAAGCGAAGGGCAGGTAGTTCTTCAAAAGGGATGCCCTGCAGATCCAACCAAACTCAGCTTTCAGTGGAATGCGTATGCTTCTAGTCCTGGGAGAATCCTTAGGTAAACCCGCGAGTTCAAGCCAGGAGGCATTCTTCCTGACACAAGGGAAGCTTTCCAGCCCCTCATAGGAAATTACAAGACTAAGTTTGTCCCAGCAACAGCTCCAAATGAGTTTCCGCCAGGAGTGTGGCACATGATGGCTGGTTCCTCAGCACGAACAGAAGCCAAACAGAACAGCAAAATGCAATGCAAAACGAAGAATGTTAGTCGATGTAAAAGGAAGACGGTCGCAGCTCAATAGCCATGAGGTCGATCATTTCCTTGGTCCTGCACTTAGGATTCAGCACAACATGTGCCCCACCAAACTCACCTTAAGCCTTCCAAAATGATCTTCCATTCCGGCTTCTCGGTGGCCATTGTGCAATGCCCAAAAAGGAAGACTCCACTTCACCAGCTTGGCTCAGGGCAGGGCTCAAAGGCAACACCAAATGTAAAGCTCGAGCTGCTTTTACTACACACTTATGATTGGGAGCTGGCAAACGTACATTATAGCTGATACAAAGAAGAAAGATGACGTCTGCTGCGACCTGCATGGGTCACTAAGCTTCATGTGATCTCAATCCCCAGCTGACAATCATTCTGAGGCCCTGCGAGTGACTCACAAGCTGCAAGCTATAGCCTTTAAGGAGGCTCCTACCGAGCTGCTTTCCGCCCTTTTTGCTTGCTGAGCCTTTCTAAATTCTTCTGCTGAGATGCACTGTACCTGGACCCGCTAGGCTGCCACGACCGCGCACGCGGTCCCTTGTATGCGCCTGAAAAATGACGACATTGCTTTTGGTGTCATAAACTTATACACTAAGACGTGAGGCTTCAACAATGACCCTGTTCTTTACTGGCTCGGCATGTGTCAACATAAACCACGTGCATCATGTGGCGGATCAGTTGTAAAGCTTCAAGCTTGCCGCCGCCAACCAGCATACGGTAAGCCTGAAGGACTCGGGCCGCCATGACGGTTTGGCTTGCAAATGACGGGCCCCGGTCAGGTCGTGCAGGCCCATGTATACTGAAGCAACCCCAGCTGGTAGCTACATGTGCAATCAGATCCGTTTTCACCTTTTTGCATCGCATGTAGAGGCGGGATATGATCGGAAGCCGTCATGCAGATTAGAGATTGCTTGATAGAATGTTCCTAACAGCTTTGACACCTTTCATCATCCAAGTCAGGCTTCACTGTGTACGTATCAAAACGAAGCAAATCTGCCAGCCCTGGTCCAAAAGTTCAAGGAGCAACAACCAATTGCACTGGGGCCACGCTTTGGCTACGCTTGCGGTTCGCTGTCAAGTGAGTATGTGAACCTCTGGTCAGATGAGCCGACTCAATCGACCTAGACATTGACTTGAAGTAGAAAAGGCAAAGCCGCGTGCATATCTGGAGCCATGCAGATTGTGTTACAGGGTCCAGAAAGCAAGAATCACTAATCCCTACTCACTCGGGGGCCACGCATCAAAGCAATCGCACCCCCTTGCGAAGAATCTTTTTCGACCTTTCGCTAGTACCGGCTTTGGGGCGCTTTATCCCAGGTGTCAAAGCGGATGCCACAGCCTCATCTAAAAGCGTATCTTCTAAGTCCTCTTCCGCTCTCCATCGGGCTCTCCCACCGTTGCGCGAGAAAGCTGGTGTGTGGCCTGCATTCGTCATTGTTGGCGGTTTGGGCAGTTGAAAGCTCGGAGAAGCTGGAATGTTCCTGCAGAAAATGAAGGAACTTAAAATTTAGCGTACCGATGTAGCAACTTCATCCCAATACGCATCAGTTTCTCTTCAAGAGAGTCTTTTAAGAGACGTTTCACGCAGTGGAGACGACCTGTGAGCCAGAAACGACAAATCCTTTGAAATCTGTAGTGGTACACACCAGCCTTCTGAAAATGTGCGGACAGCCAGTTGCTTCAAAGAATCCCTCGGGATCCCGTCAGCAAACTCGTGCTCTAGTACGGCTTGGTCCGAATAGTTCAATTCCGGAGATGCGAACACGTGTCCAGTTCTCCTTCGGTTACAAACTCTGAAGACTCACTCTGTCATGTCCACATCGTCTGACAAAGTCCCCCTAGGCGGCGGTCCTAACCCTCCCCCGGCCCAAGCTCCCTCTTCATTCCCATAGTCCTGGCCCGTCGATCGGACCCCCAGGCCGTCAGCCAATTTATCTTCAGTCCCGTTCCCGTCCTCTTCCCCCTCCGCAAGGTCTCCGTTTGCTCGGAACGATGCGACCTTCTTTGGAGCAGGCGTCGGCTGGCGCCCACGTTTCAGCCCGGCCCCGGCGCTTATGGGGCTCGTAAACGGCCCCCCCGCTGCCAGGCCCGGACCGTCCGCCATTCCCCACTTCGCAAACAGCCCTTCTCCCGACCTGCCCGATGCGTTCCCAAACGCGCCCGCCTTTTCCGCTCCGTTCACCGGGCCGTTACTTGCCCCTATCCGATATCCATACCCGCCAGCTTCGTCTCCGTTCTCTGCAGGCCCATTCGCGTCTGGTGTGAATCGGCCCAGGGGAGAGTAGAACTGGAGCCCGTCCTCCTCTGCCCCGGGCGTATTCGCACCGCCCTGCTCTGCCGCGGCCCCGGCTCCCCCCACCTCGTCGTAGAGCAGCTTTCGAGGCCGCGGGCTGTATTCTGCATCCCCATCGGCAGTCCATTTCTCCGTCGGTTCATCTACCGGTCCCTCTTCCGCACCATTCTCTGAACGTCCGTTCGCTTCTTTCCCCAGCGCGGACGGCCCGTTCGGGGCAGTCTGCGGACGCAGCAATGATGACGTCATCGGCCGACCGGGGGGCACGTTGGCGAGGCGGGCTTGTCTGGCCGGCAGTTGCGGAAAGATCGGGCTCTGAGGGGCTGCCGAGATGGCGGGAAGGGCCGGGGGGAAAGCGGGCGCTCGATCGACGTCCATGGAAGGAGGGGGAGGCTCCGGGTGGGCGAGCTGGTGCTCCAGAAGACGGCGCTCTGCCTCTGGCAGCAACTGGTAGCAGGCCTCCTGAACAAGGGAAGGGGTGGGGCGTTTGAGAATGGTTGAGGACGAAGGAGAGCGCAACGTCGAACCGGTTCCTTGCAGCTGCAGCTGGCGCGATGTTTTGCACCCAGAGGTTGGAAGCATAGGCTGTAAACGAAGTTGTGGCACAAAGCTGGACTGAGGTCAGTGACGTCATCACACTTGGGCGCCGACCTGCTGTCTTCGGGAACGGCCACCAAACAGGCGAGCACATTGCTAAAGTCTGCTCGCAGAAAGGGCCGTGAAAGACTGACAACACGTTTGCTAGAGCAAGTTGCACACGGCAACTGTTGTTTTTGCAGAGCTCAGTGCGTTCAGGACGCAAAACCTGTGACACGGTCATGGACAACAGAGCTGCAACACCCCTTTTTGATTTTCGTCTTACCACGATGTTCGTCCGCTGCTGGCGCGCCAGTGCGGCTCGCCTCCTCTTCGCCTCGTCTCCCCCTTCCCACGCATCCTCCAAGCGGCTCACGTCCCTGTGCCGAATCATCGCCTCCGCATACCGACACCGCAGCAGATAGTACACCACCAGATGGCTGCCCGCCGCGCCTCCCGGGTCCCGTTCCGCGCACTGAATCAGCGCGGTCTCCATGGGGCCCTCTTCTTCGGGGGCCCACGGCAGCTCGACCATCGCTCGCAGCACACCCCCCCTCGCCGAAAAGTTCACGAGCTCGGTCACGAGCACCGCCAGCTCTTCCCCCAAGTCTCGTTCTTCGTCTGAATCTTCTAGGGGTTCCGCGGGCTGGGCAATGCTGGCATGGACGGCTAGAGATTCCCGGAGAGCCGCCCAGTGGTTGTGTTGAAAGAGGTACGCTTCGGAGAGCGGCCCGCACGCGAGCGCGGCGCGAAGGGCGGTCACGGCCTCCTCGAGGGGGAGGGGGGCTGGGGAGGGCGATAGGAGGCGGCCGCTGGCGCGCAGTGCGGTGAGGGCCTCCTGGGGTGCGCCACGTTCTAGGAGGACTTGGGGGATGCGGGGGTGGAGCTTGGGGCCGGCGATCTGGGGTAGCAGCTGACAGGCCTCCTGCGAAGTTCGACTCTCCAGATAATCAGATGGGCGTTGTGAAATTTTGATAAGGTTCCCTCGAAGACCGGGGTCCTGGGTAACACGACACATCCAAGGCTGGCAGAACAGAGTGCAGTGCGAGGCTCAATGAGAGGCTGACACGTGTGGACCTCACTGCGAAAGTTGGGAGAATAAGCTCAGGCGTCGCCCAGGGCCTGTTCTGGCGCACATGTCTTAGACGCCACAACTCATCAAGCTTAGGAGATTCACCTGCAGGGCCTCCAGAGCATCGTTGTCCAGTAGGAAGAAGAGGAGGCACTCGATGCGGAAGAAGTCCGGAAGATGGAACGCAGTGCAGTAGTCGCACACCACTGCCTGCCACTCCTCGGCCGGACGGCCCCAGAAACGGTCGTACAAGTAGTACAGAAACTGGAGTGAGCTGAGGGTCAAGGAACGTACGCAAGCACCTTTGAACGGCCCTCTTTCGAGAATGACGCTGATTCAGAGCGGCAAACCGGGCGTGGCTTCCAAAAAGAGTGTGTTTGCCATTCTTTGAAGATACATCATGCGAGCATGTGCGGAACCCTGAGACAGTGCCCAAGGCGCGTAGAACAAAAGGGCTGTTGACTATAACGCAAACAGGTGATGCTGTACCAGTCCTTTCAGAAGGAACGTTCAGCAACGCGTCAAACTTTAGGATGACAAGCGCACGAAGCAGGATACAATGGCTTTCTTGGCCAGGAACTCTGATGCCCAGCCCCGAAGGAACAGCAGGTCCACCGCCCCCCTGACTCTGCTCGGGGGATACAGCTGTCCCCCCTCGCGCCCCTCAATCTCCATCCCAGTCCGCCCACTGGACTCCGGACTCCGCGCGCCCTCCTGCGCCAAACTATCCAACCACAATGCCGGCTCAGACCTCTCCTCTTTATCGCTTTCCCCCAACCCAAGGTGCTCCAGAGCGTCCTCCACGAACAGCGTTCCTGCCTCATGGGGGGTCTCCTCAACAGGCGTTTGCTGCCCCTCGAGATCGGTTTCGAGAGTTGTTTGCGTCCCGGGGGTCGTTGGCTCAGCTCCGATCGGCCAGTGCCGCGCAGCCGCTGCGTCTTTTCGTCTTTGGAACGCAGCGGCCCAAATCGCGGGGGTGGCGTGATGCGGGCGGAGGCGCTCCAACCACCGCTGCTGGGAGCACCAGGAGAAGACCTCGACATGCTGCACAAAGAGAGGGGAGCGATGATATTGACCAGTGGGTTGCAGACAGACGCGTCAGCATGAAACCTTGGTAGGTAATTGGGGCGAACAGGGGGAATGAACAGGTCGAGTGCAACACGGACCAGACTTTCACCCCTCAGTTTGCTGGTTTTCAAAGTGAGGGCCCAGCATAAAACCGGGGCCATGGAACGAGCTGATTCGATGTTCAGCCGCATCGCCCACCGAAACAAAGCATCCTAGTCGGGCAACATAGAGACGACGCAAAGTACAAGGATTCAAAAGGTCGACAATTTGAGACGGGGCCAGGCGGGGGCTTGCCTGGATAGCCTTGAGCAGCGCCTCCTTGAGATCCTGCAGCCGCTGCTGTGCCGGACTGGCGCCGTCTGCGATGGAGGCCAGGAGTGCGTCGAGGACATGCGAGAGGCCGCGGAGCCGACCGGCGACGCCGCTGAGGTCAGCATTCTGCTTCTCCGAGTGGTCGGCATCTGAAGTGTGTGTTCAAGGATAAAAACAACGAGCTGAGGCCTTGCAATCTTTGGACATCGAGCGCTTCAGATGTCAACTTTGCAACACTTTCAGAATGAGAAGAAGGTATTGCATTCTTGATGCAGGGGACCAGGGGTAGAAAAGAATTGCGGCAGTTGGACTAAGAAGCAGTAGCTACGGAAAAGCATGCAGCGGGAATGCAGGATACAAATATCCCGCAGCTCTTGGAACAGTGTGCGCAGGGTCCGCTCGGCCCAGCTCTGAACGATGGACCCGTCGAGCAGCTTCGTCTCGATGGCGTCGCTGGAAACCACCGATGTGTCCATGCAGACCTCAGTGACGTCTGGGCAGTGATACATAGTCAAGGAAAGTATCGAAGAGCCAATGCTGGAGACAATATATTCGGCAGAAAGCAACGATCAGTGCAGTCAGTAGCTCATTTGCGTCTCTTGCTTTTTGGTCCAAACAGACAGAGAGTGACCAGATTGCTTCACTTGGCGAATCCTTCCTACTCTGTATCGAAAGAACGAGACGCTGGCCCTAAGGCAGGTGGGGACCAAAATTGATCCCAGCATTCAGTCATACAGTTGCTGACTGAACGGCGTTCTTCATGAGCGACCGCGACTTGAAGGCATCTTGTCCGAGGATACAGTGCGACACCAGGGCGGCCAGTCCATTTTCCAGCGCCACGTCAAACAGCGCATGCAGCCGCGCCGCCTCCTCCGCTCCATAACCCCTCCCCACTGCTGCACCGTCCCTGGAGATCAATCCTGCCGCAACACATTGGGCGTACAAACCGCCTCCCTCTGAAGTCCGAGCTTCATTGCACAGCTGAATGGGGTCGATAGACGCCAAGCTCTGGAGGACCTGGAGCACAAAGAAAGTTGAGACGCTAATGCATTAGCGAAGCTAAAATGTTTAGGGAGTTCAAGGGGGGGTGGAACGTTCTTTGCGCATTGTCAGTGTGTCTGAGCGGAAGCAGTTATTACTGGACTTGCGGAGGTGGCACGAGGCGAGAAGCTGTAGGAAGCAGACGGAAGCCAAGAAAGTTTGGAGCTTGGATTCAAACTGAGCCGCTTGTACAAGATCGAACAGATGCAGAGTCAGGGAATCGTTATGAGCACCATTATGGGAGTACTGCAGAATTGCAACCGTCAGTTGCTATCAGGGCTTTGTGCATTAGTGCGACCTCGGCAGGCTTCACTTTAGACGTGACAAAGATGCAGTGTCAGTAAGTAGCATACTGTATGTCTGGGATTATGCAAAGGTACTGATCCTATCTTAAAGTGCAGGAAGTGATCTGGAGCCTGGTCAGGGGACTGGCAAATGTAACATAAAACTGTTGAGTTTCTCATGTTCGCCGGAGGTAATGGCCCGGACTTCGTTAGGTGCTGCTTGCGGTTGCCGTCTTTGAACTACCAGCTCCTCAAGTGAAAAAAGAAAAGACACATGAAAGTTGGCCACATTTCAAGAGAGTGCTGCTCTTTGAGCGCCCTGCATGGAAGCACAAAACGAGAATGCCGGGATCCACAAGCAGACATAGCTCACCTTCTCCCTTCTGGTGTCCCCCATGGTCTCTCTGAGCAGGGGGCCTAGCACCGATACAAAGCCACAGATTATCGCCGAAGCGAGCACGTGTAGAGCGTCCTTGCCGGTATGGACCTCTTTGATGCTCTGCCAGAGACTAGTAAAATCCGAGCATGTTGCGCAACTTCCTAGACAACCACTCAAGCGAGTCAAAAGTTTGATCAGGTGGTTTCTGCTGTTAGCACCAATCTGCTCTGGCGTTTAACATCCAGAATGTCAATGAGACCCGTGCATTCGCCCTGGTAGAGTTAGCATTTTACGCCCTCCCCATGAAAGGGGAAAGGACCGCTTGCATGGTAAGCGGTGGTCCACCTTCGAGTCGCCTTTCCTGCTGGATGTTCGATGACCTGAAGACTGGTGCCACCCTCCTAGAGCCTAGAGGCCACCCTTCCCCACCTTTTTAAGATCAGCAGATTCCTTTTCCACTTCACCTTCAAGAGAACTGAGCTGCTGTGTGCAGAGCTCGGTTCAACTGTTCAACTTCAAGTTCAACTTCAAGCCGGCGGGTGGTGGTCAAGCAGCACGGTACACTGTGCAGCTAAGAGCTGCGAGTCCGTTGTTGAGGTTGGGTCACCGTCGTATACGGCCCCGTCCCAATAATTCTCAAGAAAGATAATAGTAAGCCAAGATAATAGTAAGCTCCGACTAACACTAAAAACCCTAACCTATAAGGAAACACCCGCTCCGCACCCGTACCCACCCTAACCACCACCCTAACCCTACCCGTCACAGTGCGGTTACCTTACTATTATCTGGGCTTACTATTATTTTTCTTAGAGTTTCATCCCGTCCCAGCCCGTTCACCACATGAGAATTGGACGTACGGCTGAACCTACGGTACGGTATTCAGCAATTTAGCAAGCTTAGGCTTCAGCGAATAAATGTGTTTAACTTCCCCTCTGAATATATCGGAGCCTTGTCGCAATTTGCCGCCAGGTGTGACCAACCAGAATCCATTTCCAAGGGAGAGAGAGCAGTGTGCAGCTACTTCTGCCTGTGGCAGTACGCTAGGAAGGGCGCCTCAATCAGCCTTTTTAGCTAACGGTGGAGGATTGGTGAGGGAAGTCTTGCACGTTGGGCGGAGTGATCGCTGCTTACTGTAGCTTCTGAAGTCTGCTGCGATCAATTGGCGGTGATCCAAGCAAGGAAGCCGCTCTGTAGGACCAGCAGCGATGGCGGCAGTGGCAGTGGCGCGGCCTTCCGAGCATGGCTTCTCGCAACCGACGAGCTCAGCCGGCCTTCTGGCGATGCTGGATGAAGACGAGAGCGTGCTGCAGGTCTACGCTCTGAAGCAGCTCAATCGGATTGTCGATGAGTTCTGGGCGGAGATATCTGCAGAGATCTCAAAGCTGTGAGTAAAGTTTGCCACCAGCCCTGGATTGATGCAGTGCACCAAGGGGTTTGATCAAGCTTGGAATTGGAACATCAGAGTCCACAAGGTTCTGTGATCGATCATGTGTTTTTGTTTGATTGTTTTAGGTTTTGCCTACAGCACTTAAGACAGGTTTGAGGGTTGGCGATTGATCACAATTCGATTCGTGCAGAGAGGCGCTGTATGAAGATGAAGGCTTTGAAGAGCGGGAGCTGGCAGCTCTTCTGGCGTCAAAGGTACTCATCCGCTTCTTCCTTTGTTGTAGTCCAAAGACTTTAGTGTCAAGCTCAATTGCATGCTATTGCTGACTATTAGGTGAGGTACCAGTGTCTTGCCAAGCACCTGCCGAATGGTACTTGCAAGGCACGCCCGTACCACCGCTTGATTCAGCAGTTGAGTCTTGATTAGAATCAGCAGGTGTTCACGCTGCTCAGTCTCAGTACTGCCTCTTGCTGTCCAGGTTTTCTACCACCTGGGAGAGCTGGATGAGTCCCTCACATATGCACTGGGTGCGGGTCCCCTCTTTGACGTCTCAGAGGAGAGCGAATACGTCCAGACCTTGGTTGGTGAGTTGTACAGCTGTCCATGTTCCTCACTTGTTGGGCCCTCAAAGAGCTTCTTTGCGCATTCGCTGTACCTGTCCTGTCAATATGGTCCCATGCTGAATCCCTCGTTCTTGTAATCATGGTGATCAAGCTGTGCCTAGAACTTGCAGCAGCGCAGTTTGGTGCGCATGTGCAGCTTACAAAGTTTCTGCCACCGCATGCTAATCACAAGCATTCTTCCATGAGTTGACCCAACTGGCTGCGATGGTGCTTTTTCAGCCAAGTGCATCGACCAGTACGTCGAGCTGAGCGTCAAGGCAAACGAGTCCAAGGAGAAGCAGCCTCCCCTTGATACCCGGTTGGTGGCAATTGTGGAGAGGATGCTCAACAAGTGAGTCATCAATGGGAAAGGAAGTTATTGCGCCCTCAAGGTTGGGGAGGGCTAATCTCCCCGTGCAGCTTGCAAAGCGCAGACAGGGTGGCATATGCGGTGGATACTTCTAAGTTGCTTGAAACTCGAAACTCTGAAGCCTGCTGCTTGGCTGAGTTTGTTTCTTTGTTGTAAACTCAGTTGGTTGTTGGTTTGTTGCAGCTGACCAGAGCACTTTGACCTAGTGTACAAGTTGACAACTTGATAGGCAAGTCCCTACCTTTGGGGTGGCGTTCTAAGCTGAGGGTCTTTTGGGTCTTCTGACTTCCAAGCAATCTGCAGGTGCATCACTGACGGGCAGTACCAGCAGGCAGTGGGGATCGCTCTGGAGTGCCGGCGACTGGACAAGCTGGAGGAAGCAATCACAAAGAGTGACGACGTGCCTGCTCTTCTCGCCTACACCCTCCGGGTGTCCCAAACTCTGGTCAACCGGAGAGAGTTCCGCCATGAGGTATGTTTGCTCTCTCTATGCTCTGCGCGCTTGACATACTTTGGTTTGGTCTTATGCGCAGTGTCGGATGTGTGCAGAGTGCCAGAAAGAAGAGAAGAAAGAAGAAAAAACGCAGGACATGGTGGGAACCAGAGGATGCTTACGGATTTAGAGGGATGAAGAGGTTGAATACTTCAACTGGGTCAGCTCCGAACAGGCAAAAGCAGCATGGGTTTGGTACTGGGCACCTCTTAGGAAAGTCAGGTATGAAAAGGTTGGAGACTTGGGATCGTGCCGACAGGCGAAAGGATTTTGACAATTTGCCACTCTAAAGGTCCTGCTCATAAAGCGTCGGTACATGCTTGGATGCAGGTGTTGAGGACTCTGGTCAAGCTGTACACGCACTCTGGCTCCCCCGACTACATCAACATCTGCCAGTGCCTGATGTTCCTGGATGACCCAGCGGGCGTCGCTGCCATCCTGGACAAACTGGTCAAGGGGGACTCGGTGAGCAAGCAGCTTAGCTACTGGTACTGATCATTCATGTACAGATGTTGGAGAAGAGATTTGTATCAGGCGAGCTCTTCGGGGGGATGTCTTTTGTCGATTGTCACCGCATTTCTGATTTCTTTGTTCATCATACTTCGGCAAGTCGGTTGTGGGCTTTTTTTGTAGACCAGGTTTCAGGGCTGGGCATGCAGGCAGTTACGTTATGAGAGCCTGGAAATGCACAGAAAGTTGAAGACCGCGAGATGTGCCACTCCTTGTATTGGCCTGGTGTTTCCCAAGTGTTCTAGTTCATTACACTTCTTGGTTGGGGCACACTTTATTAAGGCACATACTGTTAGGGTGCGAGGTTCCTTGGACTTACCACCTTTCTTGGGGTTCTTTAGTTGATACCGCGCCAACACTTGAAGGAAAAGCACTTTATCACGGTCTTGACACCCGTTTCTGACGCACCGAAGCTCTTGTCAGCCGTTTGGCTCCAAGTATAATTCCGCACTGCTATTGCAACATTTCTGAACCGTTTGTCCTCCTGCAGGACGACGCCCTGCTAGCGTACCAGGTCGCGTTCGACCTCTTCGAGAACGAGTTCCAGCAGTTCCTGCTCAACGTGCGGGACCGCCTCCCGGACCCCCGCGGCCACGCAGAGGCCGGCCACCCCCCCGCCGAAGGCGCCGAATCCACCCCCCCGGCAGAGGGAGCCACTGCCGCTGCCGATGCGACTGCCAGTGCTTCGGCTGCGCTGGCGGCAGAAGCAAAGGATGAGGCGTCCGCGATGGAGGAGGACACGGGGGCCGCGGAGAGCCACGCCCCCGCGATCGAGGGGCTCGGGGACCTCCCGATCGCGACGTACGCGGAGCGCATGACGCGGCTCAAGGGGGTGCTGTCGGGGGAGACGCCGATCAACCTCGCGCTGCAGTTCTTGTACAGGTGGGTCGTGTATCAGGGACTCAGTGGCAGAAAGATGGAAGACGCGAGATGAGTCTGAAGGGGGAGTTGTTGTTCGGGAGCATAGGGCACGTTGGTTCCTCTGAAAGCTGGACTCTTGTCTCAGGGCGGGGCCTCTGTTAAAATTTTGTGCCTGGTGGCCTGATTCCAATCTTTGCCAGTCAACACATCCAACAACGGTCCCTGCAAGTCCCAAAGGGTTGACCTTTGTGTTCCCAGAGTAGGTAGAATGTTGTTTGTACCGAAGCGATGTGTCCCACAGGATCCGTTTCTGTAATGCTAGACATGTACACTTCGGCAACTGTTCTGTGTGCCGCCGCAACGTGGCCGACTCTGGTGCTCAAGGACATCAAGGGCGCTTCATTGCTTATCTCACCAACTCCTTTGGTTTTCAGCCTTTGTGACAGTTGTGCATCCTCTTTTGGTTACAGCCGCAACCGGGCCGACCTGCTGGTGCTCAAGAACATCAAGGGCGCAGTCGACGTGCGCAACAGCGTGTGCCACGGCGCGATCATCTACGCCAACGGGCTGATGCACGCGGGCACGACCGTCGACACGTTCCTGCGCGAGAACCTGGAGTGGCTGTCGCGCAGCACCAACTGGGCCAAGTTCTCGGCGACCGCGGGGCTCGGGGTGATCCACCGGGGGCACCTTCAGCAGGGCCGCGCGCTTATGGCGCCGTACCTGCCGCAGAACGGCGTGAGCGGGAGCCCGTATTCCGAGGGGGGGGCGCTATACGCGCTCGGGCTGATCCACGCGAACCACGGGGAGAGCATCAAGACGTTCCTGCTCGAGTCGCTGCGCAACACGACGAACGAGATTATTCAGCACGGGGCGTGCCTGGGGCTCGGGCTCGCGGCGCTCGGGACTGCGAACGAGGAGATCTTCGAGGATTTGAAGAGCGTGCTGTTCACGGACAGCGCGAACGCGGGCGAGGCGGCGGGGATCGGGATGGGCCTGCTCATGGTGGGCAGCGCGAGCGAGAAGGCGGGGGAGATGCTGGCGTACGCGCACGAGACGCAGCACGAGAAGATCATCAGGTGTGGATCCCTGTGAAAAGTGCTTTATAACCGATTATCGTCTGCTGGCTTATGGTCTGCTTGGAGCAAGGCGTTCATAAGACCCGAATCTTCGAGCACCTTACTTGAGGCTTCCAAACTCGTTCCGCATACTCCCTTTACTTTCGACGTCCATCGAGCAGCTTGTATGCGCATCTGAGGCAGCTCCTCTCTATCTACCTTTGCATGCACTCGCAGGGCTTGAGAATCTGCTTGCCCTCCATTCCTCACCGAAGTTTATCAACTAGAATCAATTTTGTTCAGTAGAGCGTATTTCTGCTTCCTCCAGTTCTGGCTCGCTTCTTTCCTTGTCTCGCCTCTTTCCCTTTTCTTCGCGCCTGTTTCTCTCCCGTTAACGCCTGCACCTCTTCTACTTTTATATCGTCTTTCAGACTGCTCCTTACCCTCTCTCTTACCGCTTGCCTCCCCCCCTGCAGAGGCCTGGCCCTGGGCATCGCGCTCGTGGTGTACGGGCGCGAGGAGGAGGCGGACACGCTGATCGAGCAGATGACGCGCGACCAGGACCCCATCCTGCGCTACGGCGGCATGTACGCGCTCGCCATGGCGTACCGCGCCACCGCCAACAACAGCGCCATCCGCCGCCTGCTCCACTTCGCCGTCAGTGACGTCAGCGACGACGTGCGCAGGACCGCGGTCATGGCGCTCGGTTTCGTGCTGTGCTCAGAGCCGGAGCAGGTGTGATCAGTCCCATGTTGCATTGCTGCAGTTGTCTTTGTTTTTTGGAAATTTAGAAGCGTTTTCGTGGTCCCTCTTTGTTAGGTGGAGCACGTGGCTAAGAGAGGCGATGTCCTGTGCTTCTGACTGCAATAGCATTTGACGTTTCTACTCTCCAACTTCTAGCTCTGGTCGGATTCGCCCGTTCAGGGCGGCTTGATCGCAGACCAGCCTGCAGCATTTCCTCGCTCGCTCAAGCCTTCCTTCTTAACCGTGAATGCCGACAGCTCTTGGTTATGTTCCTCTCAAAAGCTTTTCCTCTCTCCAGTGAGACTGACGCCTGCGTGTCAGCTGTCAGCATCACCGGCTCTCGCTCAAGCGTTTCCTCTCATTCGTGCACGTCGATAGCCCTCGCTTGTATTCCTCCTGAACCTCACTTTGTCGCCCTTTCTCTTCTCCAGTGTCCCCGCATCGTGGCCCTGCTCGCCGAGTCGTACAACCCGCACGTGCGCTATGGCGCTGCCATGGCCGTCGGCATCGCGTGTGCCGGGACGGGCCTCACTGCCGCGCTGGACTTGCTGGAGCCCCTGCAAAAGGACCCCACCGACTTCGTTCGTCAGGGGGCGCTCATCGCGACGGCCATGGTGCTCATCCAGGAGACGGAGGCCCGGCAACCCCGGGTAGCCGCCTTCAGGTAGGTGGATTCATTTGCTGTTCGCGCTTTTTGGGCAGAGTTGAATGAGAGACGACGATCCTGGTTTCCCCTACTTGTCTGGTAATTTCATGATGTCGAGGAGATGCCCAATCAAGCAATCTGCTCTGCCATATGCACTCCGGCCTTGGCATTTAATCTCTCGCTAGGCAGGGCAAATGGCAGATTGGTGTTATCTTCTGAGACCCTGAACTCTGAGCCCCATGCCTTTGATGGGTACGCTTTTGAGAAGAGAAACATCGTAGGCTCTTCAATATACCCCAGAGACTTCCGGAATGAGAGTCGTTCTCAATTCCTACGCCCATTCTAACATCTGCCTTTACGAGCACAGCCAGATTTTCAAAACGTTCCCTTCCCGCTCGCAGGAAACACCTGGACAAGGTGATTGGCGACAAGCACGAGGAGACGATGGGCAAGATGGGCGCGATCCTGGCGGCGGGCATCCTCGACGCGGGCGGCCGCAACGTGACGATCGCGCTGCGCTCGCGCAGCGAGCACGACCGCGTGACGGCGGTCGTCGGGATGGCCGTCTTCACGCAGTGGTGGTACTGGTATCCGCTCGCGTACTTCCTCAGCCTCACGTTCGCGCCGACCGCGCTCATCGGGCTCAACGGCGCGCTCCAGATGCCGCGCCTCGAGGTGACGTCGGCGGCGCGCCCGAGCCTGTTCGCGTACCCGGCGCCGCTGTCGGACAAGAAGGAGGAGGAGGTGAAGAAGGTACCGACCGCGCAGCTGTCGACGACCGCGCGCGCGAAGACGAAAGCGAAGAAGGACGCGGCGGAGAAGGCGGAGAAGGGGAAAGAGGCGATCGAGAAGGTGGGCGCCAAGGGGGGGAAGAAAGAGGAGGAGAAGGAGGGGGGGGACGCGATGGAGGTGGAGAAGGAGCCCGAGGCGAAGAAGGTGAAGAAGGAGAAGGAGCCCGAGTCGGAGGTGCTGAGCAACCCGGCGAGGGTGATCCCCGCGCAGGAGAAGTACGTCCGGTTCCCGGAGGGGAGCCGGTACGCGCCGCTCAAGAAGGTGGCCGCGGGATGGGTGCTGCTCAAGGATCTCAAGTGAGTGCGCCGAGGAGGAAAAGTCTCTTTGTGAATGCGCTGTTCTGATTTGATTCCAGAGTGTTGGAAGCCAGGAACAATTTGTCTGTTTTGGAGTGAAGGTTGGGCCTGGGTGAAAGCTGGAGATTTCCGGGATCATGTGGCTGAGAATCGTGGATTGAAGTCAGCACCACTCAATTCACTGTATTATATCATCTCGCTGGCATCGCTGTTGATTACACTCCCAGAAAGCCGCCGAGCTTTACTTGTCTCTTCCAAAATATTTTGGTCCGTTTCAAGCCTGGTCAGAGGTGGTCGGTGTCTGCCAGCGCTCAGTATCGTCTGATGTGATTACTGATTCTCATTGCTCTTTCTTTGATGATTCCCAAGGGCTGGTGCCTCAGACGAAAACTTGAAAGCTTGCTGCGTGGTTGTTGCTATCTGCAACGCTTTTTGATGGCAGTTGGTGTCTCCTTTGTTCTGCTGAAGAGTCCACATGCCACGTCTTCCATTTCCCTGTTCTTGCTGAGAAAGAAGCTAAATAGCTTCAAGTGGAAAGCTTTGTCATGTTATCAGGTTTTGAGGACAGAAATTGGCCAGTCATGTTGATCAGTTGATCGGCGGTGGCTTGTATGGAAGTCTGATCAAGGATGCTGCTGGAGATCTCGTGGAGATCTCCTAATGCTTCAGTCGTTATGGACCTTAACACTTCAACGACTTGTCCGGTGGATGCAAAAACATTGAGATTTTGTTATTAAACGTTCTTTCGGTCGTCAGGCCCTACATGTCTGACTATAGTGTTTGCTCATTCAGGCCTGGCGAGCCAGAGGAGCTGGTTTCTCAACACGCCCCGGCAGAGCAGGGAGCCGCCGCTGCGCCGGCGGCGGCACCTGCTGCGGCAGGGGGGGCTGCAGCTGCTGCTGACGAAGACGAGCCACCGCCGCCGGAGCCTTTTGAGTTTGTTCCCCAATAGTACAACGCGTGATACTAGGGGAAGAGTCGGGGCAGCAAGGGTTCTCTGCTAGAGCTAGCTAGTGCATGCCACTCTTATGCAAGGAACACGAAGCTAGCTTTGGGAGTACGTAGCTGAGTGAAGATAGCATTGCGGATACTTCTATGGTATCGACCTACTTAAAAGCAGCATGTCATGCATCTTGGTGTGTAGCATTCATCTTTTCATCCTTGTTGCAGGAGGTATGTGCATGTTGGATTGCTTGTCTTTTGCAATCATTCGGGGCGAGCTGAACATGAATGCAACTCATGCATGCCCACCGCCCTACAGTCTGCTACCTATGCTATGGATTCTCTCTTGAGCTTTAATCCGTGGCTTCAATTGCATTTGTGCAGACTGCGGACAAAAAATGGGTTCAGCAGTTGCAACATGCTGCACTCGTTTACATCCATGGATGCACTGATTTAAGCCTGGTATTCTTCTTGCAAATGGGAAGTTTCACTTTGATAAGACAAGTAGATCTGAGGTACAGTCCACCATCTTGAGGATACTTGAAACTCTTTGTTATACAGTGTTACCCTCGAGCGCTCACTCCCATCAAGAAGGTGTTCACATTTCACTGTTAAAACCCATAACATGGCATAACATGGCAGTGTTGGTGTATCAGCATTCGTAGTAGCAGGTACGACGCAATGAAAGCACTTGTGTTAGAAGCTGGACATGGAGTACCTCTCGCAAACAGAGTGCGCCAATCTTCTGCCCGTGGCAGTTACAATGTAGGTGCTAGGCAGGCTATGAGCATCAGCTCAAGTCCTTGGTTCCAGCTTGAAGCAAAGGTCCTTTTACATGACTAGGAAAGGGTCTACATTTGGCAAACCCTTTGGTTTTAGCATTGTACACCAGCACAATAGAAAGGAGGCAAGCATTAATTACTTGATGAGACTGTCTTGAGAATGACTGGCAGCGGTGCTATTTCTACACCTGAGACGCTGGATCAGAGAACAGCCATGCCTTATCAAGCAAACAGACATGTTTAGAAAAGCCACTGCTCAGATGTTGATGCATCCTGAATCATCAATTGTGACACTCTACTGAAGTAACCTTACAACCACTAGTACAAAACCACCACAAAACTTTTTGACAAATTTCTTGGAGACAGGTGGTGTTAAAATAACACCAGTTTTGGTTGTTGATCGCTGCTGGCACAGTGGCACAAACAGCTTAGAACTCCTGCGACTGGGAGGCGGCCTTGCCGGTCTTCTTAGGCAGAAGCACGCTGTGGATGTTGGGGAGCACTCCACCCGCTGCGATGGTGACATTCCCCAGCAGCTTGCTCAGCTCCTCGTCGTTCCTGACCGCAAGCTGGATGTGCCTGGGGACAATCCTGGTCTTCTTGTTGTCCCTGGAGGCATTGCCAGCCAGCTCGAGCACCTCAGCAGCGAGGTACTCCAGGACTGCAGCCAGGTAGACGGGAGCGCCGGCTCCGACCCTCGTCGCATACTTGCCGGCCTTGAGGTACCGTGCGATCCTCCCCACAGGGAACTGGAGCCCCGCCTTGGCGGACCGGCTCACGGCCTTCTTGCCTGAGGCCTTGCCACGTCCAGACATGGTTGCTGACTGATGTGGGGGAGGCAGAAACTTGCAGAGGAGAGGATTTGATGCTGGAAATGGCGCAGAATGCAAGATTGGATTGCTGGGGTTGCTTTATGTACTCCCTGCCTTGCTTGCTTGCTTTGCTTGCGAGACTGAACTTCTTGGACTTGCAAATTGGCCAATGAGATGCCAGTATTTCGAACCTTGGATCGCAAATCGAGTTTCCAGACTCCGCCGTTGGATAAGAGACTTTGCCTATCCAACAGTTAAGGCTCCTTCGTACGGCCTTTGGGTTCGGATCCGCGACCAACTAGGCACCTACCTACTTAGTACTACAGCGCCGCGCGTACCTAGATTCTGCGGGCGCTTGCTGACGTTCGCGGCCGCCAAAGCTGAATGCGCGCGCGACGAGCGCGGACCTCGGAGCCTCCTTCGCCTGGCATGCATGGCATTGGCGTTGGCTGACAGTGACAGTGTGCACAGCGCGATTTGGCAGCCCCAATTGAATGGACCCAGGTCAGGCTTGGGCCGCACAGTTCCTGTATTGGATGAGGCGCCCTGATCCTCGTAACGAAGTCAAAAAGGGCAGTATGGTCTTAGCAAGCTTCGTATAGGCTACAGGCATGCGGGGTTCTTCCGTCAGGGGATAGAAGCTCTTGTGTAGAAGCCAGCATCCTTGAATACAAGGAGCTGCGCAAGATAGAAACCCGTCTTGCAAAGTCTGCAGGATGAAGGAAGAAGACCTCAATCGCATCGTCCTCTCATATTTGAAGAAGAAAGGGTATCGAAACGCTGAGGCTGCCTTCAAGTCTGAAAGCAAAACGCAGTCGCTCCAGGAAATGGTAAACGGGCAGGAGAATGATCTAGACGTCAGCATTTTGAACCATGTCTACCTCTATGTCAAGTAAGTGGTTTGAGTCAGGGACAAGTCTGCTTTTGATCTGATGGGCCTCATTTTGCAGCCCCATGCAGCCCCATTGGCAGAACTTTCAGAACTTATTGGAGGCAATTGATGAATGTGCGTCATCTATTTCTAGGCGTTGATGTTCGGTCAGAGTCAAATGTCCTATTGAAGTCGTTGTTGGCACATGTAATCAAGATATAGTTTTGGCGAGGACCGTTCTTCCATGTACGGTGGATGTACCACCCAATTGCACCTCAGTGATTCTCTCATTTGCATTTGATTGTTGAAAATTTGAGTGGGGCCGCAGGTTTGACACACAAGGAGTGCACTTTTGAATCACTTGACGCCAGTTCGCACCACCACCTATCAGAAGTTTCTCATGAGCTTTTATGGCATGTATCAACTCTGCATTGAGTCCCTTCCTTTGTGTCAACAGGGGTGAGAATAGCCCCAGCCGCTATGGCGAGAGCTACAGCAAACTTCAGGCCTGGGTGCACGATTCGCTGGACCTCTACAAGGTACTCGCACCGACGCTGTATTAGCCTCAGCTGATTTTTTTAGTGCACGAATTGGCTGGTATTCCTGTGAGCTTGTGGAGGACGTCAGGTCATGGTACAAAACATGACCGGCTCGCTTGGCATCCACAGACTTGAGAGTGTCAACCGTGCTCTGTCTCACTTGGAGCTTCCTTGTGAAGTTTTGTAGTGCCTTCTGATATTCTGTCGGTTTTTGCAGAACGAGCTCTCCCGCATACTGTACCCCATCTTCGTGCACTGCTTCTTGCAGCTGGTGGCAAAGGGCTACCCAACAGAAGGTGAGAAATGTTATGTTTCAGATGTTAGGTCGACCGAACTACTTTGGAGTTGGGCACGACGAACCGTGAACGCGTCGGGAGAGTGCAGGCAGATTGTCGACTTTTGGTATGCTGTGGTTATCCCGCGTTTTGCGCAGATTGCTTGTTGAAAACTACTTTGAGTGTCTGGTGAGGAGCCATTGTTTTTGAGTCAAGTGGAGGCAAGTGGAATCTGGGATTGTAGATACCCATCTCTTCAGATCTCATGATCCTCATCCAACGGCTCATCACACGGCATTTGATACCATTTGCAGACGTCGATTGGGCCACAGAGAAAGCTTAAGGTTCAGGAAGCCCGGGAGGGAGGGGGAGTCTCGGTACGGTCGGGGGGAGTTACTCAGGGAGACTAATCGGTTCTTATTGGCTCTCTGTCGTGCAGCCCGCGAGTTCTTCCAGGCATTCAAGGTCGAGAGTCAGCAAAGAAGCGAGGTAGTACCGATTCAAAGAAGGAAGTAGATGAAAGAATAAGCTCAAAAGTGGTGAATTGGAGAAGATCACTCAAATCTGAACGCCTATCCATCATGCAGCCCGCGAGTTCTTCCAGGCGTTCAAGGCCGACCACCAGAGTGCACACGGCCGAGACCTCCAGAAGCTGGAGGGGGTCAGCAACCCGCAGCATCTGCTGGTAGGGGGCGCACATTGTTACAAGGAGATGTACGTTATTGTTGAATAGCTACGGCCTTCGCTAGTGACGCGTCCTGTGCTTTCTTTGATGACAAGCACTCTTTGGAAGAATCTGGCAAAATATGTTGGGAGAGTTCGATGATCGGTTGAGGCGCTGCAGAAGGTAGACTGCTTCAATTCGTCATGAATCGGGACGTGAGGACAGCAAGAGCTTCTCTTCTGCTTTGAAGGATCTCTACCTATGAAGTCGTGTTGATTCAAATCGTCCTTTTTGATCTGCAGACTAGACCGTTGCTTAAGAAAAAAGACGGTTTTGTTTGTACAGGACAATGACCTCGCCAAGAGCTACCGTGAGAATAAGTTCTCCGTCAAGCTGTGTCAGGTGAGGCGAACGTCTCTCCTTTCCCTTTGGCTGCTGAAGTTAGGTCATTGAAGCGGCAATGATCGAGACAATGTAACTCTTGTGTGTGCTATTCACGGTGGACTCGTAAGATTTTCAGCGATGGACAAGTGGGTTAAGTTTGATAATTCGTATCCATGTAAAAGGGTCGTTCTCTACTCGTCACCAAGTGGAGTGTCATGACGTAGGCGCTTGTTCGTGTGTGCAGTACTCGTGCGAGCTGTTGATCTCCTTCCTGCACGACTCGGAGATGATGCTCATGCTCAGCCTGGTCAATGAGCACCTCAACCTCGAAGGTACGGCCATCGCGCTTCCCTCCGAACCAGTCAATGCTTCCTCTACTTTGAGTTCCACTTCCAAATTTTCGTCCCGTTGCTTTCGCTTGTGGCCCAGAGGGTGTGCATGGACGTGCCTGTTTTTGCAAACTATCTTGAAGTTTCCTTAAAAGAGCGTTTTTCCATTTCTTGAGGTTTTCTCGCTGGTCTCTCACTTGCCGTGCCTGTGGTGCTAAGGGCTCAAATAAGTAAAGCGACCCTTCTGCGTGAGGCTGAAAAAACTAGGCGGGAGTTTCGTGCATTGAAAAACGGGATTTGACTCGTTATCCCCCATTTGCAGTCGTGCCTGGTCAGCCGTCTCCGCTGCCCGAGGAGGACGAGGCGTTCACGGTCACTGGGAAGCCGCAGGAGGCGCTCGAGAACCTCAACCGGAGCGAGATCCGATGGGGGGTAAGGAAACACCTCTTGATCTCTCACGTTCCACTTTCTTTGCGGTGGTTTTGAAGCGGTTGTTGCTCGCGCAATGTCACCTGAGCAGTTTCCTTGGAAGAGAATCTGAAGAAGTGGTTGCGTCAGAGTGTTGACGTGTTTTGGTGCCGGTGTTCCAGTCTAGTATCCCTTACAAGTGCAGGTTGCCGGTCAGTGCCAGCCCAGGTTCTCGAAAACGCGTTCTTTTCTAGGCTGCCGTCCGAAAAGCTCGATAAAATCTGCGGAAAGCTTGTCGCTCCTTCAATTGCTGTGCGATTCCTTTTGTAGAGTGGGCGATTGCTGCTGACGTGTCCTCCGTTCTTAATGTGTGCTGCAGCAACTGGAGGACGGGATCGAGCAGCGGTTTGAGGAGAAAATGGCAGAGGAAGCGGCCGAGGCTGCTAACGAGGAGGTGAGTCCCAAAGATAAAGGTGCTACATCCAGGACGGAGTTCGTAGCGATCGAAGTTCGTGACAGCCGCTTCACAAGGATGGGCACGAAGGTCCTAATTCTTTCACCGTTTCCTCGACCAAGCCGCCGCTGTTTGCTAGAACAATCAGTGGCTCGTAGCGGGTTTCGGCTTAAGATACGACGCCAGATTTCGCGGATCTTGTCGGCTATGCCTTGTGGTTTGACACATGGTGGGGCCTGATGCGTCGTGAACTGACCCGACGCTCTTGCTGCGCAGAAGAAGGAAGGAGACCCCAGCAAGCCCCCCTCCAAGAAGCTCAAGAAAGACGGGAAGGCAGGGGGCGGCGCGAAGGCGGGCAAGCAGGGGGCCAAGGCCGCGGCGTCTGGCGCCACGCGGGTGCCCAGCGTTATCCCGCTGCCGCGGCTGTGAGTAATCTCAAATTCGTTGTCACTTTCTAGGTCCCGCGGTACTGAGCGGTCTGGTATTCGATTTTGAGCGGTCTCGTGTTCGTCGTTCTCACAAACAGCGGTTGGTCTTGAACTCCTTCTTCGCACATTCGGCGGCTGTGACTGCCGTCTGTCCTTGCCTCCAAATCTGGGGAGTCCCTGCTTCTTGTTGGCATTGTAAATTTGGTCTCATTGCGATAGCTGCAATCTGCCGGAGACAATTAATGGTTTTGTTGGCACCCTGGACTGCGACAAGCAGGGAACTGTCTTTGCGAGTTATTGTAGCCTTTCGCGTCAGTCTTGCTGGTTGGAGCAACCGCTTACACTTCACCCAATCCAAATGCGAATATTGCCGCCACTCCTGACAACTCACTTCTGCATTTCGTCAGGAGCTTACTTGCAATATGAGACTGCTCTTCTGATTTCGTTGAGTGACGCTGTTTTCCTGCGGCCGTGCAGGAGCGAGGAGGTGGAGGGCCTCGCCTTCGAGGACCTGCGCAAGCGCGTGCAGCTCGGCTCGGCCGCGCTGCCCTCCGTCTGCTTCTACACTTTCATGAACCACTACAACAGGTGGGTAACACCCCCACGCAAGCGTCCTTACCTGCTCCTTTACGGCTAACATTGGCAGGTTGTTTTGCTGCGTTCCTAGACGTCTGATTCGTCACACAGATGGGGGGCCAACTCAGACTGTCCGGTTGACAAGCTGAATTGTATGATGAGTCTGAACAAAAGCGGAGCTCATTGTTCTTGCACTGCCTCTGATATCCCACCGAAAAACCCCTTCAGGTTCGACAGTTTATGTGACGATGTCATTGTGGTCGCCAACGGGGTTGGCAGTGGGCTTCGTACTCCATTTGCATTTGACTTACTCTGATTCCGATGAGCATGCGTATCAATCATTCGGTCAACTATGGTGCTTCTTTTTCTAATGCGTGGCCCTTTCTGTACAGCCTCAACACGGTCGCCCTCTCTCAGGACGGCTCCAAAGTCGCGGCCGGCTTCTCGGACTCGTCCGTAAAGGTGAGCAGCAAAACGCCATTTCCCAAGTTGACCATAGGCTCAGAGAAGTCCTTTGCACACCTTAGGCAAGGCCGAGCCACAGAACATCGACGAACGGATATTGTGCCCTCCACTTGGATTATCCTCCGGTGGATCCCCACTAGTTTAATCCTAGCAGAAGGAACAGGTCCATATGCCGGGCCTTCGTTTCGCTGTTGGCCTTCTGACCCGCCATTCTCCCGTGCGCTTCTGATTGGATTTTTGCAACCGTTCAGGTGTGGGACATGTCCAAACGGACGGTCAGCCAGCCGCAAGCCCAGTCCGCCGAGGCGCGGACGTCCGAGGGCGCGGGCCCGGGGCCGGGCAGCCAGTCGCAGGCTGCGTCCGCTCCCGGCTCGATGGGCTACTCGCTGTTCCAGGCGCACTCGGGGCCGGTGTACGGGGCGGACTTCAGCCCGGACGACCGGTTCCTGCTGTCCTCGTCCGCGGACACGACCGGTGAGCAGCGAAGTCGCTTACTTATGGAGATTGTAATTGTGGGTAGTTTCTGATTATGGCAACGTGGCTACGATGGAATGTTTGTTGGTGTTTGTAGCTTCACTGTCTTGCCCCGGGTAGGACAGTTTTCCTGGCTTTGACGTCAGCTTATGAAAGCATGTCCTTGTTGGATTGTTTGAACGTTGTTATTTGGGAGGATCAAAATGTTGGAGTCAAGCAAGCTTCACTTCAACAGTCCTTCACTCACACCACTTGAGCCTCTCCTCACGTTTTCCGACTACCCTCAGTAAATCCGTGCGTCTGCCTCAAGAGAGTTTGGCAGAATCGTTAACCCTCCGCCGGCCGCTCTTCCTGCAGTGCGGTTATGGAGCATGGAACTGGGCGCCAACCTGGTGTGCTACAAGGGTCACAACTACCCCGTGTGGGACGTGCGGTTCAGCCCGCTGGGGCACTACTTTGCGACGGCATCCCACGACCGGACCGCGCGCATCTGGTCCACCGACAGGGTGCACCCGCTGCGAATCATGGCGGGACACCTGTCTGACGTGGACGTGAGTTGTGCCTTTGAGCTCTGGAAGGCACCGGACTTGGAAACATGCGATGATCAAAATGGAAAGCTTCGAAAGCCTTGAGAATGGCAGTTATGCCAGAAAATTCCATCTGACGAGATCTGTCTTTTTTCTTGGCCCTTGGATCGGTCTGCTTTCGTTTGGCAACAATTGGCATGCTTGAGGGTTGACGCTGCGAGTAAAGAGGCTGATTTTATCGTTTGAGCCAAGAATCATCACAATGATAGTCAGATGGAAGTCCCTCATGTTAGAAACTTTGCCTGTGAGCCCAGAGTGCCGGTACTTTCATACATTGGTGTCCCCAAGCTGACTCCTAAGCGCTGCCATGACCGAACTTCTCACTGCACTTTGTGCCTTGGCGTCACGACCGTCGATATCACGTGTTCATTAACCATTGCCCTTTAATTACTCTTCCATCCCGCTCACTAAAAGCGGGAATGCATCTTCAAATTTGACAAACGTGGAGAAAAGAAGCACTACGATCTGGAAAACTGCTACATTTCTTTTGCTGCAGTGCGTGCGGTGGCACCCCAACCGCCACCCCATAAGCAGGGGATCATCTTCCAAAGTACGCAACTCGGCTTAAACAAAGCCTTACAAGTTGGAAGAAATGTCACCCCCCTCTTGCTGCAGTGCGTGCGGTGGCACCCCAACTGCAACTACGTTGCGACCGGGTCCAGCGACAAGACGGTGCGGCTGTGGGACGTGTCTTCCGGGGAGTGCATGCGCATCTTCACGGGCCACCGTAGCACCATTCTGTCCCTGGCTATGTCGCCCGACGGCCGCCACATGGCGTCCGCGGACGAGGACGGGACCATCATGGTTTGGGACCTGGGTTCCGGCCGGAAGGTGGTAACGCCGCTCCTGGGGCGGAACGGGTGTGTGTGGTCGCTCGCGTTCAGGTGAGAAGAGTGGCGGGAGAATGTTGCGAGGTTTGGGATGTGATGATGGCTGGCGGTCAAGGTGAGTCGGGTTGTCTAATCACTTGCAGTAAGGTAACGAAGGAGGGCGTGGGTAGGCTGTGTGAGGATTAATGGTTTTGGCGTGCTGGTCATGAGTGGGTCACTTGTTGGGGCGATTTTATTGCGGAGCTGCAGCGCTGTCTTCGAGAAAAGGTTGAGAGTAGAACGAGTACAACTTACTCGAGGTCTGAGGAAAGGCCGTAACTGTTCCCGGAATCAGCGCCATACTGTAGGTCAAGTCTTGGCTTCCTGCCGTGGCCACCGAGGTTTTGGCTTTATCAGACACGAGGAAGGACAATGGTTGCCTCTTAATTCAGAGCTTCTTAGAGGTCACTTCGAGAGGCCCTTGCCAAGCTGTTCAAAAGTATACCCTGGATTGCGCAACGACATTTTCGCAAACGGCTGTACTGATCGGTGATCCTGCAATGCAGCTCGGAAGGCTCTCTGCTAGCCTCTGGTTCAGAGGATAACTGTGTCCGCATCTGGGATGTTGGCGCGAGCACACGGGCGCCGAAGGGTGATGACAAACCAGGCACTGCTCGGCGGTTACGGCTACTGAAAACGCTACCAACAAAGCATACCCCCGTTTACTCCCTCCAGTTCTCCCCTCGGAACCTCCTGTTCGCTGCTGGGGCAGCTCAAAGACCCAAAAGTTAGTGACACGATAAAAATCAGGTTCCTTGTATCACCCCTCTACAGCCCTCGTGCCTTCCGACATAATGTCATGCATTATTGTAGCCATTATCAAGCAATCGTAGTGGTGGCGATTGCAACTTGATGCCACTGGCGTGATTAAAGTGTTGCAGCCAATTCGATCATTCTTTCTTCCGAGCTTGGGTTGCTCCAGTTTTAACTGAACTTCGTTGACCACTCCGCAAGTGCTGACACCATGGCTGCCTTGGGCTGTCACAGCATTCAACTTACAGAATCGCTTACGGACCTTGTCTACTGCGCACGACGGTATATCCACATGAATCGTGAAACTTATTCTTAGCTGATTTCATGATTAAATAAGCGTGAGCGCGAGAGATCTTCTCGAATTCATGATGTTTCAGTGTGCTGATTATGCGACGGTGGCCCATGAGGCATGCCCTATAGCATATATATACACTGAATGCGCTGCAGCATGCATGATGGCTGGCATGTGCACAATTAAAGCTAAACTAATCAAGCTCGATCTCGAGTCCGGCACATGGCTCCGCGTAGCTCTAGGATCATTGAACATGGACTCAGCTACGATTCTATATTACTGAATCATTTCGAGCTGAACAATCTGCCCAGATATCCCGGTAGGGTACTGCAAGCCTCAAGTTTCGAACCTGCAGCTGCGCGCAGCTGTAATTTGAGCTCAGTCACGGGATTGACTCACAACTGATTGCGCTTGGTCATGCACAGGTTGACAAAAGTTCCAAGATCTGCTGCCATAAAGGTTGAGAACCATAATTGCAATGAATGATTAGCTAGTTGCTTCAGGGAACGCTCCAATGTACATGTCCGACAGCATGCCGTGATCGACGGTAACAAACAGTCAAAGTCAAGCATGCACATGATTGCAATAGCATGCAATGGAACGTTTATTTTAGTATAAAATAAGCCATGCACAAACAGGCTGACGCGGACATCGGTTCTGATACGAGCAACCCCAGAGTAACAAAACCGAACTCTGTGGCCAGTGTCCTGCAGCTTAGATTCGCCTGCCATGTAAGCGGCCTGGAAAGGCAGCTCAGACACACAAGCCATGCAGCTTTGTGAACACCGCCTCCACAAACTTGTGAGACGAGCTTACCACCAACAAACAAACAACACCAACAAACAAACAGAACGATAAGTGGAACACCCGAGCCGCACAAACAGCAACTTGTGATCAAAGCAATGAATCGAGAAACTTACCACCTTGCAAAGACTGACTGACCCTTCCAGACGACGCGTCAACATAGGCTAATGTGGGTGTAAGTCCAAAGCTAGTAAGTAGCCACAGCCGGGTACCAGGTGCATCGATCAGGTGGTGGTACACGGTCATCTTTAGAGATGCGTCCAGAGACCTATGAGTCCTATAAAAAGTGACATTCCTCTTTCCAGGCAGACAAGCTGTCGTTCATCAATCAACAGGCAAATGTCCTCTCTTCACGCTCGCAGCGAAGTAGCTACTACCCAACAATATTCCGGCCGTTGGTACAAAATAAAAGAAAAGTTTCTGGTCTCCAGATTGCAACCAACTGAGCAGCTGAGAAACCCCTCTGGATGCCACCACTACTTTTGAGCCTCCTTAAAAGGGGTCCTCCTGCCTTCACAGGTGCTCAAACAAGAGTAACAAGCACCACCAAACCAGTGTCAAAGAGCTGGGCTTTTCTGTCTACCAATTGCTATAGAATCAACATAAACGCGCGCGTATCCCATGTTTAAGGGCGTAACGATCGCTGGTTTCTCCGTCTCCAATTGCTCTCAGAATTGACATGAGCACGCGCCGTGCATCGCGTGTTCAAGGGCATAAACGGACGTTGAAAATGCAGAGTACCAGAGTGCCCCTACCATCCTCTTCGATTCACAGTGCTACACTTTAGATGCATTGCCCAGACGGGTGCACTACTTTCACACTGGATGATGCCACAGAATCCAGGAACTCATCCAACCAAAAGTTACTCTACAATGAATCACCACCCTGTTCTTGTGCACTCCAGAATGTGACGCCGACGTTGAGCACAGCTGAGCACCCAAGGCTCCTTCATGTTGGGAACAATTTGCAAGTTTGAGCTCAAAAGCTGGTCACAGCTACAAGAAGTAGCCCGCTACCAGAACCCAGCTCAAATCGCTCACAACGCCTGGTCAAACAATCAACATTACCATCAAGCGGCTGGTGACCTAAGGCAACCCCAACTACGCAAAGATAGAAGCGTCTAAAGAGCCTAACGGCCGACTAGAACAGAATTCAAGCAGCCAGAGCCGCGTGATTCCCATAAGGAACAAGATACTCCGCGAATTACAAACAGCGTCGTCAAAATACCTATACGAGGGCAGATTCACACAAGAAGACAAAACACTCAGAAAACCCCAAATCAGCGACTGGTCTGACCAAGACAGTAGGCTTCAAAATTGCAGTCTTTACAGAGTGACAGTAGGAACCTTTTGAAAGACCAGGAGCAAACTTCTCCTGGCAATCTGAAGTCAAATAAAGGAGGGTTGGCTGTAGAATGACAGTATTCAGCAGTGAAAACCATTACCAGGGCAGAGCTGGCAGGCACCCATTCATCAACTTGCAATGTATGCGGAAAGCACTCATTGGGGTGCCAGAATGGGCTTACATTACAGGGTCGACCGTGTCCTCGTGTGCCTCGCTTGCATGAAAACGCAGCTGGTAACGGTTATGGAGACAGTCAACAGGAAAGTATGAACAATGTCAGAGCGTCTCAGAGCTACTCCTCGGGCACCTCGAGCTCCCCGTCATCTATTTGTGACTGCAAGTCCTTGGGGTCTGACCCGTCTACCGTGCACCCGACGGACACGCACGTGCCCAGGATCTCCTTCACCGTGCCGGACAGCTCCTTGGCCATGCTCCGCGACTTCATGACCCGTGCAATCTCGATGACATCGTCAAACGAGATGTTCCCCTCGTGCTTGATGTTCTTCACCTTCTTCCTGTCCCGCTCCGGCTCCTTGAGGGCCTTGATCACCAACGCCGCGGCACTAGGCACCACTGAGACCTTGGCGATACGGTTCTGCACGGTCAGCTTGACCGTCACCCTCAAACCTTTCCAGTCCTTGGCCGTCTCCTTGGCAATGTCCTCTCCAATCTTCTTAGGGGACAGACCGAGGGGCCCGATCTTGGGCGCAAGCGACGACGCCGCACCGACCTCCCCCCCGGTGGCCCTGACGTAAACCTCCACAACCTGCGAGGGGTCGAACTTGGGAGGCATCTTGGCGGCTGCCTGTGCTGTCCCAGGAAGATGGCGCCCCTGCGCGGCTGGGCGAATCCAGCAAGCTCGAGGCGAAAAGGGCCAGGGAGGACTACGGCAGCAGGGAAGAGAGGGTTTCAGCTGGTGAGCGTTACAACGGAAGCTCCGCTTTGCAAGTGTTGGATGCAGTCGCGCATGAGCGAAAGAGAAGGGAAACGCTAGGTTTTGCTAGCTGCTTCCCGCGAACTCTTCGAAGTGCTAGCGCCTCGCCTAGTCCTGAGCATCTTGCAATCAAGGAAAGCGCCTGGCCCGCAACAAGCTGGTTAGGGTTTACTTGTCAATGGGAGCCGCAGCCTGGCGCCCATCATTTTCTTTTCATCCTTCCTAACAGCGAGAAGCTCGGCGAAATAGAGAAGGCGTTCTGGCCGTGGTAGTCGCACTGCTTTGACAGCAGGCTTTCTGTTTGCTGTCCTAGACTGACGTGAATTGAGGAGAGTACATAATCTTTGTAGTCAATTGGGGATTGGTTTTCCATTCCTTGCGCAGGACTCTTTTTGCAGTCAGACCCATTGGAAAGAATCCGTGCCGTACTTGCTGCTGCCACCAATGGCGTCAATCACATCCGACGAGCTCAATTTCCTGGTCTTTAGATACCTGCAGGAGTCTGGTGAGGCGCTATACTCTTTTCAGGAGTTCCTATTTTCATTACAATTAAGGCCGTCCAGCAAATTTGTTGATGGTTCTTGGTTACCCTGCCCTCTTCCGGTGCATGCCGGGGTCCATACCATACGGAGAGATTTTTCCACACAGTTTCATCAAGCTGCTTCTCTTTACCACCAGTCTAGGCGAATCTTCTGGCTCCCCTTCTAGTTTAACTGATCTGGTTGCATTCTATTTTCAAATAGTGTGGGAGGAAGGTGTTCTTTTCCGCTCTGGTCGCCCTCTTCTGCGTGTGCCTTGTTTTTGATGATTGCAAATTGAGAAAGTTTTGAATAAACTCACAGACTAAGCTCTTGTCACCTTTCCCTGTTCACCTCTGATTCAAATACACCGCTAAAAGCATAACAGATTGGAACGCTTTGACGTACCTTGACTTTCTTGGTCCTGGCACAACTTCTTAGCCGGTGCCCTGTTTGCAACAGGCTTCACGCACTCTGCATACGTGCTGGGCTACGAGGCGTTCTTGCACAAGTCCAACATCAACGGGAACAATGTGCCCCCCGGCGCGCTCATCTCCTTCATTCAGAAAGGCCTCCAGTACCTGGAAATGGAGGCAAACCTCAGCGAGGTATGCTGATCAGTGGAAGCTTGTTATTAGAAACATCAGCTTGGTGTCACCAAGTACGGTGGAAAAGTTTGCGTTGTTGGTTACAATGCAAATGGCTTCAGCCCAGGTGGGGTCAATCTGAAGCGGAAATGTTTGCAGCACTTTAGAAGTCAATCAACTGCGTGCAATACTTACTCAAGCTGAGGAGAATATCAGCGGCGAGTAATTGCGCCACATCTCAGAGCTTGCTGGTGGCATGAGAGCTGCAACTTCAGTACATTGCAAAATGGGTGTCTGGGCAAGCCTGAGATCTTGAGAGCCTATGCTAAGCATGTGGGCCTCGTCATATCAATAATTGTTGAATTGATGTGACAAGATTGTACATACGCATGGTGCGGTTGCTGGACCATGGAGTGAGGCCACAACTTGGCACTTGGTTCTTTGTTTTGCCAGACCAGAAGATCTCACCACCAGCTGTGTTGGTCGGAAGCGGGTTGCAATCCAGCTTCGCTGTCAATGAACCGCCTGGTGTTGTTGGCAGTCGAAGGCTTCTTGGCAGCTTAAGAGCTTGCGCTCTTTTTCCGCCAAGTTTGGAACCGTTCTGCCTCTGGCCCTTGTAAGCAGGGGGGCTTCGATGGCGGTTTTGTTCTGCTGGCACACAGATCTTGTGTTCCCTACTGAACAAAGTGCGGTCTCGGATCAAGAGATGCCTCCTGCGATAATACTGGCAAGTAGTACAGAATGGGACGAAAGCGGAGGACTGCAATCCATGTTTGATTGATCAGAAAGCAGTGCCCACTGAAACCCCAACTGATCGGTTCGATACATTCTACTTGCCCACCCATCCGTTGAGAGTGAGCTGGACTTTGGGCTTCTCGCTTGTGCAGCCAAGACAACAAAAGACTTACTGAAACCCTTGAGACAGCAGCCAAAATCATCGTCATTCAATCGTCTGGAACATTACTGACGAGGATGGCCACTTGTCCATGTATCCGCCCCCATTGTGAGAACAGTGCCAGAACAAGGGAGCAAGTTTTTGACGACTTCTATCGAATTTCTGCAGTTAGAATAGTCCCTTGCGAACCAGAAAAACGTACAGCTTTTCACTTTCTTCTCCAGAACAACACGGACGTGGAGGGCGACTTTGCGCTGCTCCAACCGATCGACCTGATCACCAAGGACGTGGCCGAGCTGCGCGAGATCATCCGCGGCAAACGGGACCGGCTCGAACGAGAGCGCGACAAGGAGGCACAAAAGGAAAAGGAGAAGGAGGCGGCAAAAGAGCGGGAGCGCGAGCGCGCGGCGGAGAAGGAGCGCGAGAAGACGAAGCGGGAGGAGGAGCGGGAACGTGAGAAACTAGAGCGGGAGAGAGAGCGGGAGAAGGAGCGGGAAGCGCGGGAGAAAGAGCGCGAGGAGAAGCGGCTCAAGGTGGACGACACTCGGAGGGTCGACGGGAAAGGTGAGTGGTTCGTTGGGTTTGGTGGAAGTCTCCTTTTTGACCTGGCACGAGCGAGACCAAGTATTTCCGAATTCAAAAGGTTGAGTGAATTATTTAAGCCGGTTTATTATTGAACAAAAGAACGTACATCACTCTACATCAAACGTGCGCCGTGAGCCACTTCGGGTCACCTTTCACTTGATGTGGAGCATGGGCGGTGGGAGTCTTGGAGTTTTGAGGGCAGCTGAAGGAGGTGAATTGAGTTGACAGAAAGGCTGGAGATGGCCGGAGTTTGAAAGGGATTGTCAGTACGACAAGGCCTTTTGAAATCTGTCCTCCTTGGCAGTTGTTTTGTCGTGTGCTGGCCGCCTTCGTGCTGAGCGCTCATCAGCGAAAGTGGTGCAAGCTTATCTCTGCTTAGAGATCTTTGTGCAAGCAGAAGACATCCTCGCGAGCTTGATGGGCAACTCTTGTCAAGGCGTGGTCTCCTGCCCCCCGGTTAGATCCATATGTGAAGGCCACACTTCCGACAGTTGCTTGGTCTCTTCAAGACACATCCGCCAAGGACCGAGGTTTGGCATTTGTTATACGATCAGATTTGATCGGACCAGTCGTCCATATCTTGAGAGAACGATACGAACGATACGGGTCCGTTTTGATAGCTGTCCTTCCCTCTTTCGTGTCAGCAAGGCCAGAGCTAAAGATTGACTCGCTCTGCTGCAGCCGCAACAACTCCGCAGCCAATGGAGGAGGACCTGAAGCCTGACCAGTACGGGACAGTGATCAAGCCGTCCGAGGTGACGATCCTCGAGGGCCACACGTCGGAGGTCTTCATTTGCGCCTGGAGCCCCACCAGCTCCACGCTACTCGCTTCCGGGTGAGTTTTTCGAGCTGGTCTTTTGGTTTCTTTGAGCAGTCGTTCTGCAAACCTCCTGCAGCGCTTTCGCATGGCCAACTGGTTGAATACGTCGATCCATAAGGTGACCAATCCGGAAAGGTATCAAGCCGGTTGTGGCTCACGCTGAAGCACAATTCCATCTTATCTTGGTCCGTTTACTTCGCCTGCGCAGCTCTGGCGACTCGACTGCGCGCATCTGGCACATTCCCGAGGGGCCATGCGGCGACGTGGCGGCCCAGGCGGCCGCGCCGAAGCCGCTCGTTCTGAAGCACTTCAAGGGCAAGACCAACGAGAAGAGCAAGGACGTCACCACGCTCGACTGGAACGTAAGCGCACTGCTTCTTCCGTGACGGACTTTACGGCCTTGAAGTCTGGTCATCTACTGGAAAGAGAGTTGAGGTTTGATTACGACGGACTTTCTAAGAGGAATTGGAAGTTGATTGGCAATCCTATTTCGGTCGTTCGACCGAGCAAAATGGGCGCGACAGGAGCATCAGCAGTTTGCACTAGTAAAGCCTCTACTCTGAGCGTCTATAGTCTGGGCGGGCGAACATGCAATTACCTTCGCTCACGCTCTGGGGCTTGCTTGAATCGCAACTGCCTGATAAAATTAATTCGCCATGGTTGCAGGGAGACGGATCATTACTAGCGACCGGATCCTACGACGGGCAGGCGCGAGTCTGGAGTAAAGACGGTAGGTCCTCTGTTCATTGCCGTTCCGTTTGGGCTAGCCGCACGTTTTGATGCTACCTTCGTCAGAACGTCGAGATTTTTTCGTTCCTGTGAGTCAGAGCTGAAGGTCCACTCCGGTCGTATAGCTTTCATGGTCTTCCCAATTGCATCCTAAGCAGACACTCCGGCTGTGCCATGAGATTTAGCTCCTTGACATATCGGCCACTTCTGCGCCCGCTCCTCAAAGCATTGACGGAGTCCTGCATTGCGGTACAGGCGAGTTGAAGCAGACGCTTAGCCAGCACCGCGGCCCGATCTTCTCGCTCAAGTGGAACAAGAAGGGCGACTACCTGCTGAGCGGGAGCGTGGACAAGACTGCCATCATCTGGGACGTCAAGACGGGCGAGGTCAAGCAGCAGTTCGCGTACCACACAGGTGGGGGCGGCGCCCTTTGTATCTCTTGTGGCGGCAATGTTACATTTTCTGTGCTTCTCCTTCTGTCTGATTGAGGCGGGACCAACCTCCGACTGCGCAATGAAAGTTCAGTCTCTGCTGGATAAGTTGTTAAGCACAGTCTCGCCTTAACCTCGTAGACTTAAGGCGTTCGTCTGGTTATGCTCTCTCCCTCGCAAACCGAAGTAAGAGTTGAGGAAAGCGTTCGCCTCAGCAGTGCACCCTATTAAAAAACGGCCTCGGATTCTGTCATTGACCATCTAAACATCATACCTTTGGTTGTCGTCATACTCACTCGGCTGTTTTTTCGCCTCGAACAGCCCCCACGCTGGACGTGGACTGGCGCAACAACCAGTCGTTTGCGACGTGCTCCACGGACAAGAACATCTTCGTGTGCAAGCTGGGCGAGAGCGCGCCGGTCAAGGTGTTTTACGGCCACCAGGACGAGGTGAACGCCATCAAGTGGGACCCAGCGGGGAACCTCCTGGCGTCCTGCTCCGACGACTTCACCGCCAAGGTGGGGCCCACATACTAGTGTTTGACTTACGATCTGCTGGGTTCTCGACTCCTTCGTGGGGTTGCAATTCCAGGATACCCTTACTTTTTCAGGTTGCCAAGGTGGGCGCATCCAAGGGACCTGTGATCCTTTGCCTTGACACGCGGGCAGTTTCCGACCTTGGAAGGTACTCAGGTCGAGACGTCGGGTCGATCTGCGCATTGCAAGTCATCATCCAATTTGTCAAAGTCTCCCTTGCGACTAAGGGGCAGGATCCCAACATGATTCTCAGCACAGACGGAGGTTCCAGACGTCTCGTTAGTGCACAAGTGTTCTGCCTTTTCCTCATATTGTTGATTATGAGGAAGGCTGTGCGCTGTACATTTACAGAGCGTTCACATCTGTCGCATGCTTGAACCTCTCAAATCTTTCATATTCGTTGGTTGGGTGTCGACAATGAGCTGCCCCCAGAGTGTCTCCCTCCAGCCGCCTTATCCCAGCCTCGTCGCCGCTTCGCAGATCTGGAGCCTCAAGAGCGACAAGTGCTTGCTCGACCTGCGGAAACATACCAAAGAGATCTACACCATCAAATGGAGCCCCACCGGGCCCGGCAGCATTAACCCCAACCTTCCCCTGCAGCTAGTCAGGTTAGGGGGTTTAAGGTCGCGGTCCTTTTTCGGGCTCGCGATGATTCGTCGATCAGTTCATTCCGAAAGGGGCATGTGGAAGTTCTGGATGAGCATCGTGGTATGAACGTGAAATCCGTGACTGAGGCGTTGCCAAGAGCTGAGCGTTTCCGGTTAGGTAGAGATTGGGACGGCGGGTTAGTTCGTTTCGTCGTAAAGACTTACTGCAAGATGCGTCACCCGGTCTCTATACACGAGAGCATCCCTTTACCAGTGATTGCCAACGCTTTGGCTACTTTCCGGTCGCAAAGAAGGCGGCCAAGGAGACGACTGCGAGGAGGGATTAAGAACGAGCATGTCGTTTTGAGTGTCAGGATCTGTTCTGACTCTTTTTACATGCTCCTCTATGCAGCGCCTCCTTCGACTCGACCATCAAAGTCTGGGAAGTCGAGAAGGGACAGATCATCCATAACCTGACCCTCCATACGTGAGTCTCTCACGCAACCTACGTTCGGACACGGAACACCCTTCCCCCTTGTAGTGCAAACCGGGATTGCTCGTTTACTTCCGGACCTTCTTGAGCTAGTGCACCTTACTAGTCAGCGCCTGTACTCTGATACAATTGACCTCTGCCGTGAAGTTGGTGACGTAGGACTCAAGTAGGGTCACCGGAGCCTAACCCCTTCCGTTTTTTCATCGCGCAGGGAACCGGTGTACTCAGTGGCATTCAGCCCGAATGGGGAGTACCTCGCCAGCGGATCCTTCGATAGGTGTCTACACATATGGTCGTTAAAAGACGGGAGCTGCATAAGGACGTACAGGGGAAGCGGCGGGATCTTCGAAGTCTGCTGGAATAAGGACGGCGACAAGGTAGGCGCATGCTTTGCCAATAACACGCTCTGCGTTCTAGATTTCCGGATGTAGATAGGTGGACCCTTGTAAAATGCAACGTGCAAACCCGTCCTCTGTACTGTACATCATTCGTTTCGCTTCTTAGAGCAGCCATCTGGCTCAACCAATTTCTGAGAGCTTTGCATGTGCTCAGCACTCAACGCTCAGGCTTGCTGCACCAGATGTATGCACGGTGCCAAGCATCAGGATGGCGAAGCACACTGCATTGGACCTGCCAGTGCCTGGCCTGGCATGCATGGTCGGTTCGTCATGCCGCACCCAGAGGCATAATCAATATCATCGCGCACAGCCCCCCAGTGAGCAGCACCTGCCATGCCTGAGGCTGCCATGAGTTGGGCCGCCCAGGCGGCCTTGCGTGCTATGTCGGATGCCACGCTCGCGAGCGGAGGTTGTGCCGCAAATATATACTGCAAGATGTAGTCTTCAAGCCAATAGCAAGTTGCATACGTACGTACGGATATATGAGCCTGGGCCATGTACACCAAAGAAGAATGATATATACGCATCATGATGCACACACGTCGCGTCGATCAGCCGGCCACAAAATATACGTGTACGCGGTGCATATGTGATCAGCTTAGTATACGTATAATGCTCGGACTCAATATGCATATATATACCGTGATATTGCAAGGCATGCAATCATTGGTCAACATACATGCTAGCATGTACCTATATTTTAAAATCTCACATATGTGCACTTGACGGTAGAATGTTCAATGATCGTATTCTGCGGTGGCGGCTCCGACTCAATGATACGTGACGGTGCACTGATTGGATTGTGTAGCACTTCGGCGCTTACTACAAGGATTTGGCTTTGTCAGGGCTGCGGCCCTTTCAACACCTTGGGTTATATCAACCATCTACAAGTATACGTTTGGTTAAGGACATGCCCGCAGCCCGGATGCAGATCTCCATGCATAATCTCCAAGCATACAGTAGAAATCCAATGTTACTAGGACCGAGATTAGAAGCTTCTAAAACAGGAAATGCATTGGCGATCTGGTTGTGACGCAACATGCAATTGCATTACTTTGCGCACTGATTCAAGGAGCAATATTTCTCACAACAATTTCGAAATGGATGGAAATTTCGATCATGGATGCTCACGGGCTAAAGCGTCTTTTGAAACCTCCTCTTGCACATATTTAATGCCTTTTACCTGATTGCAAAAACGCAACAGTAAAAGCTACAAGTTACCAAGTTAGAGAACGGCCTATGCTTTATACAAAGATAGCTTGTGATGACATGATGATGCCAACAATGACCCCAAACAGTCCAAGAGCACTTCCAAAGATCTCAATAACGAGAATTTTCACGAACAGTGTGGAATTTTGGGCGTCAGAAAGGGCACAACTGCTGCCAATGATGCCAACGCATAACCTGCAAACAGACAAACCGTGATTCAGATCGTTGGACATCCTTGTTCAGTGGACCACACCCTGACTTCGAACATGTGGAAAAAAACATTAGCGCGTGAAGGTTTCAGATTAAAAGTCAACAAGGAAGTTGCAGACTAGGCTTTATGTAAGAAGTGCTGACGTGACAAGTAGACACAGCTAGAAGCTCATGGGAGCAAGGCATAGCAGTGCAACTTACCCGCACACGAGGTTTGCAAACCCCACGATCAGCCCGGATGCAAAGATGGAGTAGCCTGCCCGCAATGCATCTGGCGTCCACCGATCGTCCACCATTCTCACGGATTCCAGCTTTGTTTGGAGGATGATGGCCACAATGACCCCATAGATCGCCACAGCCTCACAGAAAATCACACTGGACAGCAACAGAAAGCCAATTTTGGTGTCAGCAGGGAATAAACATACTTTGTGATATTCTAAACTGATTCTGAGCGTCCAATCTGCCTAAGAACCAATGAAGCTCGTGCCTATGCAGAGTATCACTTTGCATTGGCTCCAAGCAAAGGCGATTTCTGCAGCAGTTGCTTCAGGTACTGTATTGGACAATCAAAACAATCAACTAAAGCTTCCTTTCTAGCTCAGGGACGCAATAAATGCAAACAGGCCGCACCTGATCAGATTCTTTGATGTGATACGAGGAACCTTGATTGCTGCTCCAACCAAGCTGCTACCAGTGATGAAGATACCCCTGCAATCACAGGAATGTTCAGAAGGTCTCTGGCGCTGCATAAAATGTACCGAACCTGTGCAGGATCTCTGTCTCTACTCTGAGCTTTGAGCTTGTGCAATAGATTTTCTCACCAGCATCTGCGTTGCGCAGCTTCAAGGCTGCAAATGGAATTATGCCAATCAACAGCCCGGCCTATTCAAAGAGAGCACCCGCTGATATTGACAACTTTGAATCCTGTCCTGTGCTCACTTTTCTCCTCAAACTTACCATGATGCACCAAGGACAGAAATCCCAATCGCTATCCCAATTCCGACTGCTGAGAAAGCATATGGTGATATGTATGTCAAAGCGTTCCGCCAAGAGCCGGGGTCTGGTGAGTAACCCATTGGGAGCTTTTAATGACTTTCCGGATGTCGTGAATAAGCAGATGATGTTGACCCTACAATTCAACGATATGCTGATCTAGAAGGTTTGATCAATGAAGTAGATAGTAGAGAATCATAAACGAGCCAGTGGGCGAATGCTTTCCAGATTCACAAAATCTAGATTTCTGGCAGCGGCAGCTTGCTTCCAGTCCCAACCACGTCAACTGAGCTATCCTAAACCTGCTCCTTCAAACTAGACCCAATTGCCCAAGGCTTTTGCCTCTTTCAAAAACTAGCATATGGGAGGCGCCCTACCAAACTCGCTGCGTGTTGCAATTGCCTTCTTCTTGCTTGTTCACAGTTGCTGCCAAGAAAAGTGAACCGAGTCTGCAGCAAGTTGCAACTTCGAGCTGCTTCGAATCTCGAGCAAATTGGCGAGGCCAAAAGGCTCATATGCCAGAGAGGGACCATATAAGCTCAAGCAGCATCAAGATGATCGACAAGGGTGATACGGTGGACACTGGATATCCACGTCCGGCGGCGGGAACTTAGCCCTTTGGATTTACCGAATCGTCGATTTGCCAAATGTGATGTCTTCGAGATACATATTCGCATGAGACTTAAATATAAGCATTCAGACATTGACCAAATCTTCCCAAGAATGAAAGGTTTCTGTCTTCCAATTTCACGTTCCAATGTGCATCAAATTGCCATCAATGGTGGCACGTTCAAGACACAGCCACGCTCTAGCTAGAGAACAGGCGAGAGGCGTGCAAGCATCCTTCATATTAATCTTGGCCAAGAGGAAGGAAGAAGGGCGGTAAACTTCTCTATTCTACTGGTAGTTGGACCAACGTTTCACAATCATATGAGTTGCGCACCAGCTCATCTTTCCAAGTGTCCAAAGGGAAAGCCTCCGCACATGCAATCTGGAAAAGAGAGGTTTATCTTTATCTAAGAGCGAGGCGACTGCGGGCATCTCAAATCTGACTCTAAACCTAGGCTAAATCACCATTGAGAAGGCTCCTTCTGTCGTAAGCGCTTGAGCCTGCTCCAGAGCTGCCCCCAGGACAGATGCTTCTTGTGATCTAGAATGTGCCGGTGCAACCCCGTGCCCAACTGCAAATATGTATTTCGCATATGGCTGGCCAAAGTTGCTTAGAGCAGTTGATCACAGCACTCACAGGGAGCTGGTTGTGAGTGTCTGCACGGTGGGAGAGTACTTGGTGCTGGTGACGTCGACCGTGATCCAAATTTGGACGGCGGGGCAGGTGCGCTGGGCGCGTAACTTCTTCTATCTTGCACCAAGCATTCCAGTCACCTTCCATCACACATCCGGCACACTCTGATGATTCTTGAGCGGAGCAATTTTTGAGTGATCTCATCGAACTCCTTAGCTGCTAAGCATTCGTCTTAAGGATTGGTGATTCCCCCTGTTGTGTGCACTAAGCCGCAGTGGCCCTCTGTTGGAACACCAATTTCTCCCTCAATCTATTAACCTCATGTATCCTGCACTACTTTGAAAACCGTACGTTCGCAGCAGGCATCACCACTGATGACCTCATCACAGACATTCATATTTGCTTCATGGCGCCAGGCAAGTTAGTATTTGGTGTACATCATTCTTGTGCAGCATCGTGTGAAGATTGGAGAGGTTGCGCGAGAGGCGGAGTCGCTGGAGCAGGATGGGGCTAACGAGTGCGCTTCATTCAATGAGGCGGCCTCCACTCTAGCTGTGCTGGTGAGTGATGAACAATTCAAGGCACATTAGGTTGTAATCAAGAAGGGGCTTTGCAGTGGTCCACTCCTTGCACATGAATCCTGTCATCTACTCGAATACTCAGATGCTTCATGTAGAATGGGAGCTCGTGCCGGCACCTACGAGACCGGAGTTCGCAGCTGATCACACAGTTTGAATTCAACTCATCTTGGATCGTGGTATACTTGCAAAGATGTGCTGGCCCATGGATCACATTCTCAACGACCAAGTGCGGGACATTCCCCTGCCCTTTCCAAAGAGTTGAAAGCTACAAACTCAAGGGGCTACAACTTCCGTACTGAGAGTTTTATCCCCCACCTAAAGTTATAATCAAACCTTGGGTCCCCCTTCTATGCAGACTGGCAACAACAGCCTCCTCTTCTATGACGTCATAACCACTGACAAGCGGCTCCCCCCGGAGTTGGGGGCTGACTCTCAGGCAGTCCCCCTGGTGTCCGTCAGGTTCAGGTCGCGGACGGCCATCCCTCTGCAAGATGAGGGCGCCGGCTGGTGAGTACATCCCTACGGCCTTCTCACTTATTCACAACTGTCACAGAGCGATTTCATGCTCGACCTTCAGCGGAAGCTGATGGGGCCGTGTTTGTCAGTAAGTTCAGGAAGAGCTGCACAACAAATTGGTGAGACTTTTGGGGTCGAGACGCCCCAACTATTCCTCTGCCCCTCACTGTAGATTATTTGTTATCCTGGCTTTGAGAGTTGCCTGGATCTATACAATAGCACAGCGGCTTACTACTCTCATCTCAAACCTGACTGCAGCACCGCACTTACTGGAGATGATGACCACCTCCTGGTTGGGATCTCAAACGGAAGGCTGCAGCTGGTATCGTGGAGGGGCCAGGTGAGAGGCCCAATCCAATTCTTCTGTTCTGTGTTTCATTCAAGCATAGACCTCCCTTCCTACTCCTTTCCAAAAGTTCTTGCACGGACATGTTCTCCAGCTTTGGTTCGCCATCCCAGCCTTCAGGAACGCATGGGTAAGCACGAGGCATTTGCATTTCACCTGGCAATGTCATTCAGCATGCAGCTATGCCCCTCCCGCCTGCCCTGCCTTCAGGTCTGTGTTCTAGGCATACAGATTTTTGCTCTTTTGCTTTGATGCTTCATCAGGAGCACAAACCTCTCAGTAGTGTATTAGCGGGGTCTGGGCCGATGCCGCATGATCAGGTGCCGGCAACAGCTACGGATCTCATTCCCCCGTCAAACTCCTTCTCCAGCTCCGGGGGAGCAGCGACCTCTGGGCTGGGGGTTCCGACAACGTCAGCGGCACCAGCTTTATTCCTGAGGCCAACGCCTTTCCGATCGCCCCTCAGTCCCCCGCCTACGAGACCCCTACTGCCAGCGCCGGCGGGGCCAACGGTCATGCGCCTGATATTGGCATCGCAGACCTGGAGTACTGCAGAGAGCTGAAGCTGCTCGTAGCGGTGCTTGCGGACGGGCGCGTCGTTCTCTGCTCAAGCGGGGGCCGGGGCCTGCGGCCAGTGAACGAGATCGTTCCGGAACGGTGCGCATATTCGCTTCTTGTGCGCTTGTTTCTGGGGATCTGGGGGCATCGTACTTTTATAATTTCTATTCCTGGCCAAGAGCAGCATCGAAGTTATTACCAGTCACTGGGCTCCGCAGAGTCTGAGGGCAGCGAGTTCTCAGGAGTCAGGTCCCAACAAGTACAAACGTCTTACGGGGGACAAAAAGCACGACTTCTGGTGTGGGCTCAGTGAATTGGCTTCTTCTTCCAGGAGACTACTAAGTTTCAAGTTTCAGATCCTCCGTACGGCTGGCTACTGCATCGCACATGAGAGGCAATCAAAACGGGCTTCGACGTCAGCTGTTTGCCGCCTGGCGTTGCCCCCCTCCCGAGACCCGACACCTGCATTGGTGCGGGCATGCCCTGATGCATTGGGGGGCGCGGAACGAGCATGCCGATTGCGTTGGGGCCCCATCTCCGTGAGATCCATTGCAGAGGAGGGACGGTCGGTCACGGCACTCTCCAAGTTTCTGGGATAAAAGCAGCCTTCGACGCCGATAGCACAATAATACCTTTCTCTTTCTCTTCAGATGGGTCGGAGTCGCCGACGCGGTCTGCGCCGCCGTGGGTCCCCGCGCGGAGGTCCTCGCCGTCGGCTCGCAGCGCGCGACCGTCGAGCTCTTCGACCTCTCCCAGAACGCCGCGTACCTGCGCACCATCGCGCTCTTCGACTGGGGCTACTCCGTCGAGGACACGGGCCCCGTTTCCTGCATCCGGTGGACGCCCGACAACGCCGCGTTCGCGGTCGGGTGGTGCCAGCGCGGCCTGGCCGTGTGGTCCGTGTCCGGATGCCGTTTAATGTGCACGATACGGCAGGGGAGTGTGAGCCACGCGTTGCCTCCGGTCTCGCCCGGGGGGTTCCCCCGGACGCCCTCGAAGAGGAGTGCGGAGCCCATGGCGGGCGGGGTCGGGGGACTGGCCTGGGGGCAATATGGGTACCAGCTGGTGGCGGCGGAGGCAAAGTCGGCGAGCCGGCTGGTGCAGTTTCCGTTTGCGCGGATGTGTGTCACGCGGCCGGTTGTGGGGAACGCGCAGGTGTTCCAGCTGATGCAGGTGAGTAGGCAGGAAGCTTTGGTTGTTAAGAGGTAGAAAGGGAACGGGTCGGAATACTCCCAAAGAGAGCTGGGACGATGATTCGGGAAGCTGACTAGCCTTTGTTTCCTTTGGGTGGCGGCAGAACGAGGATATACAGAGAGAGAAGTTGAAGGCTGACCGGTTTCATGCTCATCGGTATTGTACGTCATAGACAGCTGTTGGTCGTACCAGAACGACAGACTGTGAAATAGGGATTTTGCTTCTTTGCCGTTGGCGGGAGCAGTTCCACTTTGTGGGAACTCCTAACGTACCAAGGGTTTGACAGCTGTTGTTTTCTTGCTTTTCTTACTAGCTCATCCCGGATGCTGACCGTCATCTCCCCTGCCGCGTTCCGCAGGCGGAGGACCGCATGCTACTGGTGCAGAGCCTTTCCTTTTAAGTGGATCGAGCCCTCTCTTTCCCCGCGATCTCCTTACCTTCCCCTCTCTCTTTCTTAGGTTGACGCAAAATTCTTCGCCCTCTGGTAGGCGGAGGACCGCTGCAGACCCTTTCCTTTTAAGTGGATCGACCCCTCGCTTCCCCCGCAGGCTCCTACCTTCTTCTCTCTCCTTCTTCGCTTGACACAACATTTCTCCCCCCTTGATAGGCGGAGGACCGCGTGCTCCTGGTACAAAGCGACGACGAGGAAGAGCTGAAGTTGCAGCACTTGGTGGTCCCGCGCAACTACCTCGCCGCCAATTGGCCCGTCCTCCACGTGGCAGCCAACGAGGACGGCTCCTACCTGGCCATCGCTGGCCGCCGTGGCCTCACTCTGTACAACATTCGTGCAAAGAGGTGAGCGACGAGTGCACATTGCTGGGATTGAGTAGGCGCCTTCCTGGTTTTTAAGCAGGAAGAGGTCGGAAAGGTCAATTAATAGTCGGTTCTTGAAGACAGAGGGTTCCAAGGCAAGGGACGGACGGGACGTGCTGTTTGTTCACAAAGCAGATTCGATTGTCGAATATAAACGACTATCATCGAACATTTGCTGGGACGGCCAACGCGACTTAGCTCTCGTTATTGGCTTTCTCGGAGAGCCGGGGCCCGGTCTGGATCGGCCAATCGCCTCAGCAGTTGTTTCCGCAGTTCCACTTGGGATGATTGATCGAAGCACACTGCAACAGGATCTAGACCCGCTCATTTATAAACTCCGGATTCATCACACTCAACAGCCGCCCAATCTCGTCCTGCCAGGTGGCGCGTCTTCGGCGACATCGCGCAGGAGAAGCAGGTGGCGTGCGTGGGGCTCCTCTGGCTGGGGCGCATCGTGGTAGCCTGTTTACACCGCGAGGCGACCAATTCCTTTGAGCTGTGTCTGTACCCGCGCTACCATCTGGACGAGTCGAGCCTGCTGTGCCGGCTGCCGCTGCCGGACCGCCCCATCGCAATGGACACGTGGCAGGATTACATTTTGGTGGCGACGATGCCGTTTGACATCCGGGTATTTCACATCCACGTGGATGGGGAGCTGTCGCCGCTCAGCACGCCGCCGGTCAGGGTGAGCGGCCTAGGTCTCCGGCCACTGAAGTTTTGATTCCAGACCTTATTTACGCCGATGAAGGCTACGCAGCAGACTTGTTTACTAATGTTGGTCTTAGGCGGCCTTCCGTTGATTGCAAGGGTGTGGCTTGCATAGACAACGATCACAGCCTTTGCTCTTGCATTAGAAGTAGCTGATCTGGCCCACACTTGATCGAACCTGGTTTCGATTGATCTTGTTTCGGAGGCAGGATAAAGCCCCACCGAATACATGCAAGCCGCTTTGGTAGGCCGTCTGCTTGTCATCTCGTCTGCTCGTCTCCCTGCCCCCTTTTGTTTGCTCTCCCCACGTAACCACTTCCACTGTCCGCCAGTAAAGCCCAACCCTCAGCACTATTGCTGAATCTTTCTATCTATCCCCCCCTCCTCAGGCCCGCACGGTGCGTGAGCTGTCCATTATGAGCGCTCGCAAGCCCCCCATCGACATGCGGTTCGTGCCCACGTCCGGCTTCCCCGAGCTGGACCAGGCCTCGTCCTCCGCTTCGGGGGGGTCCGCAGCCCCCTCGGGGCCCGCCCCCCTTGGGGGGGGGATCCGGGACCAGGCCGCTGACGCCGTGCTACGTCAGCCGACCCGGTGCATGCTATTGCGGACCGACGGGGAGCTGAGCTTGCTGGACTTGGACCGAGGGAGCGAGCGCGCGCTCGTGGCGGGCGTGGAGCACTTTTGGCTGACGGGGGCGCGGGCGCGTGAGGAGGAGCTGCTGATGGAGGAGGTGCCGTGGTGGGCGTACGGCCATCGGGGAATGCAGGTGGGTGGACCCGTTCGTAGGATTCGGTGGGAGTTCGACGGCTTTCCCGACCTCTCTCTCTTTCCTTGTCGAACTTATTGTTCAAAGGACCAAGCACGCCCAGTCGTCTGCGACTGAACCAAACCGTTGAAGTTGCTGCATTGACAGAAGAAAGCTTATGGATATCCTGCACCTCCCCCTATGCACCCTACGACGTTGGAACCACCTTCCTTCACAGCTGTTGAACATCTTCTGCTCAAAAAGCCCCGAGACCTCACGAATCTCGCATCTTAACTCTCTTTGTAGTTGTGGTACCTCTCTTGTCCCTGCCAATCTCTCAGCTCTACAAGGCAAAATCTTCTAGGGTCTCTCCCCAGCATCCGGCTACTAGATCTTAAAACCATGGAAGTCTACAATCTCGAAATAGTGAACCTCCCTCCAGGTGGTACCCCGTCCAACCCTGCGGCCAAAAGTATCAAACCCTGCTATCTCAAACCCTAATTCTCCCCCCCAGGTGTGGTACCCGTCCAGCCCCGCGGACACCAGCACCAGCAGCACGGACCTGGACCGCCTGGACCCCGAGCTCGACTTCGACCGCGAGGTGTACCCGCTCGGCGTGTCCCCCGCCGCGGGCGTCATTGTCGGCATCTCGCAGCGCCTCGCCCTCTCCGCGTGCTCGGACATGCCCTGCTTCGAGCCCATCCCACAGGCGCAACCCATTTTGCCGTGCCTGCTGCGACACCTGCTACAGGTGAGCCGGGTGTAAGGATCCGGGATCGAAGGGTTCTGGGGATTTGAGATCACAGGCGTTGACGGGCTTAAGGGGTGTAGTTTGCCCCCAAACGGAAGGGTCCTTACGCTACGCTGTGGTTGCTGAAGCCGCTCTTAGGATGGTCATCCGTTTCGCTGCGACTTCGTTGATAAGTGCACGCTTGCAGCTCTGTGTGCTTTGACGCCGTACGAAGAACGAGATGACAGCACGGCTCCTTCATACTTCCTGTTTTACAAGCAGATCTGCTGATTCCCGGAACGAGGCTCGTTTCGTTGCCGTGCACTTTTTTGCCCTCGGCCGATTACCTGGAAACCAACCTCCACTACTTATCCCCTTCAGCGTGTCAAGAACGTCTCCGTTGTTTCCATTCCTCCCTCTCCTTCACTTATTGGAAAACATCCTTTCTAAATCCATTGTCTGCTCAACATGGCAGGCCTTCTCAGTACTCAGAAGTCCTGTTCCGCTTGGAATTCTCACTTTGCCATCCTACACTTCAAGCTTCGAACCTTTTCCACCTGCAGCGCGGCGCTCTCGAGGAGGCCGTCCAGCTGGCGCGCCTCTCCGCGAGCCGCCCCCACTTCTCCCACTCCCTCGAATGGCTCCTCTTCACCGTCTTCGACGCCGAGATGGCCCAGGCGTCCGCGCGCCGGAAAGCCGCGCTCAAGGCGCAGCAGGCGGGCCGGCCGGGGGGCAAGACGCCCCCCGGGAAACCCCCCCCACCGGAGGGCCGCCCGCCGGGCCAGTCGATGCTCCAGCGTGCGTGCGACCTGATCCGGCACTTCCCCGAGTTTCTGGACGTGGTTGTGAGCGTGGCGCGCAAGACGGACAGCCGGCACTGGGCGGAGCTGTTTGCGGCGGCGGGAAAGTCGACGGAGTGAGTGGCGAGAGTGGAGTTCGGTGTGTTTCGGGGTTGGCTGGGTGCCACGATGAGGGTTGTGTGGGCCGCCGTCGCAGCGGAATGTTCTAACTTTTAGGAGTGTTTGACCGGTTGATTCTGCCAAGTTTTGGGTCAGAACGATACCAAGATATCATTGTCGACTCCTCAAGCACGCAGTCCCAACATCTGCCTAAACTCGCTTCTCGGAAGACCTTTCCTTTTTCTCTTCACTTTTCGTCTTGCTTTTGAGGTGAGAACCTCTGAAGAACCAAAGTCAGACTCTTAATTCAGGTTCCGAAATGAATGCAAACTGACAAGGTGCGGCGCGGAAGCTTTTTGCGTTAAACTGGACCTGTTTCCATTGTGCAGGCTGTTCGAGGAGTGCCTAAAACGGAAGCAGTACCGGACTGCCACGTGTTACATCCTGGTGGTCGAAAAGCTGGACGGGCCCACCATGGGCCAGCGGAACGCACTACGGCTCCTACAGGTGAAACGCTCGAATTGACTCAAATTCCATGGGTTCGCAGGGAAGTCCCGCGTGTGTCCTGTCGTTTTTCCTGCTACAGTCGCCCACTTCTACTCCTGCTTCCATGGGCAGTTCCTGTTTCAACGGACCTCAGCGCCTGAGTTCAGGCTCGCGCTTCCAGCACTCCACTTTTCCCTCGCAATAAGGAGGCTTGTGCTTCCTCTCGACATGATCCTACTTCAAGACGTCAGGCTCCGCAATGAAAGGGCGCGCCAGCAATTTGAGGACTACTCTGCTCCTGCTGGTGGATGACGTCACCCCTGACGCCTGCCCGCCGTGCCCCGCCCCGCAGACGTGATTGAACACACGAAATATATTGATAAGCCGACATAACAACAAGGTAACTGCAAGTGGGACGGGTAAGTTAGTTCGGTGGTTAGGGTGGGTATGAGCTGATTACCATCTTTCTTGGGTTTCTTGCAGACGTGCCTGACGGTGTCGCTGTACGAGCTGGCGGGCGAGCTGGTTCGGTTCCTGCTGCGGTCGGGGCGCGACTACAGCGCGAGCGGGCGCGAGGACGAGAAGGACGACGGGATCCTCAAGTCCTTCTTCCGCTTCGGCTTCACCAGCGCGTCCCCGCAGGTGCGCTAGGGGGTTGCGGAAATCTCTGGAGTCTGAGGATTGCTAGGCTCTGCTGAGTCCGAAGTCTTGGGGGGCGTCTGTTTTGCTACCTGTCCGGGATACGTCATCGAAGAACCTTTTGGAGAAACCTCAAGGATAGTCGTAGGTGTGCTACACGCGACTGCCAATATCTGCAGCTCAGTGTCCAACAAAGAATTGCGTCTGCCGAGCAGCTTTCTCAGCTCCAAATCTATTGCATAACAGTCTCAGCTGCGGGTGCGCGCCGAACTCTGCAAGCGACGGTGAAAACCCGCAGCGGACTCTCAAAGAAGGACAGCGTCTGCCGAGCAGCACCCCAAGCTCCAAACCCGTTTTTCAATAATCTCAACCGCAGGTATGCGCGGCGCTGCCCACAATGTTAAAGCTCCAGCATTTGACCGGGGGATTGTCTCTGCCTCAAACCTTGCCATTGGAAGCAAGTTGTTGACGGTTGATCTCCCCCGCAGGTGCGCGCGGACGTGCTGCACGCGACGGTGAAGCACATCTTGGGCGACCATGCGGTGGCCCTGATGCAGCGCAAGGAGCTGGCGGAGCTGGTGGCCTTCATCAAGGGCACGCAGTTCGACTTCGTCGAGTTCCTGCAGTCGGATCGCGCCCGCGCAGCCCGCGCAGAGGACTTCCCCTCCGCGCTTCGGAGCATACGGAGCAAGGTGGGGTACCAAACGGATTTTGAAACATGGTAGACAGCCGTTTCGGGTTAAGAAGTGTTTTAGGGCAGATGTTCCTGTCGAGGTGTGAGCCCGGTCGAGGGCCAAAAGAGTCCGGAAGGCTAGACTTCGAGCCCAGAAAGGAATTCGAGTGCCGAGTTTGGCGAGCATTCGCTGCAGCAGCTTTGGTGCAGACTGCACATTGATGTCTAGGCTATCTCTACCTAACCGGCTGGGGATTTATTCCGGAAGTTTCTGCAAAGCCGTCTCGTGGGACGGATTGTTAGAAGCCCGTTGGTCGTCACAGGTCGATCATAAGCGATCTATCTTTGCAGGTCGGCGGGGACAACCCGAAGCTCCGGTCGGACGCCGAGTTCCTTTTGTACCATATGCGGACGGCCGGCTCGAGGGAATGGACGCTCATCTTCTCGACGGTGTTGCGACGGCAGGACGTCCTCTTAGAAGTCTTCCGAGCGGACACGAAGGTGTGGGGAGCATACAGTCGGACATTGCGAGCCCAGCCCAACGCGCATCAGTACGAGGACTTTTTGAAAGAGCTGGAGAGGCAACTAGGAACGGCCGCCCCAAATGGCACAACAAATGGCCAGCCCCCGAAGAACGTTGAGATTGAGCCGCAATCTCCGAAGCTAGCGGCGGGAAAGCAATAAGAACTTTTAAGGACGCGCGTGTCTTCTCTTGGACCAAAAAGCCCGCTATTTGCTGCCCCATGGTCATGCGGAGGTTGATTCTGTCCAGCGAGTTTGCATATCACCTTTCTTGTCATAGCGCTCGCAATCTTGATGTACCGACGCCCCCTGGCTGCACCTGACGTTTGAGTTTGTAGTAAGAACAGTTTTACACACATCTCTTGTGTGGTTGGGCATGGCCACTGGACTCGGGTTATTTTTCAGTGCATGCTGCGTGTCACGCGGCCGACGTGTCGTGAAGCTTTCAGTGCATGGCATATATGCACCCGGCGGCCGCCTGCTAGAATGAATGCCTGCTATGAATGCCTGCTAGGCTGCATGTATTACAGCTGCTTTAGTGACTGGGTACATTCGTTTTATGGACTGCATAACGCACCGAGGCCATCAGCTTGCGCCCATGTCATTGCCGATCATGGCGCAATCCTCACTGATGGTCACTTCTTTTTATACACGCTTAGGCACCTGGGCCCATGGCGCAGAAACAAGCAATTTCGGAGTTCGGCCTTCATCAAAAAATGTTTCTATAGCTAGTTAATTTAACTGAGCAGTTACTAACAACAAAGCAACATGACTGACATGACATGCTACCTCATCATGGGGCAACTACTGGGTATAAAAGTCACTTAGCAATACCAATCGGAGGCAAAGGGTTTATCAAAAGTGTCTCTAATTAAATGCTGTTCTACTGACCAAGTGTTAGTGAGGGCCGCGCCGACTCATGGGCTGGCAGCTGACTCCAAAGGCGGCTCTATTTGCCCGCCATGTCATCACTGATGTGTATCATGATCATATAGGACTGAGCCTGTGCCTACACATGGCCTGTGCACTGCACACTATGCAAGCCGCAGCCGCGCAGATCCATGTGCAATGAGGAAAGAGGGGGCCATGTGCATTGGCTCCATGGATTGCAAGTGCTACACGAAGCGTACATCTTTGATGCCACTTCTAAATCGTGCTTTACTCGCGCATTGACAGCCAGCAAGCTGCACCCAGTGCTATGCACCTGCTTGCCACGTAGTTGATCAAAATGTTGTCCCAAATGACAGACAACAAATACCAAGCATGCAGTATACTCAACTGATGACCACAGTAGTCCTGAAGGCCGGCAGACCTTGTGGGGCTTTGCATAGGTCCTATGGACGCAATTGGACGGTCATATGCCATCAGATGCAGCCTAAGCAGAGAATGTCTTACGAACGTTTCTTAACTGCTCACTGCATGTTGAACTTGCGGCGGAGTTAAAGGAAACTCTGGATAAGTGTCAAACTTGGGATTCATCACCCAAAGTCCGACAGGGAAGCAAAGTCTGCGGTGTGCACAAGTACAAGTTTTTGGGCCATGTACAAGAGCTAGTTCTAACCCAAAGTATCATTATACCTATCCAGCAAAAGCCTGTGGATCCTATTCGTGACTTACCTGTGGCTGGCACACAATTTCAAACTTCCGAGATCAGAGGGACATCGTTCAAGCCGATACCAAGCTATGGTAAGCCTGAAATCGAACCCCTCTCTCATGCTTTACCTCTTCTAGAGGACTCACCAAACCTACTTCTTGCCTGCATAAAGAAGCAACAAGCAAAGGTTATCCACAAAGAGCTGCCAATTCAAGCAAGACTAAGAGCTCTTACCAGGATCGGGACAAGTATAGTGCTGGGCCTTGGAACTTCATTAAAGTCTTGTTTGATAAGATTTTCAAGGGCTGAAGGTCGCACTTGGTGCCACATGTTTGACCACATGCATGGGACAGGAGACTTCACATTTGATGAGCCCTCCAGCAATCTAGTAAGCATGATTTGAACCTTACCTCCAATAGCTATAGGGCCGGTTCCGTTCTTTGCAGCCTTCTTTTCTTTATCTGCTTTCCTCTTCTCCTCCTTCGCCTTCCCTCCCTTGGGCTTGTTCTTTTCTGACTTGGCACTTGGCTTGGGCTTGAACTCTTCCTTGGGAGCCATCTTTTAAAAACTGCATGAAGAAAAGCGGCTCGTCATTCCAAATAGGGGATTGACAAACCTCCGTCTGACACTCAATTACCTTGTTCTGGTGGTACAGACACCGCTAAGAGAACAGATGCGCTGCAAAGCACTATTTAAAGCATTATTTAATTTGCTTAAAAAGCACTATTATCGTCTTGCCGTTTGACAAGACGCCAACGACTGAGACTGTTGCTGCAGATGCTGCAACTCAGAACGCAGACTCCAAACACAAGAACCCTACAATGGACCCGAGACAGAGGCAGCATTCGGAGCCAAAGGAGGTGGACTGCAGAAGCTGGTCGCTACAAAACATGGGTCATCTGTGCTTGCGCACGCTGGTATTCAAGTAAAATAACAACCTTGAGTTGAGTCCGTCACGAGAATCAACAAATGATTGCTTGACAGATCATTCTGCAGTGATTAGAGCATTTTGCTGACGTCAGATTTTCTCCCCTCAGCACAAACTTAGCACTCGTCTCATTTTTCTAGAATCTGCAAAGAGCCTACACGAGGCTCAGCCAAGTCAGAGGTTGCAGTCAACACTTTCTTGTCATTGAGCAGGTGTTAAAACAGTAGCAATCGCCTCTGCTGTGCAGTTTATGTCAGCCGACTGTTACCGGCAACTCAGGGGAAAACTCAAACCCTGCCATTAGAGACACCTAAATTGGCATAGCAATGTCTCGGTCCATTGCCCACCATCGTGCGCGCCTCTGAATACAGTGCCATTCTCCCTCTTTCTGTCCGCCAGACTTGATGATGCACTCAACGCAACAAGCATCCACACAAGAAACGCAGACACACCAACGCATGTGGTTTCCAGGCGCGTGAGAGGCGCACTCTGGGTGGTAGCACGAGCTACCATGATGGAAGATTGAGTCCTCAGAAAGACAAGATGCAACTTTCATGCAATTGCTGCTGCACAAAACATCGTCTTTCACATGAAAAGACACCATTTGAGACAATCAGACTCTGCAGGGCGGCTGCCACCACCAAAACTACGCCCGCCTGACCAACTCCTGCTTGCAAGCAATCCAGCGATGCTCCCCAATGATCTAGAGCTTCTCACCTCAGAGAAGGGTTGCAAACGCCACGCAATTGCCCGCCCTTGCAGTTGCAACGCGCCCTGGATGTCCTGGATGTTTACAGTGACTTTGTGCAGAAGATATTTTGCTGACAATTCGTTCGACTCATCAATGCTCAGCTTTTGTGCTTCAGAAGAACCCAACCTAGTTTCCGACTCCATTATTGCAGGTTCTGTCAAACCGGCCCCCTATATTAGACAGAGATAGAAAATTTGAGCCGCCCGATCAACAAGCTTGTCAGATGGTGCGGTCAATACGCCTCCATTGGCCCAGCTTAGAAAATTGGGTCAAATTTGGATTAAGTTGACCAAACCCTTCCCGCCAGAATACGGTACTACCTACCTACCTACTTGAAATCTTGAATGGCTGCAGTCAGCTCAGGATGAGCCTGCACGGGCTGCAGACTGCAGTACCACGCTTGACACGCTTGTGAACATCAGTGAAGCCGGCTGAAGCTCGCACATGGATTTGTAATGTGAGTCAGAGGCAGAGGGCGCACGAAGTGCCACCGTTGTATTGTACGCCTGCTTGAGCTACATTATCACAAACAAGCATATGTTGCCGCTGTAGTTAGGCGCAGAAGTGGCTAGGTACAGCATCGATTTACCAGCCGCTGGGGCTGACATTGAATTTCGAAGGGGGATTGCACTTATCACCGAGCAATTCGACAGACGTCCGCCCACCTTCCTCACCAAGCAGACAGTAACGATGGGCACAGTAGAGTTGGGCGGTAAGCCCCATCCGGAAGCAAACTCCCCGCAGGTAGACCTGGAAGGGAATCCGAACCTCGGCCCGCCGATTCCGCAGCGGTCCGTTGTCCTCGTGCTCGACTTCGGGTCTCAGTACACCCAGCTCATCGCGAGAAGGGTGCGCGAGCTGGGTGTGTACTCGGTCAGTCTCTCGGGAGATTCCGAGCAGGGGAAGATCGAAGCGGTCCACCCGACGGTCATCATTCTTTCCGGGGGACCAAACTCGGTGCACGAGGCCACGTCTCCCACCCTGCCTCGGAGCTTCTTCGCATGGACGGCAGAGAAGCGGATTCCTGTTCTGGGGGTCTGCTACGGAATGCAGCTCATAGTGCAGGTGTTGGGGGGTGAGGTGAAGCAGGCGGCGGAGCAGGAGTACGGGCGCATGCCCATTCGGCCGGTGAAGGGCTCGCACCTTTATGGCACTGACGTTGTAGACGAAGAGGTGGTTTGGATGAGCCATGGAGATGAGGCGGTGCGGTTGCCGGAGGGCTTTGAGGTGATTGCGAAGAGCAGTGGGGGAACGATCGTAGGGATTGAGGCGCCAAAGAGGCACCTGTATGGGCTGCAGTACCACCCAGAGGTGAGGGTCCATTGAGCGATGTTCCCGTGTCATAGAAAGTTGTCGCATCAAAGGGCGCACCGGTGGTAATGGTCACACCTGCTTGCCGGTAGTTCAGTTTCAGGACAGGGCTATTCGTCTGGACCATATCTCTTCTTTGCTGGCTTGCGTTTCTGCGACCACCAGTGCATCGCCACTTTTTGAAAGCTCTTCAGCAACTCACCGCTTTCAGTGGTATGTGGCGCCCAGATTGCGGGCTGCGAAGGTCTACGGGCTTGCCAGGGTCAGCCTCTCAATTCTGGGCCTAATGTACCTTCAACCTGCTCCATTGCTTAGGCTTCAGACATCTGATTTGCAACGAGAGAACCTAGGATACCGCTCTCGTCGGCTCTTTAAAGCTGAGAAGATCGAGAGAAGGATGTATCATCTGTTGTGCCATTGTTGCAAAACAAGTCTGTCCGAGAGCAAGCATGGTATCATCAGAGTAACGGCACCTAGGCTAGATTGAAGTGAGCCCCGCACCACCCTTATGTAGACCCCGCGAAGAATCATGGCAAGTTCAGGAGCATCGGCAGTCGTCAGAGTCTTGCCTGGCAGGAAGGGTACAACCATGGGTATTCAAGACAGCAGACAAGGCACAGACACCAGATTCGGACTGGCTAACACCAACGCAGCCACCATGACTTACAACACAACTTTACCCGATCAGGTGACGCACAGTGAACGGGGCCTTGCAACGCTGCGCCGGTTCGTGTTTGACATCGGCGACTGCACGGCAGACTGGAAGATGCAGGATGTCATGGAGGAAGAGATCAAGGCGATCCATGCAGCTGTGGGGCCAGACGACCATGCGATCTGCGCGCTTTCCGGGGGGGTGGACTCGACGGTCGCGGCGACGCTGGTGCACCGGGCGTTGGGGGACAGGCTGCACTGCTGCTTTGTGGACAATGGGCTGCTCAGGTCGGTAGCTTTTTTCTCAGGGCAGAGACCGGCAACGGCGCCAAGACCCTCGCTTTGGATACCCCCTCAGCCGGACCCCCGCCAATTCCCCCCACTCCCAAACACAGACGCACAACATGATTTTTCCAATTGGAGTGCCGCAGAATTGAGCTCTTATCTTACAAGCTTCTGGAGTCTTCAAGGTCTGGATTTTGAGGTTCTGGGGGGAGCCTGAACAGCTCTGACAGGATGCGGGTGTAGTTATGGGCTCGACTTGCTCGAGATGCTTCTGTGTGAGTGCTGCCCATGTCTGGCAGTAGCTCGGTACTTCGAGGAGGGAGTTTGCTTCCAATCGTCTGTGCGATTTGTCCGCTTGAATAATGTGACCTGTAGACGGGGAGGAAAGCAAGAGTGGGCTCTTCGTTTCAGATTGTCTAATTAGTCTGCTGGAGCCAGTCCGATAGTTTCTAACATGATGGGAATCGGGACGTAAAGCAGCCTGTCAAAAGTTTCGGCAGGGAATCTTGCTCATTCTCATTCAGAACATTTTTGCAACAGGAAGGGATACATATGGTCTAATAGAGCGGAACTGGTTCCTGCTTTGAAATGTGGTGTTGAGACATACCAAGACTTTTGGGCAAGCTAAGAAATTTCTCTTCAAGACAGTTCGACATGTTTCACTTGCACGGGTTCCAGAAACATCTTTCTTCCTTTGTTCTTTGTAGCCCTCTCGTCCCGACCTGCTTCGACCCTCGTCTTCGGCTCTCGATCGTGTTTTGTCAGACCTTCAAGGTTTTCTGCGGGTCCTTTCTGTGCTCCATGGGCTCCAGATTCGAACAACGGTTTCCCGCTACTTCTTTTGAACGATTCCAGGATTCATCCCTCATCTGTCCAGAGCTTTGTTACAAACTTCGCCCCTTCTCGTTGAAAGCCACGGACTTCGCACCTTCTTTCGAGGGTTCAGATTTTGCGCGCTCGTTCAGCCAGTTCAAAATCTCCTTTTTGGACAGATTCCGACCTTTTTCCTTTCGCCCCTACAGGTACAAGGAGCAAGAGCGGGTGATGGCGACGTTTGAGAAGGACCTGCACCTGCCGGTGACGTGCGTGGACGCCTCGGAGCGCTTCCTGAGCAAGCTCGCCGGCGTGACCGACCCCGAGAAGAAGCGCAAGATCATCGGGGGCGAGTTCATCGCAGTATTTGACGAGTTTGCGCTTGAGGTGAGCTGCTTATCTGGATACGAATCAAAGTCGATTGACATGTGCTGTCGCATTGCTCGTGGATGCGACAGCATCCACGGTTTGGATGGTTTGGAAGGCTTCGTTTTTCCCACAGTCGACGACTCAAAATGCGACAACCTTCGTGTAAAGGTTGAAAAGGTGACTGGGATCTGGGTGCTGATAAAAAGCAGGCCTGTCCTCCCACGAGCTTTGAATCCAGATACTGGACGGGTCGAGTCCACCATCTTCTGATGGACCAAAGTGCACTCATGCAGACCTACGATGACGACATTTGCTGGTCTTAAACCAAGCGACACGGCAGATTGAGGGCTCCGTCAGACTGGTAAAGCAGAATCACGCGGGAGATTGCAGCGAGCCACAACGCCCCAGCTTCATCGCTTGGAGTCGTGCCCTCGTTCAGTCACTCGGGCCCATCCCAACGTTACGCCATTTCTCTTTCGAACTCCGTACTAATACTCACTTTCTCCCGTTTCCCTCCCCCCCAGATCCAGAAGAAGTACGGCAAGCTGCCCAGCATCCTGGTCCAGGGCACGCTCTACCCCGACGTCATCGAGTCGTGCCCTCCCCCCGGCAGCGACAAGAAGCACAGCCACACAATCAAGAGCCACCACAACGTTGGTGGGCTGCCCAAAGACCTCAAGTTCAAGCTGGTGGAGCCCCTTAAATGGTTGTTCAAAGACGAGGTCCGCGCCATGGGGAAGCTGCTGGACGTGCCCGTCGGGTTCCTGCGGCGGCACCCGTTCCCGGGGCCGGGCCTTGCGGTGCGCGTGCTCGGGGACGTGACGGCGGGGGACGCGCTGCAGGTGCTCCGGGAGGTGAGTCGCCCGCTGGACATGTTCGGATTAGGCTTTTTCATGTGTTTGGGGCGCTCTTGCGGGTATCTTTTGGTGCCTGCAAATGTCAAGTCCGTTGAAAATGAGTGCATTGAGTGCGGCGTAGCTCGGGGACATGACAGCGGGGGACGCGCTGAAGGTACTGCGGGAGGTGAGGCGCGCACAGAGACGTCTTTGGATCTGGAGACGTTTGTGTGTTTTTGAATTCTGTTTGGGGCGCTCTCCCGGGAATCGTTCGACGCAGAGTTGCCTGCAAAGGTCGGGTCGGTGAATTCAACGAGTGCATCGAGTGCGGCGTGCTCGGGGACGTGACGGCCGGGACGCGCTGCAGGTAGGGCGGGAAGTGGGGCGGGGAAATACGTCTGCTCGTTGCTGAGCTTACCTGTATGCTTGGGGCGCTTTTGCGGTCACGATCTGCTGAGGTTTTTGCGGAATGGCATATGCTGGGTTGGTGAACTTAACGAATGTACTTCGCTTTTCGCACGCAGACTTCCAAGGAAGTCAAGATGGGTCTTTCGAGTGGTCTGTCAAGTTAGAAAATGCCCAGTGCAGATCAGTTGGCTGCAAAGTCTGGCGTGAAGTTTCTGTTTAGGGAGACTTGAGTTAGGGCAGCTAGTCGCGTGCGATTTGGGGCGAGATTGCGCCAAAACAAACGGAGCGCACGGTCGTCCAAGGTCTGCACGCCCTCGTTGCTTTCGCAAATCGGTCATCGGTGGCAACGCCTTTGTTGGTCAGCATGCGCGCGTGTCTCGCCGTGACAGCACACGATTTTCTCCACCCCAGACAGAAGACTCGCCAACCGCTCCACCCCGCAGTGTTGTCTAATGCGCTCTTCCGCGCCCCCCAGGTGGACGAGGTGTTCATCAACGCCATCCGCGACGCGGGCCTGTACGACCAGATCTGGCAGGCGTTTGCGGTGTTTCTCCCGATCCGGAGCGTCGGCGTGCAGGGCGACAAGCGCACGCACACGCACGTGGTCGCGCTGCGGGCCATCACCAGCCAGGACGGCATGACGGCGGACTGGTGAGCCCCTTATCTTTTTTGCCGCTAAGGTCCCATTAGTCCTCCTTTTGCCGCCCGGGGCACACTTGATGGACGCGGAGTTTGGCTGCAAATGGAAGCTGGTCCGGAGACTTCTGTGTGTGGCCCTAAAAGCTACAGTTTTGTGTGCTGTGCTCTTGCCCCCGTGTGGACACTCCATTGGCGGGGCTTTTAAAGAGCGAAGTCGTGCTTTCGTCCTCCTTTGCGACTACGACGAGCAAGGCCATGAACAAGGTGCTTCTGGTTTGCAGTATATCGTATGTTGCTTCCTGCCCCCGGTTTTCGCCGACAATTGGAAAGGGCTGATTGCAATGAGAGTCGTTTGTTCAAGAATCTGCAGTAAATGGGCGGAAGTGAAGTTTATTCGAGAATGAACAGAAGAGGTGCTTGCAGAAACTTCAGAGAGGCCGCTTGCGAAGAGGCTGCTTGTTCTGGTTGCTGGAAAAGCAACGTGACTAGAGTCTCGTGACGGCGGCTACATCTCTAGTCAAAATCTGCAAAGACTGACTGAGACCGCATGTTTCGATTGCAGGTTCCAGTTCGAGCCCAAGTTCCTGGCGTCCGTCTCCGCCAAGATCTGCAACACCGTCGCTTCCGTCAACCGGGTCGTGTACGACATTACGTCAAAACCGCCCGCAACGGTCGAATGGGAGTGAGGCAGAGAGGAGAAGCGCTTGTTCACGATGGTGGAAAAGATCGGTTGAAAGATGCAATAGGTTCTTAAGAAGTCGTCGACAGGCGATGGAACCGGCTGGCGCCGCAGGTATAGAAGATTATGTTCCAGAGTCTGAGCGGGGGAGTAGTACCAGTGTGTACATAAAGGTATGTTGGATTGGCCTGGTAGAGCAGGTGTTGAGAGTTGTTGCAGAACGAGTCTGTTTCCTTCGCTGATCTCAAGTCTTGCTGTCGAAAGCTTTGCTGAGAGCAAACGAAAGCTTCCGATTTGCAGGCGTCTGATTCCACGCATGTACACAAGCATGTACATGCTCATCCTGCTTGCATATGGCTCATTATATCACTAACGATCGACTAACGCTCTATCACTCAGAGTCAGATACAAGTAAATAAAATAAGATAGTACCTGGACTATCAGCTCAAAAAGAGATGCGAGTGCCACTGCATAGATCCGGCCCAGTATTACCGCAGGCTCCTGAAGAGAAAGAGATGGTACATGTACTAGCTATTGAAGAAATAATGCAATGACTCGTCGTTTTTACATTACAATGTGACAATTCGACAATTACCGACCCTCAAGCCGTTCTATACATGTATGTTCGTTTTGAGCTATCCTATATACCATGGTTATTTACGTTGCTTTGAATTAAACGCCGGTGGATCATACCGGCCAAGTGCAATGCACATATATCTAGTACAGCGCGATTGCACATGACAACAGCTCATGAGTCATTGCTTGCAATTGTATTGAGCTAGCCTGGTTCATGCATAGGAGCCATTAGTACAATCTTTGTCTTGTTACTCCGATTGGAAAGGGAGGAGTTTTGATCTCACTTGTAGGGGGCCATGAAGATATTGAAAGATCACTGTAATAAAAAGATCTACCGGATCGCACTTGAATTTCGCGAGAATCGAGTGTTCATTGCATACAATCTCTTAGCAAAGCTCGTAAACGACTCTCCGTCCAATCAGAATTAGCCTGCGCCACTCTAGCTTGACAATTGCGATGTTACCAACCTATCCTTCAGCATCTGGGCCTTCTGAGGAAGATGGCCCCATTGAGCGGAGCCACCGAACAGAGCTAGCCTGCAATAAGATAAGGAATCAACGGAACCATCATGGCAGGGCAGAATACAACTAGCCCGGCCTGATAAAATGAAAGACTCTATCAAAAGTCAGCTCCATCATGTGCCAGCTGTCTATAGTTGGCGCTCAGGAATCGAGCCACAGTGCAAGCAAAGTGTGTTCAACAGAAACAAGGTCCCTTGGTTCGCACTTTCGTGGTTGCTCAATTGCGCCACACTTCGATGAGGAAGGAAATTTTTGATTCTTGGGTGACTCACCTCTTGCCGATGTCCATACAGCTTCTCGAAGATCCTCTCGGTGCTTTTCTCTAGAGCCGGCTCATGCACACGCAGCTCTGTCAATGATGGAGAAGCCAAAAGCGGCTTGAAAAACTCTCCCGCACTCTCGTGGATTTTAGAGAAATCATTGATTGCCCAGACATAAGCGGAATCCTCTCAATATGAAATGAGCAGCTTCTCGAGGAATGGCAAAGCTGCCATTGCTTCGGCCCCTTTCTTGTCTTTCCAAAAGGCTTCGCTGCGAGTCATGTTGAACACGGAAAGCTCGGTCAAGGACTTAAGCTTCTGAAGCTCCATGAATATCTGCATAGAATCAGGCATGTCCCGATTGCTGTGCGTGTTGGAGAAGTGGAGCACTGCTGAGGCGAGCTTTGTATGTTCCCCGACAAGGTTCAATTCCGTAGGTGCCATTCGCAACCTCAGGGTGTGAAGATTGGGGCACTCGATGGAGAGAGCCCCGTGGACTCCTACCAACTCAAGGTCCAAGTGGATCAGGAGAGGCCATCCAACCGTCTCCAAGCTTTGACCGGTTGGCGTCCTGATTCTGCAACCAAGGCTTGCTACCTGGCTTCTGAATGGATTGAATGAAGCAAATATATCTCCTGCCTTTGACCAAGACAATGTGGAGATGCCGACCTCTGTAAGCGTCTCAGAACTTGCTAGCGCAATGCGATTGAGGACTAGACACAGCTCTTCAGGGGTCTGACTAAAAGCTTTATCCCAAAGATCAAGTTTCAAGCTTCTGAGGGCTCTGCACTTCTCAAGAATGGCCACAAGAACGTCCAGATGTGTGCTGACGGTAAGCACAGACGGGTTTGCCAACTCAAGAACTTCAAGCGAAGTACACTCGAGGATTGGGGAAAGGTCAACAAGAGTGTCAACAAGCCAAGGAGACCTTTGCAATTTGAGGCGCAGGATGCGCAAGCTTCCTGCGAGTTCTGAAGGTAATGGGATCATAGTCAGCTCAGGACCTGAAGGACCATTGACGCAGAGGCTCCGTGTACAGTGCGGCAAAGCAACTAGAAACTCTTTCAAGGTGTCATCTGTGGCTACGTGTTGTGTCCCTCTGTAGACATTGACAGAGACACTGACGTTCTCAAGCAAGGGAAACCTCGCAGAAGATAGAATTGAAAGGTCAGGAGGAGGAAGAGCTGCTCTCTGCATATGGAAGCTCAACGTGTCAAGGTTGGCTACATCATCCTCTGCCAGTGCTTCCAACTCTGACTGTCCAGCGACGTGGAAATGTACTTCCTTTAAAGCTATGCCACCCCGTTGAGAGTGCTCGACATCACTGGAGCCTGTGCGCAACTTCAGTCTAAGTGGCCCGTAAGTTATCCTCCCACCTGAAGATTCTTTGTAAGAGGGATACGATTGATGGTACCCAGGCTGGAGGACCGTCACCGTCTCCAGCATTGGCCAGGTGCCCTCAAATGGAAGCCTGTTCTTCTTCAACCAAGCTTGGCATCCATCGCAAAAGAACGTGAGGCTCCGCACATTTGGAAAACACCTTCCAAGGTTCTTCAATTGAGTAATTGGGTACGAGAACTTCGTAACAAACTGGGGGAACACGCTGGAAAGATCCAAATCTGTGACAGCTTGGAAGCAGGAAGGCATCAGCTTGACCTCCTTCCGAAGGCATCGCAGGCGTACATGCTTGCGAGTCTGGCGCTCTGCGTCCTTGAAATCTTTGCAGACCAGAGAACACGAGTTCCTGTCCTTCGTCTTTGGAACTTTCTCCAAGACCAGCTCCAACAGCCAGCTCTGGCTTAGAGCGAGCGGTACAGAGCCGCCGTGCTCTCTTCCAGGAACATCACCATCACCTTCACCGGAGCACCCAGCTGAGGAGGGGCTTATGGCGGTCATCTAGGCAATTGGCAGCATTGCACACACCAGACTGATCAAAATTAATAGCAAAATTTCTAGGATAGGCGGCCTTTTTGATGTGCTGGACAGCTTGAGCTGCGCCAAGCTCCATGCACAAACAGAGTCTACCTAGTTATTAGAGTTTAACCTTGGACAAGGGGTGTGGGTTTGCATTCTAACGGAATACTGTTAATGCGTTGGCAGAAACTTAATATAAACAGAACTGTAGCTGGTTGCGGGTTCGGCTCGGTCGATAAACCCCATCCCTCTTAACCCTTTCGTTAATACAGCGGTTAACATACAAGTCATGCTGCTTTGAAGGTTGAAGTTGCATATGAATCTACAGTACTACTACTAGTAGTAGTAGCCTCAGTGCAGCATAACTATCAAAGTAGACTCCTTTTGTTAGTGTCTCCGCCCCTCTAATAGGTGTGAAATACTCTTGATCAACCCACCTGGAAGCACCTGAAGTGTGACAATTATTGCAAGTTGTCGGTGGTTACGGGAGTGGTTACAACGTTGACAATGAGACTGACATCGACATTGACATCGACATCGACATTGACATTGACATCGACATTGACATTGACCCCGGGGCACTTACTATGACATTCGGGTTACGTTGCAAACCTGTGACGGTTCACGCCAGCCGACGAGCGCTTTGTTAGGGTTACGCCATTTCCGAGTGACATTAGGGTTACTCACTGACAGTAACAACCGGGCAGAGTAATTTTGTTTTGGTGTTGTAAGCCATTTATCCTGACCCGGTTCCATCTTTACTAGAATCTGTACCGCAATGTGTACGGTAAAACCTGACATTCTGACGCATTTTTGTTCGAAGGACCTGATCTGACAGTACGGTCCACGCGGATACCCTGTGAACCTATGATCCCGCGTGTAAGATGTTTTCACACTTTTTTGGAGCCTGAGACACTAACAAAAGGAGTCTACTTCGTCGTACTTAACTCAGTGCAGGCTCTGTGCAGGCTTTGTGCAGGCTGTTGAAGTTCAAATGCATCCAAGTTTACTGTTTAGGACGTTGTGCAGATTGAAATCTGAAAAGGTTTGCTTGGAAGAGGTTTGATTTCGTCTCATGTTTACTCATCCAATCTGGTTCTGAGAGAATGGGCGCAATGGACACTGGCAACATGGAGGGCAGGTGGCGCGATCTGGATTACTTGCTTTTACGGCAAGGGAACATTGTTGGGCCTGGCTTTGAGCCAGCACCAGAGGTACTTCTCGGACTGCAACTTTTATTCCACTGGCTGCTTGAACAGAACATCAATCCTGCAAGTTGTTGCGATCATTTGTGTTGCTTCGTTGTCTCACCAGAAAGAGGCAGTGGCTTGACCAATTGCTTCCTTTGATTACATTCTTCTGCAGAATTTTGGTCTTGTTCATTCTGCCAAGCATGTATCTGGTTGAGTATGTATTCCAAAAGTACCACCACCTTTTCCATCAACTGCAGATTCGTGATTTCCTCCAAGATGATTTTAAAGTCCTCGTCATCGGCGCCGGGGGACTAGGTTGTGAGCTGCTGAAGGATCTGGCCCTCTCTGGGTTTGGGCATATTGACGTGATTGACATGGATACAATTGATGTTTCAAACCTCAATCGGCAATTCCTCTTCAGGTAAGATACTGATAAGTTTGGTTATACACGTTAAGGAAGCTTTTATGCCACATCGTGACGGGCTCGTCTAGGAAATAGAGTTGGGTGACCATGCCAACACCACACAGAAAATTATGTGGTTGAAGACGATTGATGGTCTGGAAAAAACGTTTTGCTCCTTTTTTATCTATGAAAGGTTCTTTATTCTCTGTTTCATTTGTAACTTGAGGAGATGATGTATCTTAATACTTTCAAGCTACAATTCCACTGTTGAGGATGCATGACAAACCTTGTTGGAATGAAGCAGAAGGAAAGTCTCATCTGTAGGCTTACTTCAGGTGCTTACTGCCCAAGTGGATGCATTAGGCAACTCCATTTGGTTTGGACGCCTTCCTTTAATGCCTGCAGGATGCATGATGTTGGAAAGCCAAAAGCCACTGTAGCTGCGGAGCGGGTGATGAAGAGAGTGAAAGGGGTAACTGTAATTCCTCATCACTGTCGGATCGAAGAGAAGCCAGACGAGTTCTATAAGGACTTCCACATCATTGTTCTAGGCTTGGATTCGCTGGAGGCAAGAAGCTACATCAACTCTGTCGTCTGCAGTTTCCTCGGTGAGGAAGATTACCTTCGTTGGACTCCTTATTTGTGTATTAACCTGAAACAAATGTTGGAGCAAACGTATGGATAGCAAGGCGCAGATCTCAGCTTCTGCTGGCTGAGACTTCTGTACTGCTTTCAGTTTGACAAGAAGGCTGTGGTATGTAAATGACAGGCTTAGGATGTACTGGCCTCACTGTGTGAGACTTACCTGCGCCAGAATGCAACAAGACTCTTGAGACCAACCACATCGCTGCAGAATATGATGCTGATGGGACGCTTGACATGAGCACCATCAAGCCGATGGTGGACGGAGGCACAGAAGGCTTCAAAGGTCACGCTCGTGTGATCCTGCCTGGAGTGACGCCATGCTTCCACTGTACCCTCTGGCTCTTCCCGCCCCAGACCACCTTTCCCCTCTGCACCCTGGCCGAAACCCCGCGGTCTCCTGCTCACTGCATCGAATATGCACATCTCATCCAGTGGGGACAGGTGAGAGACCGTGGTTACCTACTAGGGTGTTTCTGTTGCCAGTGCACCTTTGATTGGGGAAGAGCTGCGCTCTGTCATCGGTCGTTTTCTGTTGCGAGTGGGTCTTTGACCTGGAAAAAAGATGCTCTCCGTCGTCCCATTCCTTTTTTTGAACAAACTCGTCATGTCACCTACACAGCCGACAGTTCGATGTGCTTGATTTAATTAGAGTGATCAGATTGTCGCTTACATATCGTATCCTGCTTCGTTTGGCAGGAACGAACGAGCGAGACGTTTGACGCTGATAATCCGGAGCACATGAAGTGGATGTACGAGCAGGTACGAAATCCACCTTAATGTCTCACGAATTGAGCTGTTTGTTGTAAGTTCTGCCATTATTGGTCAAACGGTCACAGAGAGGCAACATATTATAATCTTGTTTGAGAAACTTTTTGATAAATCAGCACGAGCAGTGTCCAAGTTATGCCTGGCAGTCAGTCTCAAAAAAGGTATCCCTGAGATTCCTTCTAATGTTTCTCGTTAGGTTCGCTTCAATCATCTTCCGAGCGCTCTCGTTGCATTCTTTGACGACGTTTCCAAGTGAGATGCATAATTTGAGCCGTTCGTTTTTGTGCAGGCTTTGAAGCGTGCAGAGCAATTCAACATCTCGGGCGTCACCTACTCGCTGACGCAAGGGGTCGTCAAGAACATCATCCCCGCCATCGCGTCCACGAACGCCATCATAGCGGCATCGTGTTCCTTGGAGGCGCTCAAGATCGCGACCATGTGCAGCTCCGGGATGGACAACTACATGATGTGAGCAGCTTCTCAACAAATGGACGACTGTTATCGTGAGGATCTTTTGCCTCTGCGCCCCTCTTTCTGTATCAATTCGCGGTTTGAGGCAGGGAAGTATTTTGTTCATCAGCTGCCGTCTAAAAGCTGCAATGAACGGCAGCGCCTCCCAACGTTCTACAAGCTTGCGAGGAGCAGGTACAGAGGGTGGGCAGAGCTTTGATTTGTCGAATCCTCGTCGGCGAGTGAAGTTTCGAGCGAGCTTCGGTGGTCCTGTTGTTGCTTCGGTAGATTTCGCAGTTATGTTGTCTGATGTGTTCACTGACTTACTGTTCCGTTTGCCACACAGGTACGTGGGCACGCAGGGCGTTTATACACACACAGTTTCGTACGAAAAGGACATGTCGTGCATCGTCTGCAGCCTTGGGGTGCCTGTTCATGCCGATGCAGATTCGACCCTTGATCAGGTCAGCCCTCCACACCGTGCGCCCTAATGCGAACTCACATCATTTGGAATGGTTCTGCGAGACTGCACGAGTTCGCAACCTTCGGCAAAGATGTTCGATGCTGTTGCTGATTTTCTCGACTTACCGGAAAAGTAGAGCATGGTCGTAACGTGGTGACTCTGTCTGCGATGTCCTCATGTCTTACCACCGCTGCTTTGGGCACTTGGGAACGGTCGCTCGAGCGTGATTTCTTGCTTGAAGCAACAGTTCTCTACTCTCTTCGTTTCAGTCCAAGTCGCCAACGTTCCAAAACAGCTTCGCTTCGTTGTCTGCAGTTCATGAAGCAGCTTATTGCGGACGACCGTTTCAGTGGCAAGCTGTCCAAGCCCAGCGTTTCGCACTTGGGAGAGAACCTGTACATGGCCGCACCTCCAATTCTAGAAGAAATGACGCGGGAAAATCTTAGCAAGTCTCTTGTTGAACTGCTGGGCGAGAAGGGCGGCACTGTGAATGTGAACGACAAAAAGTTGGCCGGGGTTCTGAGAGTCCAGGTCGCCTTCTCCGACGCTGCCTCAGAGCCCAACGCAATGGACACGGCGGGGGCTGGTTAGAGGTTACTTTTGATTGAGTACGACACTGAAATACTCGTCAACGAATTTTCACTTACTAAAGTCTTGCGCGCCTGGATCTTTAAGAGTGTTCATTGCAAAATTAAGGCCCTTGCATACAGATTGACGCAGGCTGCAGCTGCGACGCGCAGTATGTGGGCATTGGACCCTTAAACCGATAGCTTTCATGTATCAATGCGCTGAACATGTGCGCTCGATCGACGTTTCAAACTCGAAAGCGCATGTGCAGCGCAGTGCAGTAGTCACCATGGCTTAAACGGCCACATGCATTTACTCACATGATTTGGCGCACGCATGCAAGTGGACACACTGACCTTCGCCGCCTATAGTCGAATTACCGCCTACTAAATTATGCTACAACACAATGATGCTGCCCAGCTAGCATGGTGCGCGTGAGGCTGGCATGTCACTCATCATGTCCACTCCATAATAATTGGAATATATTTGTACACGAAGTCCGCGGCCCGGCCTACCCAATTTTGACGACATACAAAGCTTCCGTTGCACCCTACTTAGATTTAATCTCTGAGTTCCTGCGCGACTCAGGCTTTTTGGTACATCTGCGTGCCATTTTCCCTCAGAAGCTCGAGCGTCAGCTTCTTCCGCTGTGAGAAGCCGAGGTCGAAGGTTGACGACCGTAGGTTGCCGCCGTGGTTCTGCTGACTACGCACATGTCAAGCTCGGGAACACCGTTGTCTCTTACGCCGACCAGCGGGCTGCCACGCTTCCGCTCTTTGAGCCGCGACCAACAATTGACGATCAGACAAGTGCGAAGTCAGGGACACCAGAGATGCCTCCGCTTCTCTGCTGCCCCCTTCCATTGCCAGGTTACAGTACACTAAAGCTTCCGTTGTGTTTCCCTCCTGCAAAGGAATGGCGGAACTGTTGGAGGAAGAAGGGGCGTAGATCCTTCATACCAAAGAATGCATACGACGAGTGTCAAAGCCGCCTTCAGCAAAGTTTTTGGGGTCTACTCTTGAGCGATGAGGTCACCCTCCATGGCAGCAAAGTGCACGACAGCGAGTCTGACACAGCATGTTAGTACATTGTTCCTTGCCAGAAGCTCAAAAGCCTCATCAACCGATCAGAACAACCCTTCTTCGAAACAAGAGTCAGCAGAAAACAATCGAACTCCACAATCTTGACACTCAGAAACGCCTGATTGATGAGACCAGCAGAGCGCGCCGCACCACCTACAGTACGACTCCAACGATTGTCGAGATTCAACAGAGCCGGGCTCCGTCAACAGTAGGTGCAACAGAAAATGACACGTTGTACTCTTGAGTCCTTACCTCCTCTGCGAGTCTCGCCCGCTCTAGTTGCGCTCGCGCGTGCCCGGCCGCCGCGGCCCGCCTCATCCAGCTGCGGCTGAGAGCGCGGTCCTTGCGCACCCCCACCCCGTCCTGGTAACACAGTGCCAGATTGTACATTGCCCGCCTGTTCTCGAGTCGCGCCGCACGATTGTACCAGTATGCCTGCGACGAAGCCCAAGGCTCGATTTGACGACAAGGGAGTTTTCTACTGAATGTCAAGTACACGACAGGGGAAAAATATATGAAAGGGGAGAAAAAGAGGTGAATTCCCAGTACGCCTGAGACGGAAACCGAGGCTCGCTTCCGACTTGGGTGACGACAAGGGGATGTCGCCTCCGATCTTACGTACAAGACAAAGTATATGAAGGCGAGGAAAAGTGAGGTGGATCAAGGTTTGTCTTGGTGGAAGGAGGGCACCCCATGGCCTGTCTTTGGATTATCTCACCTTCATCAACCATTGAGCCATAGCGGAAAGATTGCAGAAGGAGCCCATACTTAACGAAGCCAGGAGTCTTGAACATCATGAGTTTGACATCGCCCTGGGAGACTCGATGAAAAAAGAAGCTTTGCACGTCGAATCGTGTAAATTCGCAAAACGACACGACAAAAAACGAAAGCGGTGCCGATCAATTGGAATGTCATTTGCGAGATTATGCTGCTCTCGAGATGAACCAACCACGAGAGGCTCCTGTGCAAACCACTCTTTGCTCACCGCTCTGCCCGCGTCCTGTTCGACCCCAATCCCCTTCTGGTAAGACAGTGCCAGGCTGTACTGCGCCCTGTCATTGCCCCCGTCTGCAGCGAGCTTGAACCACCGGATGGCCTCGCGGGGCTGCCTTTCTGTCCCCTCCCCTGCATACGATGTGAAAAGGTCGGAAACTGACAATATCGAGGCTGCACTCTCAATCCATTACGGGTCGAGGAAACAGCGTGTGCGAACGAGCTGCGGTCCCCACTTTGAATGAGGCGTTTGGGCACTGGATAAAGAATCAGCCAGCGAGCATGGGACTTTTAGACGGCCGCTTAAAATTACAGCGACTACCTTGGACGATGAATTAGGTAACAGTTCGTGTGATGGTAAGGTGTGGTGTAATCTGTTCTCGATCCATCCCAGCTTTCTATCTTGCTGTATTGAACGAGACACTTCGTCTCTGACCAAGAATGCAGAAAAGACATGCCTCGTTTCCGCTCCCTGGGAGCCATGTTTTGTGCCTGCGGAGAAATTGAGCCTTTCGTACTGGTCTCCTTTCACCGAGCTCGCTTCAAAGCGACCAGGCAAAAGCTTTGTGCATATGCGAGGCCTCATGTTCAGCGGGGCCAAGATGTGCACATCAGCATAAAAAACAAAACAAAGTGTCTTTTATCACAAGCTCAGTTCCTTTCTATCCCAACCGATCGCGGTCCCCACCCCCACCCAAAGCACACCGCACAACCTGGCCCGAAGCTTCTCCCCTCACCTGATTGGAGCGCAATTGCTAGATTGGTCTGCCCCACCCTATCCCCCATCTCCGCCGCTTGCTTATACCACCTGACCGCCTCCGCTTTGTCCCCCCGCTCCCAAAGCATTAGGCCCCCATCGACCATGGCCGCAGCGCAACCCTTTTCTGCGCCCCCCAGGAAGCAGTCCAGGGCTTTGCGGGGGTTGCGAGCCTCGCCGTGCGTCCCATGCTTGTACTTCTTGCCCCAGTGCACTAGGTGCATCGCCTCCTGTAGAAGCGGAAGACGCGCTTAGCTTGTCTGTCTGGGGCGTCTGTCGTTCCTAGCCGTGCTTGCTAAAAGTGTGGCTGATGCTCTTGGAATCTGCGGAAGAAAGGCCCTGACAGCAAGCAACAAGGTTCTTTGAGCCTGCTTCATTAGCTTAAATGCGTGAGCAAAACTTGAACGATGGCTGCGAGCAACTATTTTCCAGCAACGGCGACCAATGACGGTGGAGCACCTCAGGAACTTGGTTCTTGCAATATGCTCCCTTCAAGCCAAGAACGCAATCATCTGTGCTCCAAGATGGGGCAACGCGGAGCGACTTCAAACCACCAACTCAAGGCTTTGTAAGAAGATAAAAGGAAATGCTGCGCAGGCACCTGTCCCATCAAAGCGCCTTTCAAACCCATGCATGCCAAACAACAACACCACCACCAAAACCATCCATTTTTCTGTATTGAGAAAACATGGTGGCAGTCCACACTTGAAAGTGCCGCTTCAACAGTATCCATTGGAGAGCATTCAAATTGTTCTGATCAACCGAGCTGATTCTGACAAGGGACTTAGTTTTAGTCTTCCCCACCTGCAGAGGCGTCGCCACCTCCCTCCAAGAGCAGCAGGTTGCCCCAGCCGCACACAAGCTGGCCCACGGCAGTCCCCCCAGAATCCTTCTGAGCACATCAGGGGGGAGGTCAGAAAAACTGGTGGTGACCCCTTGTACTGAAATCTGAAGAGCCATACCCTGGGTAAAAAAGTAACTGGAAAGCTTGCTGCAGGTTCCTTGCACAGCGTGGCTAGAAGAGACGCACCAAGATAGAGAGGAAGTTTACCTGTTACAACCTTGGCAAACCGTTGCTAAAACCGTCCTGATTAAGGACACAATATGCTATTCTCATCTCAATATTGGGAAACAGATGCGTTCTGGTGTCAACCAGGTTCCGCTAACCGAGCCGGCAGCCCTTGCTCTAGACGCTAAAATGGATCAAGGAGGGGCTTTTCATCATCTACATTGCGCAAGACTTTTGTGAGGACTTCAGCGCATTGAGGGAGATGATGCAGCTGACGTGCAGATTAGGGCACCCCACTGGCGTTTGCATCCAAGCCTCGGCCTTCAGAAGTGCAGCCACAACCCGCCACCGCTCGCCAAACCTGCTCGCAGCATTGCACAGAGCTGCTTTCCGTAGCCTGATCAGACCTCCTGCGGCAGTCACTGGCCTCAATATCAGCACATTTGGATCCACTTCCCTTTCTAGAAGGGGCTCTGTTGAATCACAGGTCAAAAATTTGAGGGAGCAGGGGTGGTCGAGGGGCGTTCACACCATGTCTGCAGGGGGCGAGCACGCGCAAGTGGCAGTCATCGGGGCTGGTGGTGAGAAACTGTATCAATCTGCTTGGCAGCTGAGCGACAGTGGCGGTTGAGTCCTAAGACTGCAGCTCAAAACCAGTTCTGATCGCTACTGGGGCACCTTCTTCCCAATATTAATGAGCAACACTCTAGAATGTGGTCTTCTCTGCCTTGTCAGATTGATTGCCCCTCTAAGAAAGGCAGGCAGAGCCCTTTCAACTTGACTTTCCCATTTTCGCATCTCTTCTGGGGAGTCACCTTAGAGACAAGCCAGCGAACCATTCCAGTCCTGCACTCGTGCTCATCTAATTCTGACAATCTGACACATCTCACACCGTGTCTTTGCAGTGTGTGGGTTGTCCTGTGCGTCCGCCCTGGCCAAAGCTGGCGTTCCGGTGGCCGTCTTTGAGCAGGCCAGAGGTCCTGGAGGGCGCATGTCCACTCGCAGGTATGTCTTCAGCTGTTGCTGATTGGACCGGTTCTGTTTTCTGTTGAAACAGGGCCCCACAACTTGAAACCTTCTTTCTCCAAAGAGTCAGCAGTCCGCCCCTGTTCTATTCCGCCCCCTGAGACAAACACCATGCTCTGATCCCAACACCTCCACACGATGTGAATGTGACGGGGTCGTACGCCCATCTCTGCCACGCTGAATCACTACTCGACTTGGAATATACATGGTTCCTTGCTGCTCCCACTCTGATATTCTCTCCTCATCAACCTTACCACCTGGCGCAAAGCTTCCAATATCCCCCCATCATCTCTGAACCTATCCTAAGGGAAACTTTGGATTCCTCATCTCTCATCTCAAAACGAATTTAGCTAAAGAAAACTTCAGATTCCTCATCTCCATCTTAGAAACTGTCCTACCGGAAACTTTGGCTTCCCCACAGACAGACCCTCGAGACAGGGGAGCAGCTCCGTTTCGATCATGGCGCGCAGTACTTCAGCGCCAAGGACCTGGCAGTGCAGGCCCTCGTTCAAGAGTGGGTTGCTGCGGGGGTGGCCGCACCCTGGACGCCCCGCCTCGGCACTTGGGAGGCGGGCAAGGGGTTCGTGCCCGAGGAGGTGCGGCAATCAGTCTTTGGTTCTGCTTTCCTTTCTCGAGCTTAGAGTGGGCGTAGGGCTCGAGAGCCTTCTAATCGGGCGGTACAAACTACTGAGGTGGATTTATCGGAAGGTATAAATTGATTGCCTCTGTAGCTGTCACGATCCGGTGATACCGTCAGTATGACGACGTGCGCCCACTTTAAGGGCGTCTAGGTGTCAAATCACAGCGTCTTACAGAGATCTGCGAGAAAATGGTTTGTACTTATTCGAGGCATCAGATGGAGGATGGCACTCGTGGTGGGGGGGCTGAGTCAAATTCAAGAAGATGAGTATTCGAAACATTGACTGAACGAACGCAAATTGAGACACCTCCATCTCCTTCGTTGGACAGGAACATGATCTCAAACGGACTGTAAAATCGCTAAGTGCCCCGGGAGTTCTTTCAGCCCCGCTAAGTTGAAGCGCCCAAATGCAGAAATGTATATCTGTTGCGAATTTGTCTTACTTCCTGCAGGCCGACTCAAAGGTTCGTTATGTTGGCGTGCCGGGCATGAACGCCATCTGTCAACACCTGAGTTCACAGCCAGGTAAGCCCTGGTCCGAAATCTGCTGCTTGTCAGAGTTTAAAAGTCCTTCGTAGAGCGGAAGACCTCGAGCAGTTTATTGGACCTAAACGGGCTGAGTAGAACAACAGTTGACCATGCGCTCGCTTCAAGTAGGTAGTCCAAGAATGTCTCCGTTTGACGAAACACTTGCACTGTGGTGCAACGAAATGGCAAAGTCTTGACGCTCTTTGAATCTGTTATCGTACACTTGCCTCCTTGGGTGTTACCGTCTTCTTGGTCGGCGTATCGCTTCTGTTCTCAAAGTTCAATCAATGCCAATCCAGCCGACAAGCGCTTGGTCTTCCCCACTCTTTCTGACGTCATGTTCTATTTTCCAGGCGTCTCTGCCCGCCTTGGCACTGCTGTGACTGGGCTCGAGTGGCGGGACGGCCGGTGGCTTCTGACAGGGAAGGACGGGGCGGCGCTTGGGACGTATGCCGCTCTGGTTGTCACCGACAAGAACTTGGCCAGCCCACGGTTCTCCGCACTCAACGCGGGTCTGCCTCCGCCCTTAGGTCGGTAGTCCAAAAAGCTGCCGAACTCCTGGAATCCGAAAGCTTTAAGATGGCACATACGGCTTGACAATCGCACAATGCGCTTCTTTTGCACACAGACGCCACGGCAAATTCGATCTGTTCCACGAGCGAGGAGGATGGTTCTGGCGAGGCATGTCGAGTTTGCAAGCGGCGGGGCAGTTTCGACCCGTCGCAGGCCTACCATTAGTATGCAAACGGTACAACGTGCGATTGCTTTTGAATCGCTTGATATCATAGAACGTCTGACAGTTGAGCGGGACTTTGTCTTTGTACCAAATTGCAGTCCAGAGAAGGAAGCCATAGGGAAAGTCCCCCGGAAAAAGTCTGCTAGAGTCACTCTGGCTCCTTCATTTGAACATACACTCCGTCTCTCACACTTTGAACGCCCTATTCAATGAGTCCCCGCAACTTTCTCTGCTTCCAACACCCCAGCCTGGGGCAGACAACCAACCGCCCACCACTCCTTTCGGCAGAGTCTGCCGGAGTCCCCGAGCTGTTCGCCCGAGTGGCCGCCGTCTCGAGCATCCCCAGCTTCGCCCTTATGCTCGCTTTCAAACAACCCCTAACCCAACTCCCATTCGACGGTTTGGACGTTCGAAACCACAAAACCCTGGTTTGGGCTGGCCGGGACAGCGCCAAGCCCGGTCGGTTGAAGGAACCGGGCGCCCCGGAGTGCTGGGTGCTGCACTCGAACGGGGACTATGCGAAGCGCCGGGTGGAGGAGGGGCCGGCCGGGAAGCCGAGCGCCGAATGGTTGGGCGAAATTGCGGAGGATATGTTGGCTGGGTTCCGGGAGATCGTACCCGAGATGCCAGAGCCTTTGTTCGCACGGGCGCACAGATGGTAGGGAAGCATGTTAACGGAAACGTTTTTCTTTTTGGTGGCTTGCTTTTGAGGTGACCAGCGAACGACGTACGTCTTCGTCGGTTTGCCGGTCGCCGCCTGGGCCCGCTCGTGAATCATGTTGAACAGGAGTCATGAAAACTCTCTTACATGATTCGTCTCCAGATCCGATCGATTTTCGTAATGAGCAAAGGATTTGCAGCAAAAGGACGAGGGAAGACAGGAAGTACCCTGTAACTGTGACTGAGTTTGTGACCGTTGTCTTCTCAGCAACGGGGCCACTGGTACGGTGTCTAATACGCTTGGGCTGCCGTGCAGGGGAGGGGGGTTTCCCGCAGTCGCGATTGCCAACCCGGGGGAGGCATGCTTGTGGGATGAGAGCAAACGGGTTGCGGCATGTGGGGACTACTGTTTAGGGCCTCGGGTTGAAAGTGCCATTCTGAGTGGTCTGGCAGCAGCGAACAAGATTTTTGCGACGCGTGAGCTGCTGACGTTAAGTAAAGCACACCTGTAGCCTACGGAGCAGAGTCCTGGGGTCCTAGCGTTTGCGGACCGCAACATCCAGTGCTTGGAGCGTCCGTTGTGATTAGGCCGACTTTGAAGCGTGGTTGAGTTGGCCGCAAGTCATGTGTTCCGGCTTGACATTCTTAGAGTTCGATCTGACGGAGCTGGTTTCGCACTTACTTGCATCCATCTTGCCGCCCGGAGACCGGCTGGAGCTCGTTGCGAATTCATAGCATATTTGCACCAAATAACGCCTGCTTTTGAATCCAGTTGTAATGCCATGATGGTCACTTGCCAGTACATGATTTTGGATGGAGTCCTGGACCATTGGAACAGCGACTAGAGCTTGAAGAATTGACAGCTATCATGCAATGCAACCGGGCAAGGTTGTCGGACTGCAGATTAGCGCGCCGCGTGCAAGCGCGGGAATGTGGTGGCCATCATTGCCAAAGCTTGCTGGCACGGTTGCGGCCAGTTGCAAACCCAAGCGTTCAGTACACTGACGCGCTGCGACGCGGACGACCTGCGCTTATGTGCATATCTAGCTGGCGCGCTCAGGCAGAGGGCGACCATGCAGCCTGGCAACTGGCCTGTGCGGCCGTCCGGCACGGACGCATGACTGAATGATCTGAAGCATGCAAACATATATTGCATGTGACACATGCACATGATTGCTTCAAGACTCAGGGTCTCGCTTATGTATGGGTCATATAGAGCATAGCCATGCAGCTTACCTTCAGTTCTAGATAGAGGGTTGGTTGCATAGCAGCAGGAGAGCCACGAGCTTTTGTTCACCCAATAAATGCCATAAAAGTCATCCGCTGCATCCTGACGGTACAACTAATTGCACGATCTTACCTCAGGCTTCATGACATCACGAAGACAAACTTGCTGTACGTATTTCCAGGTTTCCCCTGTAGTATACCATGATGCACATGAAGTGATTGGCGCAGCTAGATGTTCGTCGGCCCGGGTATCAAGAATCTGCAAACCGTTGATTGTATGTAGAAGACCACAACTATCGATTCTTGCACTCACCGAAGAATCAAAAAGCAGTCAGTCTAATCTGCTTTGCATTTGACCACTGATAAAGTCAGCTGAAGGAGTTCTGGGCCTCTCTATGTTAAAGCATCCCTATGTTCTAGTTATGTAACCAAAGGTCCATGGAGTACGGACTGATTGTGTCAAACAGCTGGTCGTATTCCTGCTCCTTCTCTAATCTGCTTTGCGATCGAGCTGACGTTTCTTGCTGCGCTTCAATTTCGTTCAAAGTAAGAAGCATGGGAATAGCTTTCATGATCTGCATATTAGGCCAAAAGGCAATGGGCTCGAGCGGCATGTCAAGAAGGAAATATTCCATTGGATTCGCGGCCTCCACAGGATCCTCAGTCCGGTACGCTGCGCATTTCCCAGGACAACTTTGCCAGAGAGAAAGCCCGACTCTCATTGGCCGAGATCCTTCGGTCGACCTCCCAAAAATGGCGTACAGATCCAGAGACAGAGGACGTAGACTGGGCCAACATGCACTTCTGATACCCTGGTACACCTTCTCCATGGAATACAAGGCGTGTAACGATCTGCCGGACGTTCGCAGTACCTGAAGATTCGGATGACCTGACCACGCAAGTCTCTCCAACTCCTGGCCCGACACAGGACCATGAGAGCCCCAAAGAAGGATGCTTCCGCGCACTCTGAGCACAAAGAAATAGCTGGCAACATCAGCCCGCAAAGTTTTCAGCACCTCCCTGAGCGTTTGGCGCTTTTCTGGTGGACCATTCCGCTTCGTCACCCGTGCTTAAAAAATTCTTGTATCCAGTCAATTGCAAATCATCCAGAAGTTCCAGGTCCTTTAGGAATGCTTCTAACTCTGCGCTCTGCTTTTCATAGAGCAAAGTCACTTGATGAGGCAGGCTTTGCCAAAGAGGTGCTCCATTAAAGGCCGTCTTCCAGATGCCAGGGTTGTCTGTCGCGACACGGCGGAAGGCCTGGCATGCGCGGCTAGCCAGCAACAGAGAAAGGGGATCCTGGACTGCGAGCTTGGTGAGCACCAAAAGAATTGCGGCATCTGGAAGGTCCTGCATGCCTGCTATGGCTCGTACGTTGGGTGGGCGCCTATGCTGCTTCTCGAGCGGCCTACTCACTGGTATAGAATGAAGAAGCAGATACGCGCCTGGCCGCGCTGTTGTCTCGTCAGTTTCGCGAAAGCGCGCACGCGGCCGGCATTACCTACTATACCGCATCCAGGGTTTGGGATGGACGTTTTCGGACGTCCTACGGACACCCTATTTGTTATTCTGAGAATAATTCTGCTGAGCAGCTCGTCACTGGAGACTGCTGACTCACTGGCATTTGCGATATCGATAACGCGAATTTTCAGGGTTTTCGACACACTCGCAACTAGTGCGGAACCTGGAATTGTAAGTTGTAACGCACAACGGTCCGAATGCAGTCGCGGCCGCGCGGGGCGCTATATAATGCCTTTCTAGGCTACCGTATGACTTCTACTAGCGTATATATACCTGTAGCTGAGTCGCGAAAGCGCATCCATATCAATGATCCAACGTTTTTTATGGTGCACACACTTTACTTGTCCAAGGAGATGCGTCATTCATATCATGGTTTCGAATACTTCACGTGTCGGAAACAATGAATACATCCTTCGCAGGATGTAGATATTTAAGGGCCCTTTAATAGTTTAAGCTGAATTCATTTTCGAAGGATCGTGTACTCTTCGTCCGGACGAAGAATCAACACGTGTTAGAAGCCGGCAGCGCACTTATTTGTGCATTTGGCGTCATGGGGTCGATTTTAGATTGGCCCGCAGGCTAGAGATATCATTGCTGCTCAATCTCACATGTGTGCATGTGCGACGCGTGGCAAGCGCAAGCGATTGATATTTAAGGAGCGTTGAGGGAATCAAACACTGATAAGGAGACTCACGCGCGTGCAACTTCAACTTAGGGCAGAGTCTCGCAAGCCCCGGACTTGACCGATATGTATCGCTTCCCAATATCTTTCTTGGATTACAAGTTTCTATCCATGATCAACATCTGGTGCGATTTGATCATTAAGGCGAAGCTGAGTGGGCGGCCGCAATCTGGCAGATCTTTCGATATCATAATTGCAATTTAACGACGATGTAATGTGCATCTCGCTTACAAGCAGCTTTGAAAGTCAGTAACGCCAAAGGACCACCTCCGAGATACAAATGTTGCATGGTTGCCCATGCAGTATCTGGGACAACGGATGACTTGATTAACAATCTGCTATTCTTGGCAGAAGCTTCCGCACAGTGTTAATCCAAATGCATATTGCAATTCTTGAATCCTCGGAAGCTTGACACCAAGCTCGTGGCCTCTGTGACAATCTTGCATAAGCTAGAACCTTATTGGTCACACTGCAAAAGACGTTTCGTCAGGTATCCGTGGCGTTTTTCTTTCGCCTCTGTCTACTCCGCTTCTTTGGTCGGCCTTCGGCTCCGCCTGACTGCGAAATCTGGAGAAAGGGGGAGTGCCAACCAGCGGCCTCTTTTTTGCTTGCAAAGGCAGGCCACAACTCAGACCCCTGAATGTTCAAACGCCGTTGTCCAAGTGCTTCCATACAAGAATGGTCGACGCAAGGGCTTGGGACGGCATCACCCCCGCAGACCCGACCTAGTACTGCCAGAAATTAAAACTTCACAAGGACACCGTCCTGCTTCTCATTCCACACCCTTAAAGGAACTCCATTTCTCGTCAGCATCCGTCAACGCTTAGTGCTCACAACATACGCCCCTGGCCACTTGGCCGTGCGACAAAGCCTTTGCCGAAAGGAGGATTTTACGTAAGCCTGCTCACCTGTTTCGATCCCCCTTTTCCATCTTCCGCCTTCTTCTTCTTCATCGACAAGGGGTTCGGGCCCTTTGGCCGCTTGCGCTTCCTTGGCCCGGGCGCCGCTTCTTGTCCGCGGGCCTCGGGGTGTTCCGACTGGGGCGCCTCCGCAGCCGGACTTTCTACTGGCGCTGGCACCGCAGCCTGCGCCGCTTCTAGTTGTCGAAGGGCCGCCCTCTGCTCCCGTTCGTTCAGGTGCAGCCTCTCTGCCTCGCTCTGCGAATAAGAAGAAGCATCCAAAAGTCAAGATTCGACCAGAGACGAAGAACGGGCGCTGAATGTGGAGTCTTGATAGAAAGTGACGCGACGACACTTACAAGTTGCCGCGTATGAAGTGAGGAGATCAATTTCGCAGTCAGGAAGTTTTTTCAAAAGGGACAGGTGCTGGTTGACAGACTCATGCATTGCAGGACCGTTTGAGGCGTCGACCTCAATTAGAACGTCGATTGGGGACAGCCTTCGGACGTATGAATGTACCAGCTTGACAACCCTTTGATTCATCAAAAGTCTCTCAGCCTTCGATCCTTCTTCGACCATTCAGGAAGATCGAGGGGAACTATCGCGAGCCAAGATGACAAGGTTGCTTCTCACCAGCTTCGCTACTTTTTGCTGCGTCTCGGACGGGGGTTCTAGAATTAGGCCCGCCGTTGACAGGAAGAGAAGGGCTGTCCCGGGAACTGTTCTGAGCCGTTTTCGAAGCTCTGCGTCTTGCGACGCCACGAAGAAGTGCTCGTGGTTGTCCTGTCCAACCATGGAGAGGACGCACTCGGACGCAGGGACGGGCGTCTCGTGGATGCATCGTGCCATGTCGAGCGTACGAGCCGCGCTAGAGCTTTCTGGGCAGAGGGAAACATAAGGTGGCGAGTGAGGAAAGTTCTGGTATTCCAGACCCACCGGATGCTGACGCGTAGATCCAAGCGAATCAGCCGCCATTTCCATTTAAGGGTGATACATCAAAAGTGGACACAGCGGGAAGCATTCAACGGACGCATCTGCTTATACCCACAGATCCTGATATATGTGCTTTACCTTTTGGACATAACTTTTGACTTTGTACCGAATCAAGCTAAGAAGCACACCATTTTTTCCTTATCTACGGTTGGAAGTTTATCTTGACTCCGAACGAGTAAACTCAAGGAAGCACTGAGCTTTTCAGGAAAGTCTTTTTCCTTTGGACCAGAGGGTGGTGTAAATGGAAAAAGCCTTTTTGCTCCCCATCCATACAGAGGTGGGGCTGACATGCCATAGCCAGGCAGAAACAGAGAGCCATATCGGAGCGCCGGTCCAGCAATTGTATGGATGGGGCTGACATGCCATAGCCAGGCAGAAACAGAGAGCCATATCGGAGCGCCGGTCCAGCAACAGCAAGCCCGACCAAGCACTCACTCGCAAACTCTGGGCCCAGCGCTCTGAGCTCAGCGCTGATGCAGCGAGTGACCATCGGCTTGGTGGCGCCGCTGAAGAACTTGTGCAGAACGTCCCGGATGGCGCCTTGACCAGCGGCCCTGAAAGGTGGCCAGGAGTTAGGTCAATTCAGAGGCGCACCGCCATGTCATCGCGCCGAGAGCTCGTTTGTCCTTCTTGAACAGTGGCATGCGCGGTGAAGTGATAACCCTTTCAAAAATTCTGAAAATCAGGCAACATTCTAATCTTCCAATCAGTCTACAAGATGGTGCTAAGATTCCCCAATGAGAAGACTCTCATTGCAAAAGCCGTATTCTGATTGATGTAACCACCACCTTGTCATCGCGTTGGGGCTTGTACAATCATAGCACGTTCAAAGTCCCTGAGTCCATTACCAGCAGGTCTACTGAGTGGCAATCAGAGGCCGCTGTGAACTTACTGCGAGTGGACGCTCTGGTGTATGAAATTGCCGTCCAGCAGCACCTTGTAGGGCTCCTTGAAACCAAAGCAAACCTTGTAAAAGCGAATGGTCTTCCGGACCTGCTTTTGCCGCTTTACCTTCATCTCGTGACCTGCAAAACGCCAGGGGCCTGCACCACCCAGCAACTCCAAATACAAGCTAATAGGACGAAGAGGCAAGACTACTAGATAGCGCAATGGCTGGCGCCCACCGGAAGAATGCAAGCTTGCAAGAATCAAGCTCGACGTTCTTGTCGCAGCTCGCTCCGGATACCTTTAAGTCGAAATTGCAACTTCCAATACATATTACATGACCCACGCTCGGGTTATATGTTTACAGATCTTGTCATTTTGACGTAATATATGCCATACATTCTCCGGCCTTCGAATATTGAAAGTCGAGAGTCGGACGTATGGTAGTAGACCATATTACAGCAGGTACGCTTCTCTTATATGCTATTAAACGGAGTCCCGAGTCGGGTCGTTGACAAATTGCAGGACAGACGCTCGCAGTGCGCACCGGCGGTCGCGGGCTCAGCCAGCTTCTCCCGACCAACCTGCTAGTTTTAGTGTCATCTAAATCAGACTAATTTCACTCGGCAACGGACCGACTAAGTTACACTAATAATTTCACTAAAGCTAGCAGGTTGCTCGGAAGAAGCTGGTCCTCTGCACATAATGCAGCGAAGGACTGAGCAATGTGCATGCATGATGCACTGTGCAGAGCTCAGATCAACAGATCTGAGATGACCCATCTAGTACCTAGGTACTACGGCGCACTGGCACGGTGCCGCATTCAATTGGCAGGGTCTAGTGCGAAAGCTATCGTTGCATACGCTTGCTTCAAGGTGCATCATGGCAATGCATGGCTCGTCAAGTTTCTGAATCTCTTCCTTCCAGCTAAGAAGGAAGAGAAGAAAAGTCCCGCCCCAAAGTTTCGAACACAGCAGTCTGAGGGCAGCTCTTCTTAGATTGCACAATGGAGCTTTGCAGCTCGTCTGGAGTGAAGCCAGGACTCGCGCGGGTGTCAGCTTGCGGGTTCACAGACGTAGCCCCACGCCACACATGCTTCACAGCACCATTTTAGTTGATGAAATACTCAGATGCAAGCACATGACCGTAACTACCAGCTTGATGCTGATTAGGATCCCCCTTGGTCCGTTGAGCTGTCTTGTTGGCATCTCGTAAGTGAGGCCACTTTGGTGGCAGTTCTTCAGCCACTGGGGCCTTGAAGGTATTTGTACACTTGAGTAGCTGCACCGGTGCCATCCCGCCAAGCTGTGAAAAATTGCACTCCATCCTCTCAAGTCTTCTGGCGCAACAACTTCTTCATCAGGGCCGCTCAGGACAAGAGTTGGCCCCTTCAAGTCCAGCATTCTGCAATCTTGTGGCCCGCCTTTGTCTAATTTCAGCAGCTACTTGGTTGTCAGATGATACGCACCTGGGCCAGCAATTGCACCTGCAACAGGTTTCAGCTTGGTGAAGTTCACGGGCAATGTGAATTGGGGCAGTAACTAGCTTGCTGGGTCAACAAGCTGCAGCGCTTGGGGCTTGCATGACAGGGTGACTACCTTTTCCTGACCTCGCAACTTAGAGTTGTGTCAGGCCCTTGCTTCACCCATCTTGAATGCTGTGAAGAACGGGCGTTATGGGGATCCCCCCCTGAATCAACAACTTGAAAAGGCAGTCAGCACAAGGCCCTCGACAACTGAAACCATCCCGACAGGGGTGCTGAAGCTTTGCCGGCCACTGCCAAGAGATTGATTCAGCTCTGTTCCATGAGCATATCCGGTTGTGCCGGTTCGCTTTGATTTTGAAGTGCTCAAGTAAGAACTCTTGTGGATTTCATTCAATCTGGCAACGACAAAAACGAACCCACTTCAGGCAAGACGATGCAAGAAGAGTTTCTTTATTTTGTGAACTGAAAGTGGACGAACCCTGAAAAGACCTACATAATTGTTTGGAAGTGAAACCATGGCCAGTGCGGCTTCATCTCTCACAAGCTCCCCTTCCTTTGCGGCGCCGCTTCCCCCCGTCTATGTCACTGCAGCAAATGCCGTTTCCTTCTCTTTCTCCCGCTGGACCTGTTCCTTCGACCACAACCACTTCGTCGGCTCCGCGGAATGCCACCCCCCCTAGGGCCTCCCCCGGAAAATATCACCGGGCTCTCTTCTAGTACCACCTTCGTCGCCCTTTTCCCTGGCTCGAAACTTTTGTCGAAGGCGGCAGCCGGGCGAGAGGTCCTAAGCCGGCTCGACACCGCGCTCACTTTTCGGCTGTGCGACTCGCGCCCTTCGGACCTGGAGCGCGCGGCGAGCTTCATACGCGCCGGGGGTGTCAGCGTCCGCCCAGGCGAGACCCCCTCGGGGCGGCGGCGGTCGCTCCTGCAGGCTGCTCAGAACGGGACGGGTGACGAGAGCCTGACGGTGAACGTGAAAACCCGGGTCGGAAACCTGGTCTAAGACAAACACACAGACAAGGACGGGCAAGTCAGCCCGGCCAGTGCGAAAGGTGGCGCGCAGGACGGGGAAGCGGTTGCGCAAACGCGCGGCTGAGTCCGATTCGAAATAGAGCAATTTGGGGCGAGCCGCGTCAGCCGGATGCTGAAGCGGTCCCTGTTCGTGACGTCGGCTGCGGTGGATCGTTTCTGTTCGGGTAACAGAACAACTTGGCGGATCGTCTCTGATCTGTTACCCTTAACGATGTAGAAGCCACTCGGTACTGCCGTCAAATATGCTATGGAAACCCGCGCTTTGCCGATCAGCTGGTTCCCGGCCCGGCTTGACCAGTGCGCAAGGCCCGCGCAAGGATGAATCTCGGCCCCTTTTCTGAGTCGCTCGCTTTGACTTTTCCAGAACGTACAGTGCAGCCCCTCTCTTAGCGCACTTTGCGGTACAACCTTTGCCCAGCCCGTGCTGGAGTTGCATACATCGATACATCTTACTTGACGTGTTGTACACGGCCACGTGGCATGCAGCTGTTTTGGCGTGCTGCTCGCGTCGTGGCCGAACAGAGAGGACAGCTGGGCGTAGCTCGCGCTCATTCTCGTCCTCGAAAAGCAATCCTTATGGCCTGCATGTTCTTGTTAAGGTGGAGCTGTTCTCTCCAATTTCTCTTTTGTTAAATATGAATGTCCCTCCTGACTTGTTTTGGCACTCTTGCGTACTTTTCTCTCATTCTTCTAAAGATTGCACAAATCAGATAATGGCACGCGAGGGGAACTTGGTTTTCATTGAATTGAGGATTTGAAATAATTGAACGAAGGCAACTTTGAGCCCTGCTTGTCAATATCATGGTGGCTCGAAGGAGCCTTTTCTTCGATTTACAAGCTTCCGCTTAGCCACAGATTCTGGCCTCGACCCTATTCAGATTTCTCGAGTGAAGGTTGAGACCTACTTGCAAACAGTCTTGCTTTTTCTGCTTCGCCACTCTTGCTGCACGTTACCGAAGATGCCTGCCGAACTGTCAAAAGCGGGGCGCCCTATCTCTGTTGATACATCGTTCCGTTTACGAAACCTCGCCCCGCCCAAAAACACCTTCGCAAGCCTAGCAGGCCTGTCCCGTACGCACCGCACTGACGTCATTCCGTTCTGACCGGCTTTGGCAGCCCTTCAAGGTGGCGCGGAAGCGGTTCGAGGAGCCGGCGAACGTCATGTGTGACGTCAGCAGTGGAATCCTGGCGACGGCGCTCGGGGCAGTGGGGAGGCGGGCGGGAGCGGTTCCAACAAATCAATGGGCGTCACCTTCATCGTGCTGCAGGTCCTTACTGTCCTACTCAGCGGCGTGAATGAGTGGGTTCCATATTTCCTTTCGCCCAAAGCATCACCGACTATATCGTTCTTCTTTATGGTGTGCTTGGGCTGTCCTGAGTCCGCAATAATCATCTGATCGTCGAATCGAGCGCCCAAGGAGAGGTGCACTCGGGCTCGAGTGTTTCAGGCTTGACTTTCGGAAGCCCAATACGAATCAGTGTGAGGGCCAGGAGATAGCGGACCGGAGAAAGTTGTTCATTGCGACCCTTTCAGCCGGCTAAGCAGAAGATCAGGATTGAGGTGTGGGGAGATAATCAGCTTCAAGTCAGGCTTTCTCTAATCTGTCTCGTTTGACGACTTGGTCATTTCGACGACCTCCCCTCTCTTCGAGGCGTACAAAGGTACTTAAAATTGTTGTTGGACGATACCGAATGGGATACAACAACTATCAAAGGTAGTTTGAGATATATTTGTTGGACAATAATAGATAGGATATACCAACTCTGCAGGTACGGTAACAGGTGCATTGTCTGGTAGCTTTCGAGGACCTGCCTGCTTTCAACTCACCCGGTTACGGCCTCGATTGGAAAGCCGTTGCTTGGATGGCGAAGTCACACACATCTGTTGTTAGGTACCGTGTTACGGAAGTCCATTTCCTTTCTGCAAAGAGGTGGGTTTGTTTGAGTTGTGACTAGCGATTGGCTGAGTTAGGCAATAAACCGGATCGAGAGGGAGGTATAATTCTCAATCCAGCCCTTCTGATTCGCTCATACAGGTGCATCGACACACTCATTCAGGCGCGGGTAGATTCTGGCCCTCCTTGAAGGAAAACATGGGCAAGAGCTAGCTCTGGACCTTCACACGATGGGCGCCGTACCATGATTTGTGCGTTCTATAGTCGACTTTGATTGGCAAAACTCGAAGCTGTCAGAAAAAAGACCCAAGGCGGCATATCATTCAGTCATAGAGCTTATAAGGCACCTTAACGCTTGCGCACCTTCGAAAGCCACTCAACGTTTGAGTCGAATGTTTAGGCGGCCCCCTAGTTTTAGGATATTAAGATCGTAGATATATAGCGCCTCTGAGTAAATAGTTGCAACGAGTAGCGTCCCATGGAGAAGACGTCTAAGCACTCTGAAATTTTACAATTACTCAACGGTTGATCGTACAGGGATCGTACCAGCTAGGTTGACTCGATCACAAAAGATGTCAAACTGTTTATGGGCCCGGCTAAGCTAATTTGGGTGGCATGCCAAGAACGTTAAAGCAACGGCGAGTCCGGCCGCGGACTAGCACGTTGTGCTGATCCAGGGTTCGCGAAAACTGTCTTACTCAGACCCACAATCTCGGGCAGAACTTAATGACCCGTTCTTGGTGAAATACGATCATCTGACGTAGACGCGTCTCTGGAGTTGTTTACGTATCTCGAAGACACGGCCACAATTTGATCGAAACATACTCACAGCCCGGCTGGTGTGACTAAGTGTCACAATGTAACAGTTCCATTCACGATATTTGGTCACGGTTGGCAATGACTAAAAGGTTTATTTGCACTTGACTAATGCTCAAGCTTCGTGCAATATTAATTAGCAGTAGCTATATCTCAGTCCTCGCAAGGTGACAAATTAAAGGCGGCTGGGCGCCCGGCGCAACCTGCTAATCTGGCGGCGCCGGCCGTCTGCCACCCGTGCAGACGCAGTGACGGCCCGGCCCAACTTAGGACCGTTGATAATCAACTTAAATGAGTACTTGCTGCAAGGCAAGGCGGCAGCTCTGATACGTAGTCTTTGCATCATGGCATGTGCAGATCGCGATAATGATACTGTTGTAACGTATGTGCTGTGTTTTGATATGGATCGATTCGTCAAACTTCATGGCAGGCTAGCAGATGCATCCAAACAATGTCAAAAATACAAACTATACGACGAGTGACCGGCGCTTTGACCTGTATCAGATATACGTGGTGGCGGCTGCGTGAACGAGCTAAGTGCACGTGTCTCTAGTTGTGACGTACGCTGGCCGGAAGTCCCGGGATCAAACGGGAAATGAATTCGGATTCAATGATAGTTCTATGACTGACACGGGCGTTAGTTCACTTCTGAACGTCGCCACAAAGGGGTCTACTTACTCGAGGCTATACACCATCCGATCTTGCTGGCCGGAAACGCTGATCGTTGAATGATTATATATGCTGCGCAAGTTGCCTCTGATATGTAGACGCATGAAGACTGCGCGCGCTCTCACACAATCTCCATGTCCTGATCTATCGCTTCGCGGATCCTGATGCTCGCCTGGTGCGCGAACACGCGCGCGCGCTGCAGGCTGGCCTGCCGTACAAACCGCACGGCCGCCGGCGCGCTGAGGGTCCGGTCAAACGCAGGTGCCCTCTTCTCCTCTTTGGGCGTGCTCTCCGGTCGCAACGTCACCTCTTTCTCCACGTCGGGCTCGTCGACGTCGTCACCAGACGGGGAGACGTCACCGCCTGTATCTGCGGAGATGCGCCTCTCGTGCCGCGTTGCGATGATGTGGATAATGTAGACGGAGTAGAGTTGAGAGGCGAAGAGAGCCGTGTTGAGGAAGGGGAGCATTATGGGCCACACGACGTGCCAGTTGGTGCCGCTGCGCGACGCGGACGGCTCGTCGTACGTAGTGACGTAGTAGTCAATCAGGAGTGCCCACGTCAGCAGGTTGATGACGAGCTTGACGACGAGGACCTGCCACGTGGAGATCTGCAGAGAGGGCACCGTTTTCTGAGCATGTAGTTGTTTGTGCATCTATAGATTCGCAGTTCTGAACGGAGCAAATCAGGGATCTTTAGGAGGCAAAAATAAAGAGCGACCCCGATCTTGCGCACTGAAGCGGTATGACCGGTCAACTAGGAGCTGCCGATATTAGCATGCTCTTCTCAGAGCCGTGCAGTAATCAATAAAGTCCGACTTTCAGCTTCGATTCTTCCAGAATCTTAAAAGGGATGCTTCTTGAGACTTGTTAGGATTGGTTGGTATCTGGACGGCCGCTAGACAGACCCTCACTAAACGAGAATCCAGACATAGCTTTATGGTGATGATCTGGTGTGAAGCAGAGACCAGCTAGCAGATGTGTAGGTTGCGTCTCTGACAACTTCATTGACTCGTGACACCATGATTGAAAGCCTCCGGACAGGGTCGATTCCGGAGCTCGTTTGCGATAAATTCAGGACCGGACCCGTTCTGAAGGCCATTCCACTCAATCCTATACGAAAACAGTGCCGGAAAGTGAAAGGACTTCTGCAAGTCAACCGGCTTCTGTCGGGCCAGAATGCTATGGTGTCTCGGAGCATCAGCCGAGCAGCACAGATCCCTTGCTCGATCAGCACTCGCGCACGCTCACCTTCATGACGCGCGCGGCCCAGGGGTGGCCCAGCCGGTACATGGCGAGCCCCACGAACGTGAGCTGCTCCGTGGACGCGTGGAGCGATATGAGCAGCGAAAACCGCTGAGCGATACGCGCCTCGGTGGACGGCGCGTTGTCCGCGTTCGAGAAGACGAGCAGCACGACCAGCACGATTGTAATGAGGTGGTGCAGCATGAGCGGAAATCCGGTCTCGTTCCGGTAGATCAGCTCGAAGACGTAGAGCGTCGCAACCAGGAGTAAGCCGATCCCGGCATTAGTGGCGTTCGCCAGGGTGCCGATACGTCCAAAGAAGAGGATGTCCGCGTCGTACGTCAGCGTCAGCACGAGCGCCGCTGACGTCACGAGGATCTCGAGGAGATACGTCGCGACGTTCCGCTGCTTGAGCGGCGAGAGGTCGCGGTAGGCCGGCACCCAACGGCGGAGCCCGTAGTCCGCGGCCCCGCACAGTGCCCAGTAGGTGAGGAGAAGGACGACCATATTGGGCGCGAGTGCGCGCCACAAGTATGGGTCGGACCGCACCGGGAGCGTTGGGCAGTGGCCGTTGGTCCCGCCAAACCAGCTGGTCTGCAGTCCGTAGGCCGTCCAGCAGTCGGACAGAACCTGGGGCAGGGTTAACAGCGGGTTAACAAGCGGTTAAGCTGGGCGTTTAAAACTCCTCAAGCTGACTAGAGGAGCGGCACCAGTGGGTTAGATGTGAGTGGAGGGTGGTGTTTGAGGGCCGCTGCAAAAGTAATTCGGTTCAAAAGGCTGACTCTGAAAAGAACGGGGCCCACTTCTTGTAGAATCTGCATCTACACCGGCCTGCAACCCAGCTTCTGATCAATCATTGTTTTGTTACCTGAATGGAGCATTTCAGATTGGTTCCCTTGCAACAGGCAGCTCCCCCAAGGACCCATGGAGAGTAGGACCTTCGAACGTATTCAGAGCACTTGCTGGTCTCACCTTGTTGAAGTCAACCCCAAGCCCAAGCGCAGCCTTCTGTCCCGCGGCCGCGACCATTGGCAAGCACAAACAGTTCCTGGTAGACGCATTAGCCCCAGGCGCAAAGGCCGCGTCGATCGCCGCGCAACACAGCTGGGAGGCGCCCTGCACACAGCTGCTCATGGGGGCTACCAAGTTGCTAACCGCGCAGTCAACCACCGGGTTACCAGGCAGGTCGTCGAGGCCAATCTCCCGTTTGGCATTCCATTGGTTGGATGAGATGCTTGGATTAGAGCTAAGCGCGGCCCCCGGGTTTGCAGAGCAAGCGGTGAGGAATGGAGCTAGCAGAAGGAGAAGGAGCCAGATGCCGCGTGCTTGATCGCTAACGTCGGCCATGCTTGCTGAAAGATCCTCTGTCAAGCTTCAAATGTGGGCTTCTTTTCAGCTGATCTTTTAGCCAAGTGTAATCCTAGTGCAAGTGGGGGCTGATTGAAAAGTCCGCCCCTTATTGTATTCTGCCAGAAGTTTCACGAAAAATTCTCAGGTCGAGCCAACCGTATTGGTTGGGCGAGACTAAAGCTTCAAAACCAGATTAATATCCAAGCCTGGGGGAACGGATCTGACTGCAACGATTCACCTGCTTTCCAGCGCTTTTCTCAGGGAGCTTCTCCAAGGAGGCTGTGTGCTACGCGACCATAATACAGAAAGGCCACCCGTTTGAGCTTGCGTCTTTAAAACTTGGGACCAAAGTGGCCGCCGTCGCTTTGTGCTGGGCCCCGCCCTGCCCTTTTGCAAGGCGGAGATACACGCTTTCTCTCTTATCTCATCTCGCAATGAGTATTCTCAGCCTTGCCTTGCGCTGGCGGCTGTATGCTCCTGACCCATTGCAATGATGCGTTTCATGAACCTGAGTCTCCAGGAGACTCCGGGAGACATTCCGGTGGGAAGAGCTGAATCGCTGTATCAGACTCTTGAGTCCTTAAAATGTGTGCGGCCAAACGGAGCTGCGGTAGTGCATGATGCATTTTGAGATCTGGATTCTACACACACTGATCGAAATATGTCTCACCTAGTGCGCTTTTAATGCTTTTAGGTACTGTGACCAAGTAATAACAGCAGTACGTCAACGGTGCTCGATGGCATCACGCCAGCCTCCAGAGGTGCGTATTTTGCCGGGCAGCCAATCTCCCGGGGCCCAAACCCGAGCACCGGCAAGGCCCCTGAGGCTCGCAGCAATGCACGCTGCTGCCGCCTGCGCCGCGAACCGCCGCCCGGAGGTGGGCCCGCGCTCGGAGCCCCGTTTTGTGCCCCGCTCGCAGCCCAGGGGCCTGGGCTAGTATGAAACAGCGCTAACGGGCCTGACAGCTGTGAAACCATCTGCATGGGACGCGATGGCTCGTGTGCACATTCGGTGCGTCATGTGTTGGGCCCGTTACCTGTTGTTTTACCTAACCTGCAGTAACCCTTAAACTTCGCAAGTCAGGATGTTGATGTATGTTTTCTAACCGACTTGTACTTAATCTGGAAACTGCTGTAACGCCAAGAAACCAACTCTATAATGCACCGGGCACCCGCTTCGACCACCAGCTAGCCAGCATTATGCATGCAATAAATGCTGCAACAACACGGCCCGGGCCCGTCGGACTCGGAAGTTGGAATTCCGCGCGCCGCCAATCATTAATCAGGCTCCGGGTTCCGGGCCGAACTCACTCCGGCGATCCTCGAGTCCGGGATCGAGTCGCGCCGGACTCTGGCAGCGCGGTCACGACATGGCAAGCGAGCAGCCGGCCGCGGCCGCCGCGCGGGGCACGCGGCGGCCCCGGCGGCCCAGCTTGCAAGGCATGGGGCCTGCATGGATTCTAGCTGGCTGCGTTCGTTTTGAGGGAAACCGGTCCACAGCCAACTGCTGCCGCATTGTAGGTAGTTGCATTCTCGTCTCTCAAAGCAAGTTTCCACGATTGCAGCTCTGTATGATGACGTCCTCAAGTTTGGAGTCCCCTTTTCAGGTTGGTCAGCGCATCCGGAGCAGCGATGCGGATGGATTCAAGGGCACAGTGCGGTACGTCGGGCCTGTGGCTGGACAGCAGGGCACATGGATTGGCATTGAGTGGGACGACCTTGAGAGAGGGAAGCATGACGGAGAGGCAGGGGGCGTCAAATACTTTCATGTGGAGCAGCCCGGGGCTGGGTCGCTTGTGAGAAGTCACAAGATTCAAGCAGGAATAACGCTGGTTCAGGCGCTCAGGGCCCGCTACAAACCATCCGAGGAAGCAGAGCGCACCGAAGGTCAGCTAATGTGGAGAAAGCAGACACTTTGTTGGATGTGGCAGGCTGGTAGTGGTTGGCACTTGGACTTTTGAGTGACCAGATTGCCAGTTGGCACCAAGTCAGAGGCTCGTTGGACATAGCTGCACTTTCAACCGTCCAACACTTCCTACAATCTCTGCTGATCAACTTCTGATGCTTTCAGCTTGCTGCAACGGTGGCCAACTTTGCTCATCCTGCTCTCCCTCATTTCTCCTCATGTCAGCAGATTATACAGGATTCCTTTGGTGCCATCATAATCATCAGCACCAAAAATCCCTTCTTCAAACCTCTTAGAGTACGTTATCCTGCACCCCAGATTCGAAGGAGATGTACATTATGTCGGTCCGTAACCGTCCGATGCCGGTGGTGCTCGTCGGCCTGGACAAGATCCAGCAGGAGCAGGGCCGCCTGGAGCGCCTGCAGCAAGCGGCGCTCATCGATGCGGGGGTGGACTCCGCAGGCCAGCCAGGGGAAATCGGCGCCACAGCAAAAAGTATCCCCCTGCGATTGTGCGTCCTCATGTTGACTTTGTGTGACACTACTGAGAGCTGTGCAGCTGACACCAGTGTAGGTTACTGATGCTTTGATGAAGTTGAGCATTCAGGCTCAGCTGTTTGGCCCGGTTCCTGAGGTTGTGATGAAAGCAACGACCACTCTGGCAATAGATGCGCGGTTCATGCAGAAGAGTACAGGGACAAAACTGCAGTTCGCTTCTCCTTGACAAACCTGTTTTGCCAGACATCGAGGAGCTCGACCTGACTGGGAACCTCCTGCACAGCTGGACGGTGAGGACCACGCTTCTTGACAAATGATATCCGTTTTTCAAAAAAACGGATGGCGTTCGACGCTTGCCGGACAGACATACGGTTGTACCGGAACGTGTGCGCTATGACAGTCCCTGCTCAAGACAGAATGGCAAAAGCACGAGGGAGGCCACCTGTTCTCTGGGGCAGGGGCGCCGGTCCTGTACCTTGATCCTTTCCAAACGGTTGTCCCCCTTGGAAGATAGTCCTCTCCAAAGCACTTGCCAGATTTTGGTATCCCCAAACCGACCTCAAAACCTGCTCTTTGCCTTATGTCAACGGGGCGCATGATTCTTCAACGGACGCACCGCCTTTCTCTTCGCAGGTCATTGGCCAGATTGTTAGTGAGCTCCCAAAGCTTCGGGTCTTGAACCTCAGTCGCAACCGGCTGACGGCGTCGTTGGACAATCTCGCCACATCGTCCACGGCGCCAGTCTTTTCGGGGCTGACCACCCTCGTGCTCAACAACAGCGGCATCACATGGGCCTCGGTATGCCCTTTTCGTCTTTCCCTTTGTACTTCATTGGGCTTTGATCCGAATTTTGTCCAATGCTATTGAGTCTTCAGTCATTTGGTTCAAGGCACCACAAGCCCGCTCTTCTAGGGGCTTGTGAATTGAGCCTCCAACGCCTTTGTAAAGATCAGGCTCGGTTGATTACGAAACTTCGGGGCATATTCCGAGAGATTTGAGTCGTCAAAGCCTCTGTGCTTCAATAAAGAGAGCGTCGAGCTGCAAGCGTATCGAGGTGAACTAAGACGCCAGTCGATCCTAAGCAACTGGTATCCACAACCAACCATGATTCCTGTCTTGTGCCTGCATGGATATACGCCCCAAACCGGCACCCTCTGCAACGAGCCAAACCGTGAGTCTGCTCTGTGCAGGTCACTGCACTCGGGCCCAGCCTGTCTTCCATTCGAGAGCTCCACCTGTGCGGAAACGGGATCCAGGACTTTGGCACCGGTCCGATCGAGAACTTGCCTTCCTTAGAACTACTGGACTTGGAAGATAACAAGATTCGACGGTGGGAAGATGTCCTCAAACTGTCGGCGCTGCGAAGGTGAGGTCGTTTTCGCCGGGTCGCTTCCTCAAGAAGTTTTTAAAAGGAAAGTCCTTTTTGCGAGAGAACACCAGGCGTGTCTACACTCGTCTTACCCAGTTCCTGGATTGGCGTGCCTTAACGTCATTTGCAACAAAAAGAAGAACGGCCGAGAGCCAGATTCTGATTACTCCTCCATACAGAGCGGATTGTTCAAGTGAAAACAGCTTCTTCGATCTGAAAAGCTTCTGCCAGTCCCTTTTCAAGGAAGCCAGAGAAGCCCTCTGGCCATGGGTCGGCCCAAACAACAGCTCTCTTTGCTCTTAATAAATGGGACTTATTGCCACCATATCTGGAACCTTAACTTCTCCTCTGCCGTCGTTTTCTCCAGCTTGACGTCGCTGTTCTTGAGTGGAAACGAGTTGACGGACGTCCGGTACCTGCAAGCATCGGAGGCGCATGGGGCGCCGTCCGGAAACCTACCGTTTCAAGGCCTGCAGTGCCTCCTCTTAGGTAAAGCCTCCGCCTTTGAAAGAGAACTTGATTCGTCCATGGTTCGTTCTGTCACATTTGAGGCGGTGCGATGCTCCCAACGTGGCGATGTTCTCGGGGAGCGCTCCCGTGTGAATGTGCTTGTACGGTGCGCAGTGATTGCCAGTAACATTTACGAACAAGTCACGATCTCTCGTGGATCACGAAACGCTGCTGTGAGCCTCTGCTAAAGCCGAGAGCGTTGATGAATGATTGGGTGAATTCGTTTACTGCTTGGCAGGGCGCAACCAGCTGTCGGAGTGGGCTTCCATCGACTCGTTGGACCGGTTTCCTAGTCTCCAGGTAGGAATTGGGCGTGTATTGTCAAACACGAATCTGAAGAAAAGGCGTAATCTTGGACCTCTATGGTTGCTCAACCAGAGACTCTTGCTTCAGCTTTGTGAGTGGATCGTCTGGGATGTGTAGCTCTTCAACTCAGAGCCGCCACTCTTGACAGCAAGATCCGCATTTGAGTACGCAGCCTTGATTTGTACGATTGACTGAACGAACGGTCCACGACCAGGTAACGAAGGAACAAGATGCAAATACCTGCATTCTCTGCCCTTGGTGATTTGTAAGTCACTTTCAGATCAGGCGGAGACCCTTCTAGTGCCGCAAACCCAAAGCTGTCCCTGACAGCATCCCTACCCCTGTCCCCGCAGGAGGTGCGACTGACAGACAACCCCCTGACCGACGCTCGGGGAGGCACCGCGGCCCGTTACATGCTGATTGCCAGGATCGGGGGACTGACTTGCTTGAACGGAAGTAATGTGAGCAGCGTCTGCGCCTCTGAGTAGCGTTAAGAGTCGAATTTGGTCATGACCCCAAGTATTTTGCTGCGCTTTCCGTTGTGATCGCTTTCATTAGAAGATTGCAAGAAAGCCGAAACCGAGCAACTTGTTTCCTGAGTTTGCCATTTATCCATAATAGGCAGCGCTGGTTCTTCTCTTGCGCAAGGGGACTAGGAGCTCACCACGCACAGTTTGATCTTGCACCAAATTGGGCTATGCCGGCATAAGTGGTAATAAAAGAATGACAGTGTGTCGCCGACACCAGATATCTGCGCGAGAAAGGCGCGACTCGGAGGTCCGCTACGTCCGCCACGTCATCGCACAGCAGCTCGAGGGGAAGGAAGACTCGGAACATCCAAGGTGATCCCTCTAGCTCTTGAACCCTCTTGGTTCGTAGACCCACTTTCTCAAAGGAGATCCCAGACACGTGCCAAGCTTGAAAAGCGCGACCCAAGCACTGGCGCATACAAGCTCGACGAAGATAACGAAGGCAAAGTTGATGATTCTGATAAGAGCCTCTGCTGTTGTCTTAAGAGGAGCTTAGATTGATCAATCTGCGAAAGGTGTGCAATGTAACTGAAATGTTTTTCAAACTGGACCTGACGTCATTGTGACGATAGTTCTTATTTCTATGCCCGCAGGTTCGAGGCGCTGAAAGCGAAGTACGGCCTGGTAATGGAAGACCTGACTGGAGGACCAGCAACGCAGAAGTCCCTGGCGGATGAGCTGTGCTGTATCCTCTGAGAACTTTGTCCTAAAATTGTTGGCCTCCGAGACCTGGTTTCCTTTGGCTGAGGCTGCCTCTTGAGCGAGAGATATACCGCAAGCTACATAGCATACAACGTCTCCCTTGCTTCGCTTTCTGATACCGGCCATCCTTCCCCTTTATGATACTCGCTTGTTGCGTGGTGTCTGCAAAGTCCAAGCGGAATCTTTCAAATGCACTTTGAAGAAGACGGGAGAGAAGAGGTCCCTTCGAACAGTGAAACTTCTAGTCGGCAAAGCGCTCCACCGGCCCTGTCTCCCGGTCATCCCTTGACCCGGTCCTTCTCCAGCTTTGAGCCTAACCTGCGTGGCGCCGGGCGCGGGGGAGCGCGCCCCTATCGTCAAGAAGCTGCCGGCTTCTACCACCGTCGCCCGGTTACGGGTCTTCTGCGAGAAACTTTTCCGGGTTAAGGCGGACCGACAGCGGCTCTTCTTCACCACGGAGGTGAGCGAAAGGCGGGCCACGCCGCTTGCAGGCTGTGAAAAAATAGAAGTGTGGTTAATGTTCGTGTTATTCCGCCGCAAAGTGAAGTACTCAGGAGTCAAGATGTATGAATGCCGTAGCTTGTTGTCAAATATGTCGCCCATACTGCAAACTGACTGTTGCACCCTTGCTTCAACCAGCTTTCCAAGCTGTTGTTCGCATTCTTCGCTCCTTGTTATCCAGCACCTTTTCTTCCAGCAAACACTCCTCGACAAGTCGGCCCCACTTCCACGACTTGTATATTGTTCACAACCTTGGGACATTCTGGACCAGAAACACGGAAACTTGTGCTCTCAACTTTAAGATGGCCGTTTCATAACCCTGGCGTCCGAATGTGTCCGTGCAGGACAGTCCGCACCCGACGTCTATTGATAGCGACGAGGACACACTGGGCAGTCTAGGCTTTGTTAGCAGCGCTACTATCCTTATCGACGAGGTGAGGGCCATGGCACCCTTCGTATGCTCCGTAGAGCTGTTTTTTAAGAAGGTAGGCTTTGAGAGTAGTCGCCATCACTTCTGGAAAGTGCCACTCCGGACGGGCAGAGCAGAACCCTTGTTCAAGACCTGATAGAGCAGTTTACCGAGCACGCTGGTACTTTCACCAATTTGAGTCCGGATTGTTGAAACGGTATCCCGTAAACGCCGTGTGTCAAACGACGAATCGACTTCGTTGGATCCGGAGTAACATATTTGCTTTCCCGCCTGGAGTCGGAACTGTTCGGGATCAGGGCACACTCTTAGCCGTTCTTTCTTCTCTGCACCCGCAACTTAGCGAAGTCGCTCAGACTTCTCCGTCAGGATGCAAGGCTTAGCAAATCGGGCCCTTTTTCTTGCGTTGCATGGTCGCCTTGTCGCGTCTCGCAAGCGCCGTTGCTTGCGATCTGCTGGAACCTCGGCTTCACTGTCGTCCATTTAATGGATTCCCAAACATGCGGAGTCCAGTCAGGGCACCTTCAGGTAACAAAATTCAAGGGCGATGGAGGAGGCACCTTTTTAATTTCTTGATAAGAAGGGGTACTCCTTTTGGATCAAAACATCGTAGATGGGGGCTTCAGCCTCCTCGGTCGACGTCACGCCGTAAACCCATAGCTTTTCCTCCAGGTGGATGCGGCCAGTATACGGCAGGAGCAGGCGGCCGCGCAGGCGGACCACGAGCGGCGGCTCCAACAGCAGCTCAAACAGGTTGGCCGCGAAAAGAGAAACCCGAAGAATGCACAGACCAGCAGCATTCTTGCGAGCCCGCAAACTGTGGACGAGAACTCGTGCTATGCGCCACGGGGTTGGAAGGAAGACACGTGTCAGCCGTCGAGAGGTCGATCTGCCTTGCTTCTGAGCGCTGCCAGTCTTGCATGGCGACAGCATGAGGTGGAGCTTGGTTCACGGCTTTGATGTCTTCACGACAATTTTCCGGTTTCTTTGCAGGTTGAGCTCTTTACGAGCCTTCAGAAAGCCGAGGTAGAACAGGAGAAGCGGACTGTAGCGGGTCGGAGAGTGCCCTGATTCCTTGCACAATATGGCAACGGTTAGAGCAGGTAGAGAATACATGCTGCGTAGGCGTGCTGTTATATGTTTATAAGATGAAGGCGTGCTGCCTAATAGCATTTTACAGGGTTCGACACCTTTGACGGGCACTGACGAATGAGTGTCTGGCATTTGATCAGCCCTACAAGTTACTGGGTCGTAATGGTCTGCACAGAGCCATTACAAATCGTCACATCATAAAGTGTTTCTCTGTAGATTTCACAGCCAGTGCTAAATTGTGGAAGCTGCACGCCGGTACATGGGCGCATGCCGGGCCCGGGGCAAGCTACAGCAGGCTGAGCTCGCTTAAGTTGGCATGGTGCACTGGGCATGTTGGGGAACCCGAAGTATGGGCCCGCCGCCCACACGCATGTAGGCTCTTGGCCAGCTAGCGGCCAAAGTCATGTTCAGTAGAGCCACGTCGATCATGCGTATAGTAGTCGCATGAGGGGTATCATTACGTCTGATCGAGTGCTGATCATTGAAAGTCAACAAGCGCGGCGCCGGGCCCGGCCAGCTTTTAATGATAGACTTGCGCCGCACCACTTCCGCGCCATCATGACAATGATACCGCGGCCTGCAACTATGGGAAACGCGATATACTTTAATTTTTTTATCAAGTGGTGCACATGCGCTGACGCGTGTGCCTCGGCACAGTAAAGGTATAGCTACGTACACCTTGGCGTATAAAGTAACGATATATCACCCATTGATTGCAAAAACTGTGGCCATCGTTAACTGTGCCTAGAGCTAGAAGTGTTGCAGTTGCAACCAAACCCGGTCATGAACGGTGCTGCCGTCACATGCAACTGAACAACGTGCAGTTACGTTCAGATTTCAACTTTAAGTAACTGATCATGCAGCCGTGCCAAATATCGGGAAGAGTAAGCCCAATCTTGATCAATGTCCTGTGCGATCCGACTCAACGTACCTATGTGAACAATGACAAAAATGGACTGCACGCGGTCAACGGTTGTCCTACGCTGCTATCCAGGCTAGTGGTCTGTACACGCACTATGCAAGCCTTCATTCGACTCCCTATCTCAACCCAGCAAGCTCCCTTTACCACATACGGGGGTCTCGTGTCGCGCTTCTGAGGCCCCCAGAATCCGATATTTGAACACATCGCGGCCAACGAATTTGCAAATCCCGGTTTTTACACTGATCCAGACCGTTGCGCTGAATATTAGCTTCCGCTGAAACTAGCTCACGCACCCCGACCATCGGCCGGCCCTACTTTCTAACCACCCGACTTCCGGCGCACCCCTCGTCAAATGATCCGGTCCTCCAACGACGGCAACCGCAGGAAGAGGTTCACGGGGGCGGGCGGGAGGGGGTTGCGGAAGCGCGGGTGGCGCATGATGAAGCAGCCCACCAAAATGGCGACGTACCTGGGGACAGAAGCAAGCCCGGTAAGCGAAAAAATGGCGTTGCCTTGCCGTTGAGTAACTTGATGGACAGCGGCCGCTTTATTGATGCCGGCAGAACAAAGGGGGTGGCTGGAACGGCAGGGCCGCTTCAAGCACACGGAGCTCAAAAGGGTGGCTGGTCAGCCCTATCGGAGCGAAAGGTACCACGAATGACCCCACAAAGCACCCCACCTTTCATTCGAGAGTCGATTGAACTGCGACCAAAGTTCTAATGCTAGTCTTCGGTGCACACTAAATATTCCTTGCAGAGCTTAGTGCCAATCGTGTCTTCCGGAACAAATGTGAGGTGGACATGAAAAGCAAGCCGTTTTAAACCGACAGCCCAAACTGCAGCTATTCATCACCACATTTCAAAATTTCAGAGGCAACAAAGATGAACCTCTAAGCTCCACACTTTCGCACGCTTTGAAATTAATAAAGTAGCACAAAAGCCAGAGGAGCCGTTGCGACAGCTGTTGAATAGCAGCACAACTAGTTGAATCAGCCCCGGGACCCGCACCTGTTGTGCACGAAGAAGGAGCAAAAAGTTCTCTCCCGCTGCAATCATACCCTCTGACTGTCGAATAATACCCTTAGTGACTAGTCCGTCACCAGCCGTGACATCTTACCCCTGAAAGCCGCACATAAAACGCGGCGTGGTTTCAGGGCCCTAGACTTGTCGGGTTTTCGGGTTACAGGATTTCAGGGTTTTAGGTTTTTAGTATGAATTGCGCGCGCACCTGATGGGCGCGAAGAAGAGGAAGACGGCCATGATGGCGCAGAAGGAGCAGAAGGCCGTGGACGCGCGCGGGTCGCGCCACTCGAGGAGCGCGGTCAGGCGCTCCCCCTGGGCCGCGATCTGGCCCAGAATGTTCTGGACCAGCGCCGCGTAGCCCTTCATCTTGTCAAAGCGCGCCTTGATGATCTGCACGCGGTGCGGATTCGACGTGTTATTGAAAGGAGGCGGTCCACTTCGAAGGGGATTTACCGAAGGTGAGGGTGAGGTCAGGAGCGAGCTGCCTCCAACAGAAGCACCGGGGATTGGTGAGAATGTCGAATCGCCTGTTAGCGCCTAAAAGTCTTCCACGGAGACTTCGACCATTCTCTCCGAAATGCCTGATAAAGCAAGACAGGGCGATTTACCGGGACAGAGTCCAGATAAGGCCTGGCAGAGCGCAAACCGCACTTCAAAACGGACTGAGGAACCGCAATTTTATTAAAAGCAAGCGAAGTATATGTCTTCTTCACATCTAGTATGACGTTCTGTCTACTTTTGGCACGTGACTCTGCGAAGTACTCGGAGCGCTGCAAACCCAACGTTGCTTTCCGCAAAGACCGCTGGACTTTAGGAACGGGTTTTGATGTACTGAGGCGCACCTTGTAGTTGCGGTACGGGTTCTGGATGACCTTGATGGACGTCTTATCTTTGCCCTTCATCAGCTCCTCTTCGTCCTCCTCGTCGTCCACGTCATCCTCCGGCTCCTCGCCGCCTGCACGCATAAGCACCCTCCGGTTATGCATACCTCAGCTCCGGTCAGGCTCATTGCTTGACAGAGCGCAACCCTACAAGGCACGCTTCGTCTTGTGCGATCAACCTCGAAGCTTCGTCGTCGGATCATAACCCCGAGGGCCGTCGAGGTTTCAATGATTGAGGTTTCAATGATTTGCTGTATGAGACTGGGGCATGACTGCAGCCCAGCTTGCAGTCCGTTCAAAGTTTTTTTCTGTGTCGACACCGAATGCCCGTCCAAAGGACGAGGCCGAATCAAGTGCTGCCCACGTCGCTAGCTTCTGCAAACGCGACTCATTGGAGTAGTACGAGGCACATAGATCCTGAACAAGGCTAGGCTTGAGATTTGAAGGCCTTGTCATTTGGGAAACTGCAATATCACTCATAAATTTTGGGGCTTACCCGATAACCGGGGGTCCATGCTGGCGGGCCCCCGCGGCCGGTGCTGGAAGTAGAAGGCCCCCCTGCCAACGAGCATGGCGAGAACGGTGGGCAGGATGAAGTGCGGGCGCAGGACCATGAAGATGAACACCCCGTGCACGGTCAGCGTCAGGGGGGGGCTGCGCCACTGGCACACCCGGTTGAACTGCTGCAGTGCCCACGGGACGCCCGAGAAGACGGCCTGCGCGGAAGTGGGGGGGGTGAATGAAGACTCGCAAGAAAAAAAAGAAAACAAGACAAACAAGCTACTTTGGTGGGGGAAAGATGTTAAGACTGGCACACCTGGTTGACTGCTGCAGCGCCCACAGGACGCCCGTGAATACGGCCTGCGCGAAAGTGGGGGAAAGGTGTTGGGAGTAAGATTCGCAACAATCGAAACAAACAAGCTACTGGGAGGGGGGGAAGGAATCTTAGACTGACATACGCGGTTGAACTGCTGCAGCGCCCACGGGACGCCCGAAAAGACGGCCTGTGCGGAAGAAGGGGGAACGGTTTTGGGATGAACATTTGCGAGGGGGAGTTCCAATTCTGGAAGGAAATCAAGAAGAGCTTCATAGAGGACAAGCCCACCTTGCTGCGGTCAGCATGGCCCCGCTGCTGCAACGTGCTGCGCTGCACATATCAATTCTGTGCATGTTCCCAATCTTGAAAGCTCCGACAAACGCAGACATGGCATGATGACACAGAAGCAAGGAACGCAAAAGTCACCAGAAATCGCAGACATGCAAGAGGAGAGAAGAGCAGGAAGAGGCGACTCACGTGAAGCCAATTGTCTCGAGTTCCCACGCCTTAAACCCACGCAGCCACTGACGATCGCAAACATGCAAGTACAGAGAATGGCCGAAACGCAAGTGGCCGAGACTCAAAACCCTCGAACCCACCTTGATTCTGTTCCAGTTGGCCCGTATGCGCCGCATCGTGAACAGCATCTCGTCCGTGTCCAGCATATACTCCACCACTTCTCGCCGCAGCGGCGGGTCATACTTCGCCAACCGGTCTGCCACCAGATTCATCGCTGAGATCCGCAGCGTCTCCGCCGCGTCTTTTCCGATAGGATCTAGGTAGTGCATCGCAGGAAGAACGGGGCGCAGGTACTGGCGCAGAATGGGGAGGGAGGACGGGTACGTGAAGCGGATGGCGAGGTCGAGGGTGCCCATTGGAGTGATGCGCTTCTTGTGCAAAAAAAGCGGGAACGAGCCGCGGTACACCTTGTTGCCCTCCAGAGTCGACAGCCGGATGCGCATCTGAACGAAACAGGTTTTAAGGGTTCTGAGGGTTTTCAATTCGGGCTCTTAGGATTCGAAGAAAACAGGGCTTTTCGCCCGTTGGTTTGTCAAGATTCAAAAGGAGAAAATATGGCCCCTGAAAAGAGTGGGTTTCCGACTTTTTCCTCAAGGATCGTCCTCGCAACACCTAACCGCTCACAACACCCCAAACCGCTATGATGCTAAATGCGACGATCTCTTCCAGCCGCCCTCCACGTTGCCCCGCGGCTGTTTTTGCAGTTGCATGATCCACTAATTACCTAAAGTCCATGAAAGCAGAGTCCTGAAATGGCGGACTGTCTTTTCTTGAACCTCACCTTGCCGAGCGGCTTGTCCTTATTGTTGCGCGCCTTTTCGAGCGCGGTGTGGCGCGTGTGCTGGTTGTCGAAGACGCCGATGGTGAGCACCGTGGACGGCTCGTGCACGTCCCACGTGTACTGCTCGTTCCACAGCGGCGCGCTCTCGTCCTTCACAGTGCGCGTGCGCACCCACCTGCAACCAGAGGGGGGGCCATTTGCTTCATTATCTGGGGATTCCAGGGATCTGACTTGTGAGTTGTACGATTCTGCGCTATGCAAAAATTTGTGCCTCTTGTGCGCACCCACCTGCAAACAGAGCACAACCAGGATTATAGGATCCTACCGATTTCAGTCTCCGGCTATGGAATGTAGCTGCGTCCGTTTTCCATCGTGCTATGCGCATCCACCTAGAGGCGCTCTTACTCAGCGAGGATGCCGTTTGAGTTCCAAGAAACCAAAATTTACCGTTGGCGTGCCCGAGACCGCCGATAGGGAAGCAAGTGCGTCTCCTCCTTTGCGGTTCGGATTTCTACGAAGGCAACCCTGTGCCCCGGATTCAGCAAGGAACCAACTCCAAGAGGGAGAGCATGCAAGCTCGTACTGCCCCTGCGGACGACTTGTGCCTCTCTTCACCTGCGCGGTGATTGCTGTTGCCCCCAAATGCTTTGCCACAAACTCACTATAGAAAGGGCCCAGACAGACTGAAGTTCTCTCAATTCTCTCTAACAAACCACACCACAGTGGTACGAGCCCGGCGTGCGGCCCGACGAACACAACCCAGCCCCACAATCGGGACCCCCGTTCCAAACTCTGTATCATCAAAAGCTGAGCCTCCTCACTTCTTCCCGTGCTTGGCCACGACATACGCGTCCGTCGTACCCCCCCCAGTCGCGCTATTCGTCTTCATGATCGGCAGCCCCGCCGCACCGATGATCCCCAGCTCAAGAGTTGCAATTGGGGGCCGCCACAGCTGCTTGGCGGTGGGGCGCGAATCGCTGTTGTGCGTGACCGAGCCGTCGTTGATATGGTACCCCCCCTCGAACACGAGCCGCAGGTGGAGCCGCCCGCTGACGGCGCGTCGGTTGTCGCCCTTGTCGAGAGCGTACCACCTGTCGGGGGAAGGGGGGGGGCTCCATATGAGGATTTTGAGACGGGGGAACTCCATGTGAAGATTTTAAGGGGGCGTCTACCCCACGTGGCTTGCAGGGACAATCCCGTCAAGGGTATGGACTGTTCGTTCGCTGTGGAATCAGGCCACATGGCAATTGCGAGCGACTGCGACATCGTTGCGTGAAACATGTCCCACTACGACCTGTTTAAGGACTGGGAGGGGCTCAGGGAGAGCGAGCACCAAAACTAAGGCGTGGCAGGGCTGTGGAGACTCGGTCTGGAAGCAAAGAGGCCTTGACATGAGGATTGGGAAAGACTTGTGCTACTAGTGGGCTACGAGAATTGTCATTGGAGCACTGCACAGTCATCAGCCTGCGTAGCAGCACCTCTTCAATAACCAGAGGGGAAAAAGCGCGGGGACTGGTTCAAAGCGCTTTTGGCTTGTGCTGGGCTCAAAAAACAAAAGAAAGCTCCGGTCACGGAAACCATTTGAGTACGTTCGGACTCTGTAAAGAGCAAATTAGAATGTACGTTTGGGCACAGCATCGGCACAACTGAGAACAGCGTTCCCTTCTTTTGCTCCGATAAAATCAAACTCCACTCAACGCCACTCTATTTCAAGCCACACTCCGCCACGTGTCCCGCTCACCGTGAGCCGACCTCCCGGTTGGTCAGCCGCGTCTCGATGCTGCCCAGCGGGATCCGGATCTGCCCCAGGAAGTCGTTTGCGCTGTACGGATTAAAGTCGGCGACCGTGAGCAGCAGCGAGTCCTCGAACGGCTCCGCCACAACGAAGAACAGGTCCTCCTTCCACACAGGGTTCAGCGTGGAGGCCTGCGGCTTGGTGCGCGCCTCTTGCGTGGAGCCCAGCTTGACCTTGACGAACTAGAAGGGGCGAGGAAGAGGAGCACATGTTAGCATAACCAGGGAGGTTCTAGTTCTCGGTCGGGTCTCACTGAAACGGAATGGGAGTCGAGCGATGGCTGCGACTTGGTTCGCGCTTCTTGCGTGGAGCTGAGCTTGACCTTGACGAACAAAGGCGGGAGACGAAACTGTGATAGTCAGCGCTGCGGCAATACTCGTAACGCTATTGCCGGGACTCGGTCGTCGAAGACGGGGGGAAGATTGAAAGGGGCTTTTGTGGAGCGGATGTGAGAGTTCACAGTTGATCCTGTATTCCTAACAGACACTGGGGCTGTGGAATTCGTATGGATGCCATGCCCGGCCTGGGTTGAAAGAAGCATAAGCACGGGTAGGAAAAACGACAAATCGTCCACTTAACCGAACCAGATCATCGCGCAAAAGCTCCACGTCAACGTGTCGTCTAGCTGAAATAACGGGCGACTCCAACACACTCTTACCGGGTCGCTCCCGCCTGCGTCGGTCGCCGTGAGGTTTTGCGCTTCGATGACGGTCACCCGGAGGTACCACATCCGGGGGGTCGCATATGATCTGGACCGGAACTGGGGCAGCCCCCCCGTGTCCGACTGCCACGCGCTCGCGAACGCCTCGTCGGACTGCGTGCCGAACCACACCGCCACCATGATGTCGCCTGCGGGGGGGGGGCAAGGGCAAGGGTTGAGCAAGGTGATTTCAAGAAACAGAGCCGCCTTTCCACCGGGTAGGATACCGAGGACGAGCGCACAAGCTGATTGCTCGCGTCAGCAACAAGATTTGTGAACCCTTCGACTCGTTTCTCGGCCTTGTCTATTCCACTGGACCTGAAAACCCTGGGCTAGCGAGCTTCAACGCGGCATGGGCCCAGAACATTGGCGCGAAATTGCTCGTCCCAGAGAATGAGCTTGTGAGTAAAATATAGATCAGGACAGAAAGGCAGCAGGGCTTCTCAGTCGATCCCTCCGCGATTCAATTTCCTCGTAGCTTTGCAGCTAGGGTATCACGAGAAAACCGAGCCGTCCAATTAGAATTCTCCGGTTCAGGGTGCGCTAGGCCATGCGCCCACCTTTGACCGCGTCCTTGAGCGACCGCCTCTCTAGTTTGAACCACTGCGGGTCGACGCCCTTTTCGGGGTACACACGCATCGGCACTGAGTGCAGCGGAATCTGGATCTGGCCCAAGAAGTCGTCCGCCGTCAGAAAGTCCTGCGCAAAAAGCGGCAGAGCTTTTGTGAGGGGCCGACCTCTAGGCTGAGTGGCATGAGAACAGCATTCTCCTGATTCCTCAGAATTTTCTCTCAGAATTTTGTGAACTTATCACTCTCAACAGCGAACGATCGCCGAAAAGGGATTCCGAGAGGTCTGAAGCCGAATGGCATGGGGAAAGCCTCCACTCAGTCTCTGAACAGTACGCTGGCAAAGCTCGACAACGAGCGACGTCAGAAGAAGCGAGTAATTGCGAACGGCGAGCGCGCGAGGGTTTCCCGTCGAAGCGAGGCGCAACTGTCCAGGAACAGCAATACTTCAGAACCTTGCCCCAAGTATACGTTCTGGGCTACAGCCGCGCACAAGCTGGCGCGGCTGATGTTTTCCGGATCTAGAACGTGGCGTCGCTTTCACTCTGCTAAAACAGGCGCCAAACAAAGCTGGACTTCCGGGTTCGAACGATCACTTGAAGCATGGCGAGTGGAAAAAAAAACGGTCTGTGTGACTCTCAGCTATGACTCAGCTACGACTCAGCTACGACTCAGCTACGACCACCAACTGTTTCCAGGAGTAAAACCAAGGAGTAAGGCTGTATTTGCCTGGCAGCGTGACGTTCAAACTTTCTCTAGGCCGACAAATTGCCGCTCATTCCATAGAAGCTGGCACACTGGTGTTAACTTGCTTCCGCGTTCTCTCCTGCCGAGTTGGGCAGAACGCATCTCAAGCAAATCCCTAAATCCTCAAAAGGGGCGACACCGAAGTCCTGAGGATTCTTACCTCGTCCCAGACGCTGAGCTCGAGCACCCCCGTCTCCCGGTCGATGTGGTTCTGGTCGCTTCCCGAGCCGGGGGCCTTGTTGAAGGCAAACACCTCGTTCCACTCCGGGTTCAGCTCGTGCTTGATCACGCGTGTCTGTGCCGAGCGGGGCCCCACGTGAATCTTGACGTACTGCGGGGCCAAAGTAGGACGGTAATTTTGGATTCAAATTACGAACGAAAGTGATGCCGCTGTGAACATTTTGCGCCGGACCCTGCAGAAGCTTGCTGACATCGATTACGAGAATCATTTCTTGCTATTCTATCTTCTGTTTAGAAGAAGATGGGACGCAATCGCCGCGTTCCTCCTTGGCGACCTTGAACACATACACAACTTACACTCCGACCTGATCTGTGTTCACTTATTCCATCTGGCGGAACAGTATTCTCTTTCGCAGCCCAAAGAGCCTCCAAACAAGCCACAGACACGTAACACGCTCCTTGACATCGCCGAGAGACTTGTTTCAGAACGGGACACCACCTGAAAAACAACGCCTCCGAAGCTCCAGGGCCTCACCGGGTCGCTCGTTCCGTTGGAGTCGGCCGCGAGGAGCGCCCGCGCGCGCAGCACGCGCACAAACAGGTACTCCACCTGGTCCACAAGGTCGAATGGGCTGCTGACGCCTGTCACCACGTGGGCCACGTTGCCTTGCTGGTGAATCCCCCCCCGCCGGTTGTCCTTGGCATAGACTGCTACGGACCCCCCGTCGAAGTCGGATTCGTCGTCCCCTGGGGAACGGGGCCCCTCGATCGAAGCGTCCGAGTCGTAATCCTCGCTTCGGGGGGTATCGTCGTACCAGAGCTTCAGCCTGGGGTAAAAGTAGCGGCATCAGCAACCGAAACAAGCTGAGGGTGTGAGAACCCGACTGACAAACTGAATCAGACCAGTTGTCAGTTCGTGCGATATGTACCATTCGAAGTGCCGTCTGTCGTGCACCATCTTCGTTTACCCTCTCCCCCGATTTATTGAGCCAGTTTCCCAAACTTCTTTTAGCAGCAGCCGCTTCTCCTCAGAATTCCGAACAAACGCCCAGCTTTACCTCCATCACTTATCAGTGCCCCTTACATAACTCAAAAAGAAAGCCACGAAAAGGGGGCAAAAGGAAGCTTAAAACTGAATCGGAGGGACGGCAATATGAGAAGAATGATTGCGCCTCACCCGATCTCCCCCTTGACCCGGGACAGCAGGCTCCGCTTTTCGAGGGGGTAGTATATGAGCTTTTCCTGCCCCCGGGGCAAGATGCCCTCGCTCTCCCCATAGAAGTTAATCGGAAACCGCACGCGCCCAAGAAAACCGTGATGCTTCTTTGTTCGGCTGCGGCTGTAGATACTGATCTCGAGGGTCTCCTGCTTTGCCGCCGCACTGCCCGGGAGGGTGCTGGCGTGCGGGATTGTGAAGACGAACTGAGCGAGGAACGACAAGAAGGGTTCAGCTTATGACAAGATGAACAAAGCTGGGGCTGTAACATGGTGAAGCTGGAAAGAGAAGACAAAAACCGGCTGACATTCGTTTTCGTAAATGATGAAATGGAAATTCGAAGGTTTGATGAGAAGCTTCCATTACGTAGGCATAGACGAGAGATGTTAAGCGGAAAGGCGCCGCCACAAGATGCGTCTGGATAGGAGGGAGCGAAGAGCTGGGGCATGAGCTTTGGAGACGATTAAGGTTTTAGCATAACATGTTTTGCGTTGCATGCGAAGGCCCGGTTGACAGATTAAACTGTCCCTCAGATCTGAGCGGATACATCTGGAAAAGTAGTGCCACTGGGCAGTTCAAAAGTTGGATTAGCAGTGTCCACATACAGTAGTCCCTGATAGAACTGGAGCGTCTTCAGCCAATAACAATGACCTCAGGTTCCAACAGAGATCTCAAATTCAACTTCTTCGAGGTTTAGGACCGGCAAACATGTCCCCACAGACAAGCCCGCACAAGGCCACACTCACAGGCAGGCAGCTTAAATTGCCAGAGCTACAGATACGTGGAACGAGCACTTCACCTCTTCATCCCACAGAGGGTTCAGTGAGTCCACCTTCGTTGTCGTGCGTTTCTGCTTCCCATCAAACTCCAGCTACATCAGTGGAAGGACAAATGTCAGGCCTGCCAACATGCAGGCAGTTAGAGGGGCATAGGCGGACATCGGAGATTATTTGGAGATCACACCGATTGGGTAGTGGGGGATCCCTTTAGACGCCACGTCTGCGACGCTCTGACAATCACACCGTGTAAAGAGAAGTTGCCAGGAGACAAAAGACAAGGTACGCAACTTTCAACCGCCTCAGTTGGCGCTGTGTTTCACAACAGCTAAAACGGAACTCCTATGAAGTGCGAGCTTGGCTGGCAAAGTGGCTCCTATAATCTGCAATCCTGGGCATTCAGGGGGCAGAATCATCATTGGGACTATGTGCCTTCCCATGAGGATGTAGAAAAACGGGCCCATTGACTCCCGCAGTTGGCAAAGCAATCAGTCGCACTCTCCATTGAACAATCTGGTTCACTTCGGTGGAATTCATGTAACAGGCTCCAACAAAGCAGCCTATGCCACCGCCAGGTTACCTGGGCACCGCCAGGATAGCCTATGCACCACCAGGATAGCCTATGCACCACAACAAACTCTAGCCACAGCATTGAACCAAGAACTTCCACTTACGATGCAGAATGGGTCCGAGCTATCGTCTGCCCCTTTTGCCATCAAGTTCCTGGCGGCACACACAGCCACGTGAATCTTGCGCACCGCAATCCCCGGTCTGTTTCCCCACGCCTCGTTCTCAACTTCCTCAACATATGGATCAGTGACGTCGGACCGCGAGTCATCCCCGTCCGTCTCTGTTCCCCCTTCGGATGTGTCTCCCCCTCCTAGTTGCTCCCCTCTTCTATATGAGCTTGAGATAGCTCCCGCTCCTGCCCGCTGTGCCCCCCCAAAAGATGGGGAGATCGGCACCCCCCCTGCATGCTGTTCCCTGATGGGAGGACTGCTGTACGAACGATATGAATCATAGTCCTCCACCTCGTCAGCGGAAAACCTTTCACTTGAGGAGTGTAGGGTGTGCCGCACGCGCTCCTTGACGTCCGCTGCCCGCTCCTTGACGCGGCTGGTCAGCCGCTGCATTGCAGGCGTCAGGGTGGGCTTTGAGAGGGACATGGTTGATCAGTGGCGTTCAGAAATGGGCCTCAAGCTAGTAATGCCATTGACAAGCAATGCTGAGCACTGTTGACAGTGCTGGCCGCCCCATTGCAATGAATTCCAAACAACAGCTCTGTTAGCTGGCATGCAGGATGATGATGCAGTGCCAGCAAATGCTGCTCAGCATTAGCTGGCAGGCGGGACTAGATGCGGGTGCAAAAGTCCAAAGGCATGATCGTAAGCATATGTGACAAGCATCCAACCTTACCGTAAGCCAATCGACGGTTGCACTTTGTTCATCGGATTACCAGCAGGGCTGCTTGCGATAGTCCGATGCTCTGACAGAATCATCGACGGTTGGGAAGTACCTGGGGTATTGGCAGAACAGTGCAAGAGGGATGGCCGGGCCGCCTGGCCGCTGAGCTCCACAGCTCTGCCTTGCTCATGAAAGTTTAGCTTCAGGTAGGATACGGTAGGTAGGTCATCTCGTCAGCATTGCTTAGAACATGGCGGACACGCTGGTCTGTGCGGGTCCTACTGTCTCGTTCCCTACTCTGCGGGAGTGCAGGCGTCCCTGCCGACAGACAAGGGCTCCACAGGCACTGCTCAGCATAGCCCCACCATGCGGGAGGCGGGGTGAATGTGAATGCACCCGATGGTTACATCACTCTGAAAGACTAAAGTTTGAAGATGCACCTGAACTCGAGGAATTCGTTCTCTCAAACCTCAGAGCGTCCGCCATGAGTGGTGGTGCTCCACGATTGTAGCTGATGTTGATGCAGCGTGGCTGCTCAAAGCCTGTCCCTGTTTGCAGGCCTCATAACCACTATCCATCCAATTTGAAAGGAGCTTTGAGCACTCAGCTCAATTCCTGTCATACCTGACATTGCATTTGATCCGGATCCATGTTTGCTCCTACAGGCCACCAGCGGTTGTCTGTTTGCCTACCAGGCGTTGCTCAGAGGACGCTGCGCCAATCCACCTTCCTTACTGATGTCCGATGGAAGGCACAAGTGCTTCAGCAAGCGGCACCGAGGCTCCGCCAGTGCCAGGGGGGCGCAACCAGAGCCATCTTTACAGGTGCTAAAACAATCATCAGCAATCACAAATACCACTGGTCTACTTATTGCTGGTTCAGGGTTCCTCTTGACGATACTGTGTGGTTTGCGTGGCTACTGTTGGACACCGTGAAGTCCGCAATCCCACCCAACAGATCAAGTATGTGTTGGGGCAAAAGACATGAGATGACGTCTAGACCAGCTGCACCACGTCTCCATCGCCCAAGGAACGATTCCGCCTGGTACACACTTTTCTCTGGCCTCCCTGTCGCAACTTCCTGCCATAAATGCACACACATCTGTGTGCATTCTGTCACTGTGTGGTGATTCTTGTAGCAGAATCCTCTCAGTCCCTTACGACGTACTACGCCCAAGTCCAGATGGTGACATCGTGGCTTGCACTCAATATCGATTAATCGGTGAATCTTACGGTCATGCCAGTAAGCCAACGCCTTCACCAGTGGTCCCAGCTCCTTCCTTGTGCTTCCCGCAGGTATTGTTGAGGAGATGGGGACGGTGCGCGAACTGAAGCAGGTGGACGGTGGCTGGGAGCTGACTGTGGAAGCGTCCACAGTGCTTGAAGATGTCAAAGTACGTTCAAAAGCTCTGCTCCTTGCCTTGGCCGTTTCCAATGGCAATGAGAGATCAAAGTGGCTGCAGAAGGTTGGCTATCGGAGGCCCCGGAATCAAGCTGACAGGATCAACAGGGGAGACTTGCTTGACGGGCGTACGCACTTGTCTTGTACAGCATAGATAGGACTTGAATTCTGTAGATGCAGAGGATTCAGCCCGTACTCATGCTCTGCAGTTGGGTGACAGCATCGCGGTCAATGGCACGTGCCTGACGGTCACCCGATTTGACCCGACCTACTTTGCAGTAGGTGAGTTGCGTCTGCGTTTTACTGTGACGGTTTGATGGATGATAACAAAGCTGCAGCCGCATCGCAGAAGCCTACGAAGCAAAGCCAATCTTCCGCGAATGGCAGATCTCTGTCAATCAAAAAGTTTCAATCATACTCGGACAGCGCGTGGTTGGAGTTGTCCAGAGTGTTATGTAGGACGGCCTTGGTGCATGGGGCGAGCCCGCTCTTGCATCTTTTGGTTAATAAGATTCATTTGGCCCACCGTAAAACCTGCTGCTTTGCTGTTGAAACGTCCGAACCATCGCTGAGAGTCTTCCTAATTTGTTTCAAGCCCGCTGCCTCAGGCCTCGCCCCAGAAACCCTGCGGAAGACTTCTCTGGAAGAACTGGAAACGGGGTCGAAAGTCAATCTGGAGCGGTCGCTCCAACCAAGCGGTCGCATGGGGGGCCACTTCGTTCAGGGCCACGTGGATGGGACAGGTGTCATCTCCAAATTCGAACCTGATGGGGACTCGCTTGTGGTGACAATAAAGACGACGCCCGAAATGCTTCGTTATATTGTAAAAAAGGTGAGCTTGTCAGCAGATAATGTGTACTGGATGGAAATATCAGTGACTATCGTCAAAGTCGTCGGCGATTCCCCCAGTCGAGGCCGGTGTGCTCCTGCGACGAACCGTTTCGAAGATTCTTTGGGGACCCACTTTGCAGTCGCCTGGACATTTCCAGCTTTTAGAGCTACTGACTGCATTTAGGGCGTGCCTAGTAAAAGGGGCATGCAGAAAGCCAACTGCATTACATCGCATAGCGAACGGCACAGTCCGGCTCTCCGCTCTTGGGTTGCCAGGAAACTATAAGAATCGGTAGATCACGTCGCGGTTTTCTAACGGCCAAGAAAGACACGAGCTTTTCAAGTAACCCATTCCTCTGCTTGTGCGGTAGTGCGCTTTCATCGAGGTCGAGGTATGAAGGGGCCGCTCGAAACACGTCCTCGGCCACCACTTCTGCTCAGCGGCTTCCCTGACCGGATCGTTCCGCTTCCGGTGTTTCACAGGGGTACATCGCCGTTGATGGAACGAGCCTTACGGTTGTGGAAGTTTTGGACGCGGAGTTGTCGTTCACCTTCATGCTGGTTGCCTACACGCAGCAGAAGATCGTCGTTCCGCTGAAGAAGGTCGGGGATAAGGTGAACCTCGGTAAGCAGCGCACTTCTCGATCGAGGCTGGTTTCATCGTTGGTCTGGTAGCATAGCCTTTCCCCTCGGATCGCGCTCGCAGCTCTAATCCTATAGCAGTCTGTTGAAGTCCTCAGTCTGCAAACATTTCCCTGCAACTCCGTTAGATTCGCGCCATGAATGTGAGTGTTTAGCTTGGAGATATCACCCTTTCGCGTTTTGACGACATCGCGGCCTCGAGTGTGCATATGGTGGCTACCCGGAACGTGTTCTTACTTGCTTCATTGGTGCTTGGATCAACTGCGGTGTTTGCTGAAGCTCCTATCATCCAGTAAAGTGGGCGTCTTTGCCAGTACCAGATCACTAGACAGCAAAGTCTTTAACATCATTCTTCGCGCCTTGTCTATATAAGAAGCTGAGAGCCTATGTTCTACAAAAACTTTCCTCGAATGACGAGGCTATCTGCTCACCAAAAACCTGAAGAACGCTCGTAAGTTATCTGCTTGGGTCCTGGAAGCTTGAACACTTCTCGAGCGTCGGCCTGTTGAGAGCCGCAGAAAAGGTTCGCAGGCTTTCATAAGGAGGAAAGTCTAATCGTTGGTATCGCTTGCACCAACGCTCAGCGTTTCCTTCTCCGGTTGGTCGCTTGGCTAGAAGCTTGAACAGATATGTTTAGGTTATCCCACGAGTGCGAGAGAATGTCGAAGTTTCGCATCGAACGAGAGCGGATATTCCCGAGGGCCTCCGAGGCCCGAGTGGAATATGAAGCTCGAGTTAGACACGAAATCTTCGATATGCTCGAGCACGAGTGAAGGTAACCAACTTATCGCACGACCGGACTCTGATGCATTGTCGAACCTGGTAAGGGTCTCGCGTTTATTCAACGTTAAGCGTTGAATAAAAATATATATTCACCGCTGGGGTCGCCAACGGAGTTCGACGCCGAAGTTCTACTAATACTCAACGCCGAAATGGCTGAGCGCAAAAACCGGTCGTGGAATAAGGACCGGGCTTGCTAACTCTCCACTGATGCGTTTAACTGATGGTGAACATGCAGAAGTTGACATCGTTGGAAAGTATGTCGAGAGGATGACTGAAGGCTACCGACAAGTGGGGTAAGAACGAGTCTGCCAAGAACCTGGTGGAAACTACTAAAACGAAAGCTTACTTGGACGTTGTGGCGCTGGCTGGTTCGCTACAAGCTTTACACATTTGACGGTCCTCTATGCCATTCGTAACGTGTTGGCTGTGGACAATGCGCACGACTCGGCTGTTGAAGAGCTCAGTGTCCGGTCTGCACTTGAACAGCCTCACCAATCGTTATGCGCAGTCCTGAACGTGCTTATTGGACTCACGGCACCGACTGTTGGTTCATGCTTGCCACACTAGCTCGTGGTCTTTCCTTGATAGTTGTGTACACAACCATCACTGAAGGGCTGGCTAGATTGAGCCCACGTGGAAGCTACTTGCCTGACTAGCTCGCGACATCAATGTCACGCAACCCATTATTGCCTGCCAGACTGTCTCATTATAGTGTCTCATTATAGTACCTGCATATCTGCACTACAAACCAGCCCGCCCCCTGTTCACGTAAGCCTTAAGTAAGTTCCGGTAATTGAAGTTACATAGGAAGCGGACCTTTTGTATATTCAGGCCAAAAGCTGTATAGATTATAGCATGACGACGACTTTCTAGGAAACAATCTCATAAGTTTAGTCGGTAAAAACGGGGCCGGGGTACGTGAACATATTGCTCTGTAAACATGAAACGCGCGGACTCGTCCATCCATGCGCATAGAAAAACCTATCTCTGTGTGGAGCATGCAAATTGGGTGCATTATCGTGCAAGAAACATGGTCAGATTTCTCGCGGACGCAGCAGGACTCAGATAAGTCGAACCTAGGACTACCTGCGGTGCAGATAGCCGAACCCGTGAATTTAATCTTGTGTTTCGAGCCGTCCGATCGTACAAAATTCCTCTTCTTCGACGGACAAGATTGCATCTTATAGTGTCCCGAATGCAAATGTAGTCGGGCCTCGGTTGGTATGAGGAGAGGGTTGGTCAGATTGTCAGCAGCTTTTTAACAATTATCTGCCCGTTAAACCAACCCAAACCCGCCCCTCGTTACAGCTAGCACCTTGCCCGGACCTAAAACCTTTAGGAGTTTCAAGCTGACTCTTTCAGGGCCTAAATAGTACCATGGTATTAATGGCAATGGTAATCCCCCTGGCCTTGAAGTTGTAGCCGACTAGTTTGGTCCTGGCCCTGGGCGCTCCATGCAGGCTGTCCAGGGGCGCTTAATAGAGGCAGACCTTGGAAGAGGGAGCTCGTTTGAAGTCCGCAAATGCTGCACAAGCTGGATACTACTTTCAGTCAGATTCGATGGACTTCTTGACAACTGCTCGCCACCTCTAACTTTGAAATCCACTTTGTGTTGAGACCACTTTACCGAGGTTTTCCCAGAGCCGCTGAATTGCCAATGGCGCATTGCAGGACGTGGGATCTCCGAAAATGCGCGGATGCCACATCAGCTATAGCTTTGCAGCGCTCAGCTTTCTGTAGTTATGAGCACCGGGGACTTGGTGCTTGCCGGCAGAAGGACTTCCAGCAATGCATCTCTGAGATGATAAAGAGGCGACACTGTCTTCAGCAAAAGCTTCCGCAACGTGGTCCTGTGATAAAAGAAACACGTTTGCAGTGTGAAGTGGCACCACAGGGTGCAAATGTTGGGAGTCAGGTTGAACAAGGGGACAAGGCAAAGCTTCCAGTGAAAGAGGCTCCCAAAACAAGCGCTCGACTAATGAAAGCAATGAAGTCTGCCGGCACGCTAGAGTTGCCCCCTTTGACAAGCTGGGAGTCTATCTCCCCTTCCGGTGTGGAAACTTCAGCGCAATGTCCAACTTCTCCTTTGGACATGAAACCTTTTAGTGAGCGGACAGATTCTTTAGGATTTCGTAGGGATGTAATGGGGGAACGGGGAGGCTCATCAACCAGCACTCAGAAGCAAATGGAGAAGTCAACTTCCTCACAAAGTAGTTTTTCATCAACTCTGTCAAAAGGCCAGGCGGTCTCCTTTCCTCAAGTAACATCTGATAGCGCCGGCACCAGCCTCCATCATGGGAGACAGCTAAATGAAGACGGCCCTTCCACTTCCGGTCAAGCAGCCCCTGAAATGGAACTCCTTTTCCTTGGGACGTCGTCTGGGACTCCGACTCTGTCCCGCAATGTGTCAGGGCTGCTGCTGAGAATGAAGAGGGGAACGTGGCTCTTTGACTGTGGGGAGGGCACGCAGCACAGGTGAGCTCTTACTTGAGAGGGGGCTTACGGCAGCTGGTTGAGGGTGCGCTTATGTCTGACGCCACCGTGACTGCGCTATCAGTCAAATGATCATGAGCGTTTCTTGACTCTTGGATCCCATGAGTATTGCAGAATGCTTGATATGATTGTAATGTCCTTTAAAAGGATGGGTTGTGCTGACTGTAACCACTGCGGTGTCCTGCTTCCCTCCTTACCACACACATGACGCAGAGATGTCAGATCACAGGGTACGACACTCCAGTTGACGGACAAATCTGCTGAAACTCTTGGTGTGACCAGAAATTCACTTGCAAAGCCCGGAAAACACATTCGAGGCCCTTGACAAGCACTCAGTCACCAGACTATCTCACCTATTGTTAACTCTTTGTGTTGACAGGCTCGATGACTAGAATAATCAATAGGCGACTCCAGATCGTTAGAATCCACAACCCTTTTGTTTCTGCATCTTCCCGCTTGAATTTTAGATGACCGCTGTCAATGTGACCCAACCTTTTGGCCCTGCAGATTGCTCCAGGCAAGGGTTATCCCAAGCTCCATTTCCAAGATCTTCATTTCTCACATGCACGGCGACCACATCTTCGGCCTTCCTGGCCTGCTTCTCTCCATCATGGACTCCCGCGACGAGCTTGGTCTAAGCAAAGACGCCCCTTTGCACATCTACGGCCCCAAAGGACTTGGCCAATACATCTGGGCGAACCTCAGCATGTCAGCATCAGGGGTGAGGTAACTACAACCATTTCGGTTTGCTGCTTTGTCATTTCTATGTGATCGCTGATATTCGGTTGGTTCGAAGGCATTGTTCAATTGTGTATTGCCCCTTTTTTTGAAATCAAAGGTACTAAGCGCTTTGCTCTTTTTGGGGTGCAGGCCCTTGAGAAAGCGGAGTATTCTATCTGTTCTGTTCTGTCTGTTCGTCTGTTGTGTTAAATTTGGATCAGAAGAGCTGCCGTCAGAATCTCGTGGAAAGTTCTCCTCGTCGATTACGGCAAGACCTGAACACCGAGTTCACGTCTTCGCACATTTGAGGATAGGCTTGCTCGAGCTCGTAACATCAAGCAGACCATCCCACGACCTTTTGACTTGATGACCCCGCTGGTTTTGAGACTCGACTGGCGGAGCATTAGTTGCAAATCTTCCTTGTGATGCAAACTCCAGATAACCCTTTGCGCTTTTTATTGATTGGAAAAACGAGGATTCGTTCCTTTTTCCAAGCCAGTCCGGCGTTTAGGATCGTATACAGTCCAGAAATGTATGGTGTGTTGCTGACGTCCACTGTTTTGCCTGACCCTCCCCCTAACCCGTGCAGCTAACCATCCCGGTTACCATACACGAGCTCGGCCACGACGCCCCGGGCGCTTTCTCCCTCGACTCCCACGGCCGTTTCCAAGTCCGCCCCGTGCTTCGAATCGATTCCCCGGGTGGGGGTTTCCACTGGGACCTGTTCGACGACGAAAGAATCAGTGCCAAGACGTCGCTTTTGAAGCATCGGGTGCCATGTTTTGGTTATGTGGTGGAGGAGACGTATGAGCGGAAAGTGGACCCGCTTCGGGCGAGGGGGTGGGGCCTGGAACCAGGTCCCATGTTCGCGAAACTCGAAGTAAGCCCACCCTAGTTCGTGTGGTGTTGAGTCTCTCGGCCGCCCTGAGCACCACCCAGGCGGCTAAGCCTAGGATGCAGGGGAATGGGGTTACCCGCTTTGCCTCTTTCTGGAACCCTCTTGCTTCTAATAGAAAGCTATAACATGGTTTGCTGCTTTCGCGAGGCGAGACGGTGCGCCTCTCACAAAGGTCCCCTCTTTGGAACTCTTGCTGAGCTTTTACCTCCCCCGTGCCGGCGGTTTCCTTCTCCACCCCTTCATTTGCCTCTTGATATTTGCAGTCCTGTCCTCTACGTTTTCGAGGGTTGGGAACCACGTGCTTCATGACGTAGCGGCCGTTCCTCGTGCCGTTGCTTGCTCGTCGTCGTCCGTCCGTGAAAGTCCGCGCCTTTTTCAGCCGCATGTCCGTTGACCCCTTTCTACCGGTTTCTGTTGAACAGAGGGGCGAAACGGTGCGCCTCCCAAACGGAACGGTCGTCCGGCCAGACGACGTCCTTGAGGCGCCGACGCAGCGCAAAGTGTGCATCCTGGGCGACACCTGTGACTCGTCCAACTTGGCGACTGTCGCCCAGAATGCGGACGTCCTGGTCCACGAGGCGACGTTCGAAAACAAGTACGAGGACAAAGCGCTGGTGTCCACGCATTCCACCGCCGGGATGGCCGGCGCTTTTGCGAGGGACATAGGAGCGAAGCTGCTGATCTTGACGCATTTCAGCAAGCGGTATGAGAGCTTGGAGGTTCGGGAAAGGAGCTTAGATGGCGAATCTGGCGACGCGAGTAGCTTATCAAGCCAAGCTATCAGGAGGCTAGTGACGCAGGCGATGAGCACGTTCCGCAGCAACAAGGTGATTGCGGCGGAGGATTTTAAACGGATACAAGTTCCACGGAGTGTGAGAATCGAAGTTGGTGAACCTTGAAGCATATCTTGCCGCCGCCTTCACTCTTGCATGGTGAACAGCTACTTATAAGCCTGCCCGGCAGCTTGTCTTCAAAGAAGATCTGCGGGTCCGGCTGGCCGCAATCGGATTTATCTATGAATAGCATCCAGCTTGCACATATATATATTGTAGACGTGCTCATGAGTGCATGTATACGTACAGCTATATAGATATACTGAACCGAATTACTAGGGAGCTCATGTACTTACTACTGATGCGCTGGCAATCAGGCGCGGGCGCGGCCGAATTTGCAGATTTCCGACATGAGTCATGTCAGTGCATGCAAGCAAAGATGGCGGCATGCATGATGCACAAGGATTCCCGTGTTATATTCGATAGGCCGAGTGCGATCGAACTCCATTATCAGCAACTAGCATGCGGGCGCCTGCGCAGTACGCAGCCGGTGGCGATCTGCACGCGCTAGTCACTAAGACATGGTCTCTTTGATCGTAACGCCGTAGCCAGTGCGGCCATAGGCTTCTCATGGCATAGCTAATTGTTTGCATGCATGAGCTTTTGAGGGTGTCTGCTTAAATAACGTGAACAACAACCTACCAGCTACCGTGCTACTCATACACCGTGCCAACTTTCGCAACAACTCCTGACTTATGCAGCCCATGCTAACCAATAAGACGCGCTAAGTTATGCTTTTTTAGAGGGCTTCTTGAGGGTATCCAAGCAACAGGTGCTTGTCACCAACTCTGTTTTGTAAGGCTCAGGATGTTGATAGCAACGGGTCGGGTAAGAAGCATCTGGTCGGCGTTCGGTTGAAGAATGATGGCTCGTGCGTCATCATCATGGCAATCTAGGTTGGAATGCAAGGCGCCGGGCCATTGAAAAACCCCTGACCCGTACTTCATAGCTTTGGGGATCTTTGCTAAAAGGGGAAAAAGATTCAAATTCAATGATCAAGCGCGAGTGCAGCGATCTCAAATTCATATATATGGGCCCGCAGCGTCCCATGAGCCCAGCCGGCCCATGTGCATGCACCCGGAGCTTGCGATTTACTTTCACTCAGACGCACCAGATCTGAGGAAGCGGAAAGCTACATGTGTCGCAGGCCACCATGATCTGCTTCAAGCGACAAGAGCTCAGCCTTATGTCAGCACGCGTGCAACCGTTCGAACGTCAAACTCGTCGACTAGGCTACGTAGATTGAAAAAGTTCATGATTCTGTGAGCGAATGCTTGCCCATGGGGGCGGTTTCATGCAAGCAGATTTTACAGCCTTCTACCAGTGTACTTCTCAATGCTGGTCGATTGCTTTATCGAGCTAAGAGTGTTTAAGAATCGTCGCCTTCGCAGCGGCCTTTTCGCTAGGGACGGAATGCGAGCCCTTAGCAATGCTGTTTTAACAGATGTGGAGGGGTGTCCTAAGCGGAGCTACTGTGCGGCTCGTACCAGTAGCATCAGTACTGTAAGTCCTCAAACGACAGCTGGTGTCGGCTTGGCTCTCATGAAAGTCATGAGCGTCTGCTGCTTGACGTCCGTGCGATCGAACTTATGCTTCTTCTTCTTCTTGGAAGGCTGCTGGTTCTCCTGCAGGAAAAGAAGAACGGAACGCAACTGTCAGGCTTTTGGGGATGCGAAGGCTACGGTATGTCAGAGAACGAGCGAACTGACCCAGCACAAATAGAGATCAACTATAAACGATGTTAGCAGTGAATCAAGACCTCGCCGATCGGCACGTCTTCCTCTTCATCCCTGATTGTTATTCACCAGTTTGTTGACCTCAGAGGAAACCCCAAGCCTGCTGATGCATCCAACACAAATTCCAACTTTCCTTTTCTTCTTTTTAGAGTATTGCACGCAAGATAGTGACGGAGGGGTGCGGCGAGGTCACAGCAAAGTCCATCAACGACTGACAATCAGCCCCAGGGCTACTTCCAAAATCCAAACTCTACCGCAAGCAGCACGAGAGCCCACCTTGTCAGGCACCGGCTGCACTTTGCCGCTCTTTCCCCCGCCCTGGCTGCCGCTCCCCAGCCCCGAGCCCCCGAGCGCCCCGTCCTCCCGCTGCCGCTTCTTCTTGGCCTTCTCAAAGTCAGCCGATCGCACCACCTCCACGCTCCCCCCCTCGGAACTGGTGCGCTTCGGCGCCCCCTGCTTGCTCAACACTTGCGTCACCCCCGCCGGCCGCGGCTTCGCGGCACCGCCGGGGGCGGCTTCCTTGGGCCTGTGCGTGGCGGCTTTGCTGGGCCCCTGAAAGCTGGCCAACCCGCCCGGAGACGATTTCCCAGAGCCACCCGCTGCGGGTTTGGCGTCAGAACCGGCGCCCGACTGCCCGGTTGGTTTTGCGGGGGATTTGCTGCTTGCGTTCGCAGCGGACGGGGACAGGGCGGGGCGCACAGGGAGCGGCGACTTTCCGCCCTTCTGGCCCTTGCCCGGGCTAGACTTCCGCTTCTCAGGGCTACCGAGCACCAGGCACGCCGAAGCCAAGGGCCCGTTCAACTTTCCCTCGAAATCCGCGCTTGCTGTTGGCTTCTTCGGAGTGCTCTTTTGACCCGCGGACTTGGCCCCGTTTCCAGTTGGGGGCTGTCGCGGGCTTTTCTGCTGCTCTCCTTCCCGTGCGACCTTCTTCGGGGACTCCGCCGGCTGCTCCGCCCGGCGCTTCTCCCCGACTGCCACGTCAGCAGCGCGCCGCGCCTTTGTCTGCGCAAGCTCGCGCGCCGCCTCCTCTTTCCGCTGTCGCTTCCGCGCCGCCTTGCGCTCGGCCTTCCGAATGTTTTTCTCCGCCTCCCGTTCTATCCGCCGGGCGACGAGGGCCGTGTAGCGCGCCCCATCCGAGTCCTCCCCCGAGGACTGCCCGGGGGACGCCGCGAGCGCCGCCTGCGCGCGCGCGCGCTCCTCCCGCGCGGCCGCGGCGCGCGCCTTCCTGGCGGCCTCCTCGGCGACGTCGGCTTTCGAGCGCGACACCGGGTGCTGCGCGATGAGCTTCTTGAGGCGGCTCGTCAGAATCTGGTCGGAGGGCATTTCACGGGGCAGAAATGCTGGGACAGGGGTCTTCGGAGAAGAGGGAGAACTCGTCGGCAGCGCAACCGGGGCGAGGGGTGTCGTCCCCGGGGAAAGGGACGGGCCAGCGAAGGGTGAGAGGGAGGCCGGTTGGAGGGGCGGGGCGGTTCGGAGGGCGTCCGGGTTCGGGTCGCGGATGGCGAGCAGGGAGCGGAAGCGGAGCGTTTGGTCCTCTCTGCACGAAAAGGATTGCACAACGAGGGTCATGTTTCTGTGCGCAGCAAGAACGAGTAAAAGGCCAAGTTGATGGTCATCTGGAATACCCTCAAGAGACCCCAGAAGATATTAGTACTAGGCATGAGCAGATCGCGGCTCGTCAAGGCTTTCAAGTCTGTCTCTCAGGACACGCTAGCTTTTCCGATGTACTGCATTTATTCAGTCACGGCTTTCCACTTGAAGAAAAGAGAGAACGAGGATCTGAGTGATAGGAAAAGGCAGCGACGCTGACGTCATGGCCTCGGCAGACTTCTTTCGAGCTCTGCAAGCATTTCCGTCAAACATAGATCTACTTGGAATTCTGATGTGTCACTATCTTAGGATCATCACAGGCGAAAGAATGTGGCTGCGGCACTCACGTCATGGCTCTGAAGGCTTTATGCCCGAGGCGGTGCGCGCCGACCATAAGGTCCTTGTCGCACTGCCAGTCCCACCACTGCGGCAGCTTGTTGCGCCTGTCGTACAACCAGCACAGTAAGAACACGAAGGGCTGCCTCCTTCAGCTTGACAACAACCGTGCAAGATGCATGATGCACGAGCGATGGCAGACGTCCTCAAAGCTTTCTCGGAACCAGTAAAAAGCTTTATTTTTCTAAGACTGAGGGCGGTATTGCACGCTGCTACACGACGAGCTATCTTTGCAGGAGAGCCTTTCACGGTGCACTTGATTGCCGGCGGAAATATACCAAGCAGGCTCAATCCGCAGTCGTCAAACAAAGCGAAACTAACACAAACCAATCTATGGAGGCTGGGGAGCTTAGCATTGCGCTGATGCAGAACACGGTGAGCGCGTTATCGAGTCTTTCCTCACCCTGGGACAAACTTATGGTTTGTGATCAACCACTTGGTCAGGCTGTCGTTGTCAGCAACTGCGGATGCGAGAGCTGTCCTCTCATGAAGAAACTGGAGGTACCTGCGCGGCCGGAAAAAGCCAGGTGAGTGGCCGTGTTAAAAAGGTCAGAACTTCTCAGGAAAGATTCTCGTTGAAGGTGGCTTTTTCAGAAGTACACGTTCCTTTGTCAAACATTGTCAGAGGCTTCTTGGCTGACGGTTCGACTGCCCCTAGCATAGCTACGCCAATGAGAGAGGAAGACTTGCGGACAGCGAATTCCGAAGTGGAAGAGGAACCTTTGCTCAGATCTACGGCTCTGTCGCCGGATGACCTGTCGGCAAGCCTCAGCCTTAAAGAAAAGCCAGCCTAAACGACCAAGACTTTCTACAAGCAACACACAAACCGCGCCGCCACTTACTTTTGGGCGTTCTTCCCAATCCGCTCCCGGAACTTGCCGGCGTCAAACGCCTTTCTCGCATCGCCCGGGACATCCAGCTTAATGGCAGTTTTGAAGGGCGCCGCGGCCGCGGGTGCAGGGACAGGGGCGACCGCCGGAGGGCCGCTGCCAGCGGGGGGGTCGCCGATCGGAGCAGCTAGTCCGACGATGGGGACAGGAGCTTCGGGGGTTTGGGCGGTGGCCGCGACGAGTGGCGCGGGTTTTGGAGCCGCGGCAGCGTGCTTGCAGAGCTCGATGAGGGCAGAGCAGACGGCGGTGACGTCAGCGAGGGGTTTGGAGGTCAGGCGCGCCTCGGTCTGAATCTCAACTGCAAGACAAAAGAGTCCCGAGTGTCAGAAATTGCTCTGTATTTTGAGACGGAGCCTGTTCGGCAGCCGCGCGAGTTTCTGAGGGGCCGCAGAAAGAGCCAACCGGATGCAAATCCACGTTGGTCTCAGAGTATGAATCAGATGAAACGACTCGACGACGGAAAAGGTGGAAGATGAGGTTCAATCAAAGCACCGCACGTGAACGAACCTCGATACCCTGACTCGACGAAACCATGTGTCGTGCGACTTTGTGGGGAATGAAACTCTGAGCGGAGCACGTTACGGACAGGCGCTGTGATCCGGCTCACCCCAGCGGCCCTCGCCCAGGCTGAGCAGCTTCTCCTCCAATCGCTTCAGCTCGGCGTCGGTCCAGCCGGTCTCCTTGGGGCTGCTCTTCCGAGCGGGGCGCCCCTCCTCGCTCCCGTCAAAATCCTCGTCCGAATCGCTGCTCGCGTATGCGGCCTTTTCAGTGTAGTTCACCTGCCATGCGGGGCGCTTGGGTTGAGGCTTGAGGCTTGAGACTTTGAGAGTTGAGACTTTGAGGTTGTGAGGTTCTAGGTTCGAGGTAGGAGGCTTGAGGTCGACCATGGTGCACTCTCGTGCCTTTGACGTAATACTGAGTTGCTGCTTGATTGAGAGCTAATCTACCAGACCATCCAGCTGGTCGATTGCCACTTTGTCAAGCGTCGGAAACCGTTTACGTGCCTGACGGGATTTTGGCTTGAAGCAGCAATGGTCTCTTGAAGAGTGGCGTCATCCCGCTCGTGTCTCCTCAAGAAGGACTGCATCTTAAGCATGGTTTTGACAGACAGTCGCATGATCTTGCTTCTTTATTGTGTCTTCCTTCTGAAGCAGCTTCCGCAAAGCGCTCCTGATCGAGCGCGAAGTTCGCAAATCTCGCCGGAATTCGCAAAAGTAGTGACCACAATCAGCTGAACAACGAGCGGACCGCTGTTCCGCCCACCTGGTTCCGCCGCCGCGGGTGCTTGATCCCCTCCACGAGCGCGCGCGCGGCCGCCTCCTCGCGCTCGCGCTCGAGCGCCACCGCCTCGGGCAGCAGCGCCTCCCACTTCATCTCCTCCTCCACCGGCGCGAACGTCGCCTCCGCGAACGACGACTTGCCGGCGCCGCCCACCTGGCGCGTCTCGGTGCGCTGCATCAAAATCTGCTCGATGTCCTCCTCGCCGAAGCTCGCGGCCGCCTGCTCCGCGGCCTCGTCCTGAGGAGTGGAGAGCAGAATAGAACTTCACTTTAGGTGGAATAGAGTTAGGTGGATTATGGCGGGAGCGGGTGGGGGTTAGCGTGGGTATGGGTGCGGAGCAGGTATATTTCTTGATTTTGAGTTTTCAAAATTATCTACCCCAAAGACTGTTTCTATCCCACCTATAAAACTATCCTAATCCTCCTAGAGAGTAGAAAGCAAGGGTTCGGCGCGGGTTGGAAGAGAGCGGGGTGGATCCGAAAAAGTTGGATTGGTTACGACGCGTGTGAAGAGGCAGGCAGTGAACGACGTCCGGAGACCTGAGCGAGCAGGCAGCTCAAGGAGCAACGCGCGTGCAAGGCTGGAAGCTCCTTGTTACCAGCTTCCCTGAGACTCTTGCCTCAGCAGGCCTTCTTTTCATTCTGTTTGATCTTTCGCGAAGCTTGCCGCTGATCCTACTCTCGTACCGAGTTTCTAACTACTAGGATCCAGCGCTGTTTCGCAGCGGTTGAACTTCCTTCAGCGACTTAAAGCCCCAGCTACTGCAGCACGACGAGCCCGATACGTGCATATCGTATTTAGAACCGGCCCGCACCTGGAGGCAGTGGTAGGCGCCCTTGAGGAGCAGGTTCTCAATGTCCTTGCCCTGTTCGGGGTCCCGCTGGTCGCCCATGTCGTCCCCCAGGATGGCCTCGTCCAGGCCGTACTTGCGCGACGCCGACTGGAACAGCTGCTCCTCGTACGTGTTCTTCGTCACCAGGCGATACACCTTCACGTCCTTGGTCTGCCCGATCCTGGGAGCGGATTCACGGGGTTTAGGATTCGAGAGCACGTGCACCGTCTCATGCTCGGAAAGAGAAAGCATCTCAAATCAAGACTTGTTTCAATGAGATCGGAATGTTACCAGGCGGTGCACCTGCACGCGCTTGGTCTGCCCGATCCTGCAAGGAAAGCATGTTACGAAACTTTAGGAGGCCAAGATGGTATTCTCCTCAAGAAACAAACGCTGAGAATGAGGTCGCTGGCCACCAGCGGCATACGTTACGTCCTTGGTTTGCCCGTTCCTGAAGTAGAGAGGTACGGTGGAGATCATGCGCACGATTTTAGGTGGAGATGGTAAGCCCTCGAGTCAGAGAAACAAACTCTAGATTGCTGGTCACAAGCCGATACACCTTTACGTCCTTGGTCTGCTCAAATGGGGAAGGAGAGCGGGGCTGGCGCGAGGTCGAAATTCATATTTGAATTTTCATCCTCAGGTAGGGTTAGAATCCAACGAACTGATATCTCTGCAAAGGACTTTACCGACAACGAGCAGACATGTGACTCGTTGCTTCGCTCATTTTTGCACACAGTGACAAATTTAAGGTACACCTGCTCTACGAAGTCAAGTACTGGGCACTTCTACGGAAATATCTTGTGACTGCGCCAAAGGAGTAATAGGATGCAGGAGTCGAGGACAGATTTGCAACCTGAGTTAACGGCATCTGCCCCGCAAAATATTCTGCCAAGCAGAGAACGAATGACCCCCCAGGACAAAGTTTTCGAAAAGGTTTTGGCCGACAAAACTATTTACTTGCCGGTGGCCAGCTACTGGGGATGATAAAAAAATGCCAATGAGCTGTCAACACTCGGCGCGATGTGTGTTCCCAAAAGAAAGCTGCTAATAGCTCCACTGCTCACCTGTGGCAGCGCGCCATGGCCTGCAGATCGTTCTGAGGGTTCCAGTCGGAGTCGTAGATGATACACGTGTCGGCCTGCAGGGTCAAGTCCAGAGTTTGAACATCGCCATAAGAAGTTGAAGCTCTCTTTGGACGCTTTGTGATCATTTATTGAGCGCAGCGAAAGACCATTGGGCGTGAGTGCAATGTCCATAAGGCGCCATGAGTCGGTCCCCAGCCGGTACTCACCGCTGTGAGGGTGATGCCGAGGCCGCCCGCCCGCGTGCTCAGCAGAAAGATGAAGCTGTCGCTGCCCTCGGCCTGGAAGCGGTCCATCGCGGCCTGGGACACATGACAACAGAGACCTGAATGAGACATCCCTCCAGCAGCCCAGAAGACTGGTGCAAGAGGTGTCACGCCCAATAACCGAATCCGGCGACTGCCCTTCGGACCTCCGGCCGCAAGATGACGACTTGCGAGGAATTATACTTCGTAAGAAACACACGGATGTCCAAGATTCGTTAAATATCTGTGCGACTGCTTATCCCAATCAGAAGAAGGTCCGGGCCGTACCTGGCGGCCGGAGCCGGTGATGTCCCCGTCGATCCGCTCGAACGGGTAGCCTTTCTCGTTGATGTAGTCCTCCAGCAGGTCCAGCATGATCTTGAACTGCGGGGCGGAAAGAAAGGCTCGATTCGACCATGATCAGTGGAATGAAGCCCTGTACGTTCCGGCCGTTGGCGAGTTTCAGCGCCCCGTACGAGCCACGAGATTTCAGAGGGAACGCTCGCCAAGAGCAAAGGGCAAGAGAAACAAAAAACTTCCTGGAATGGGCGCCCCTTTGGTGGTGACCGAGAGTATCGTACGAGGAGAGAAATAGCCCGGAGAGTGAATTAATACGCGCGGTGTTTGGGCAGCTCTAATGATATGGATGCTGTGAGGGCGCACCTGCGAGAAGATGAGCACTTTGTGGCCGCCGTCGCGCAGCTTGGGCAGCAGCTTGTTGAGCAGCACCATCTTGCCGGACCCCTGCTGCAGCAGCTGCGACCGGAGCGCCTCGTCGCTCAGGTGCTGCGCGGGAGTAGCAAGTCGACAGTGTCAGGCTCAAGGCATTTGGACTGGGCTTTTTGCGAGATTTTATCGGTGATTCGGAAAGACCGGGATGGCTGGACCCGGGGGGGCCGGACTCGAAGGTCTCGGAATGACCATTTAACAGGTAAGGAAGGTCGACAAGAAGCGGATCGGCTCAGACGAAAAGAAGAGGGCAATGAGACCATTTTCAACCTGATCAAAGTCTCGTTCTCCTTCATCCGACGACTTTGTGAGGCTGTCAACGTTTGGCTTGTCCGTCATACGAAACCTGCTGCGTCCTGCTAAGCATCAGAAGCACTTCAGAATGAGAAAAGCGTTTCAAAGCTTTGGCATGGCTGGGGTGCTCACGTCAAGCTGGCCGCGGGCCTCCCAGCGGCGGCACTGGATCATGTTGTCGGCAACGCTGTTGCTCAGGAACGGGTGGTTGCACAGCTTGCGGAGCTCCATGGCCTGGAAAAATAGCAATCAACCTCTCAGTCAATCCAGGCGAGGGATAATGCTATTTGAGAGCATTTTTAGCGCTTTTCTCCTCGCAACCTGTACTCAGGTACCTTTAGGTATGCCGTCACGCTTCTGGAAGGTTGGCGCTGCAGAGAGAAGGACAATGGGGGGACATACAGAAGGAGGAGAGATAGAGACGTGAGAATGGACCACAGGACGAAGCATCCGAACACAGCCTGAAGATGTTGCAACCATTGTGGAAACTTCATTTCAGTCTACTTGCCGTGACAGATTCTGTAAGCCAAGCTACGACGGGTGTCTCCGCCGGGCCGCTCACCACGTTGCGCATGTTGGGCAGGTTGCCCTTCTTGACGCCCTTGAGCAGCGTCCCGATCTGGCCCTCGTACACGGCCTTGTAGTACGACCGCTGGCTCTGCGTCAGCTCCACCCAGATGATCACCTGCGCCAACAGCCGACGCTTTTGAGCCACGTTTTAAAAGTGGTTCCACCACTACCGGTCAGCTGACAATGAAGTCAGACCGATAACTTGCGTCATCAAAACAGCTTCCAAGTTGGTGTTCTCGTATTCTGGAGCAGCTAGATTGCACCTCGGGAGTTTTTGTCGGAATTGCATTGCATGCACGATTCAGAGTCCTTGGTCAGACGGGGGGCATGGCATCCTAGATGACCCGCAAGTATTGCGCAGTTGTCTGTTATGATTCTCAAAGCCTCCAGACAGGCAATAAGTAGACCGCAACCTACCTCCTCCTTCTGCGGGATCGACTTCTCCACGTCCTCCTTCTTGCGCCGCAGCAGGATGTGCTTCAACTGCTCCTGCAACTCCCGGACCTGCAAAACAACCGGAAGCCTGTGACTGTCTAGCTGCTTTGTCGGCCCGCCGCTCCCCGTATGCAGACAACCGTCAAGGGCGCCTTGTGTACTGTCTCTCAAGGGTTTCCTTCCGCGGATTTATTCTCAGAAGCCTGGGTCGGCTCTTGAAAATGGGCTGAAAAGATACCGTTGTGGTGCGCCAATCGAACGTGCTCGTGTCGGAAGCGCCGTACGCAATCCAAGCGGTGCACCAAAGGCGGCACTTCTGTGCAGGGAAAGAAATCTCGGCGAGGAGAGAAGAATTGGTCCAACTGCTCACCCGCGCAGAGTCCTTGATGTTCCCAAACTTCTCCAAAAACTCCTCCTCGGAGTCGTACTTCTCAGGATCGAGCAGGCTCAGGAGGGCGCTGCACAAAAGGCCGGACACGTGGTTTAGATACACTCTATTTAGTAGGTTTCACAAGACGAGCAAATCTGGGTTTTTCTTTCGAAGACTTCTCCGGTTTTTCGAAATACCGGCAAACCCAGGGCTGTTGACTTGGGAACTGAGGGATACGTTATCCTCAGTCTTCAAACGCACATTGGGCTTGCTACCCAGTTTCTCTCAAATGAGAACTCCGAAAAGCCTTCCACGTTTGTGACACAAAGAATCGGACCAGCCCTCCGGAAGACCTTGCGGGAAGCAAGGCCTTCCTGTAAGAGAAGACGAGATTAGCAAGAGGCGTCCTTTGGCTTTGCAAAGAGATTGTAGACATTTGGGTCCCTTGTCAAGGGGCTCTTTCGCAAACAGGATGCATCTCAGACGCACAATACCCAGATATGACAGGGCGCGTAAGCAGAGGGCCGAAACTCACTAAAGCTCGCTGGTGTTGTTCTGGATGGGCGTCCCCGTTAACAGCAGCAGTTCGCCCGCCCTGAGGTCCATGTTGCGAATGATCTTTGACGCGAGGGAGTTTCGCCCTTTCAACCTGCAAAAAGGGAGCGCAAGCTACTGCACTTGGCAAACCCTGAGAAATCACCCATAAGACTGGAACCTCTCATTTCTGCAAACAAAGTGTTTCGACAGTGGGTCAGCGGGCGCATTTGTTGGCGCCAGCTGCAGAGAGTCTTCATTTGACCTTTTTCTGCCCGAAAAGACTTTTGCATTGATGGGTGACTCTGCCGAGAATACGTCTTTCAAAACGGACCCTCGTAAAAGGCGACGAAAGGAGTGCCAAAGGGCCGTTACCTGTGCGCCTCGTCTACCACGACGTATCTCCACGGGATGTTCTTGAGGTGCGTCGCGTCCTTCACCAGCAGCTCGAAGCTCGTGAGCAGCACCTGCGAAAAGTCGAGCATTCGCTCACCCATGTACTCTCCGCTTTTCACGTCCAATACTATGTGGACGTCCGCACGTTCCTCTATGATACGGATCTGGAAAGCAGCGCTTTTACGAGTTCATCTGCCATTTCGAGTGATGAAAAGCTTATCTATTTACTTCATAATACACCTGTCCCCGCATACAAGTTTCCGCTACCACTCAGAAAACTAACAATGCAAGTCCGGCGGTATTCATCCGGTACAAGAACCAGAACGTCTCAGTTGATCGTGACAGGAAGAAAGTCAAGGTGGCCGACCGCACTTTGAGCAGATCTAAGTGGCTTCCGCACAATGGCCCTCACGTGAAAGCGATGCTTTCTGCTCCTCGCAGAACCAAATTCGTACGTCCGGATCGTGTTTCGGTCATTGGCGTCGCCCTTGTACACCACGCAGTAGAGGTCGGTGAGCGACTCCACCTCGCGCTGCCAGTGGCCCAGAGTTGACACGGGGGCGACCACCAGGAATGGCCCGGCCTTGCCGCGCCGGTGCAGCGTCTCCAGCATCGCAACCGTCTGCAGAGAGTGGAAACATGTCCAGGCTTCCTCGGTTCCTTTCGTTGGCTCGAGCGACTGAAAATAGAAGTGTCTCACTTTGCATTCAGAAGTGGGTTCGAAGTGGACTTGCTTCGATTCGAATTTCATTTTGAGAAGAAGAGGAGTAGAATTTTGGAAGAGCACTCTCACAAAGCAGCGAAGCGCCAACGGCTTGCCTGCAGAGAGGCGTCCCACGGAGAAGCTCGATTAAAAGGTCCGATAGCTACACGCGCCTTAAGGAAGTCATTCTCGAGGTCGTTTTTCGCCTACGCCATCAGACGGAAGCACAACGACAGAAGAAAAGCTGTCCGCACCATACAAACCCGAAAAGTTGCTGAGATTCAGACGAACTTTTGGCCCGCCTTTCCCCCAACCTTCGAACGTGTCGAAACCACCGTAATCGACCGGTCCTGGCCGCAGCCCTTCGGAAAAAGCAGCACAGCCTCATATGCAAGCACAGCCATTTCCACCCCCCCTCACCTGGAACGTCTTCCCGAGCCCCATCTCGTCGCCCAGCATGCAGCTCCTCTTGCCCTGGTAGTTCTGGGCCAGCCAGCGCACGCCCACCAGCTGGTAGTCCCGCAGCGTGCGCCCCGTCTTGAACTCCAGCTCGCCCGACTCCTTCCCGTCGTTTGGATGGGGCTCCGGCTTCCGGCTCAGGCTCTCGAACCTGCACGGAAGGAGGGCCGGGGCCTCTGCTTGCGTGCCAACCGAGCTAAGGGCTGAGTCTGCTTATGGAACGCAAGGGTTACCTTGACTTGGAGTCAGAATGTGTTCATGACGCGGGAATATAAGTTGCAAAAGTTTCCCCGAGAGCCTCCCTCTTCAACGCTACCCACCTCCGGCAATAGTGGGTGCATCCATTCTGAGTGTAACAGTTTGGCATCAAGTGCCTCGTCTGAATTGAGTACCCAGTTTTTGCTGTAGACTAGTAACCTGTCAACCGCGATGTGTCTTGATGTGACGTTTGTACCCATACCGTTCAATTGCGTCTTTGTCGTCCTCAAGGTCTTCCTCCGCCTCCCACGTCGCCCGGCCGTACTCGAGGCCCCGCCACTTGACCAATAGCTCGCGTGCGCCGCCGCGCCGGTGCCGCTCGGCGATGATCCGGTCGATCACAGCATAGTCGGGGTTGAACGGCTCGTCTTCAGAGCCTTCGCCGCCCTGGAAAAGTGGGTGGGAGAAGCGTCAGAAAGTTGATGCAAAAGTGGGCGATGGATATCATCTCGGCTGTGTAGCTGCAGACAAAAAGGAAATTCAACCGTCCTCTACAATCCTGCTCGACATGTTTTGTGTGGGCTCCAGGAGATGCACGCAAAGGCGTATTTTCCCATGTAGCCCCATCGCCAATCGTGATTTCAACAGATGAGCAGCTGTTTACTGGTTGCTTCCGCCAACAAGACATCACTCAATCTGGCTGCCAGACATTTGCTACCTGCGGTTTCAGCAGAAAGAAGACAATCACGGTTAATATCGCTCTGACTCCAGCCCTCTCTCTGGCTGCGGAGGTCTGGCTTGACCTCACCTTGACCAGGTAGTTCCGCAGCAGCTGGGAGCAATGCTGCATGAGGACGCTTTCGCTCACGGCCTTGGCTGCGCGGTAGCTCCGCTCGTGGAACTTGACCACAAAGCGGCGATTTTCCACGTCGATGCTGCCCTTGGCGGGCGCCAGGATCTTCTCCACCCGGCCGTCAAGCTCATCCTCTGCGTCTGACGCCTCAGCTTCTGCAAGGAAGAGGTCAGACGTGGTTGATGCGACTAGCTGCTGAGGAGACGAAGTAGAGTCCCGGCGAGGTTTTGTTAGGAGCCAGCAGTGCCCGAGCTTTATCGGTAACCCGAAATGAGCAAGTGAAACCAAGTTCGTTATTTAAAGAGGGAGTGTCTTGAAGGAGGTTGGTGTGCTTGCATTCCATGCAGGAGGAAAGCGAAAACGGGCAGAAAGTCGTCGCTTTCGAAAGCTTTCAGAGGAAAACCTTAGCTTCTTTAGATCTGCTGCAGCACATTATGCCCTTGACTACTTTGCTTAACGAGTCCTCAATTCCCTCCAACCGCAAACGTCAGATTTGTTTTCAGAAATTCAGTCACTGACCTTCCCCATCGTCTTCGCCAGAGGCGGCCACCTCATCCTCCTCGTCCCCGGTCTCCTCGTCTGAATCAGGTTCATCCTCGTCTGAATCGTCTTCAGCAAGGGAGGTTTTGACTGGTTTGCGGACTCGCTCTGATTTGCGCACAGGGGATGTGTGCTTCGACTTCTTCTTTCTCGGCCTTTCCTCCTCGCTCTCTGCAGGGACACCAGGCCAGGACATGAGCTTCGCAATTGCAGGATGAAGTGCACTAGTCATGTCTGTGGTGAGAAGGGCTTGCGTCTTGAGAAGGTTTTAAGTGGTACGTTCGAAGCGCCTTCTGATACTTGCCAGGAAATCCCAGGTTTTCTACTGGAATACTCCATGCAGCCTCGTTGCCACATCCCATCCGGTCAAGCGACTTGTATGCAGATGCGGGGGACTACGGGCTCTCTCTCCTGCCATAGCTTCAGAAACAGTGCCTCGATTGCCTAGTTTCTTTTGATTAAGGACAGGACACCTAGCCTTGAGAAGAAGCATCAAAGTAACAAGCCTGCATGAATATCCAGATACATGCCCAATATATATTCGATCACTAACACTGGTCCAGATTCCGCCATGTTGACCGACCTGACGAATGAGCATCGCTCTCTGGGCTGGACTTCCGTGAGCGACCCCTGCTGCTCCTGTTCAGGTTTCGCTCTGTCCGGTCCCTCAACGCCCGCCCGTTGCCCCGTTTCGTGGCCCTTCCTTCCCCATCCTCGTCCTCAGCGCCGCCCGTTTCTGCTGCCCCTTTCTGGAACACAAACTGATTGAGGTCGCTGATCGTCCTCTTCTTTGCCTTTCCCTCGTCCTCCACCTCTTTCCGCTTGGATAGGGCTTCCATCGCCTGCTTCCTGAGCACTCTGGCCGGGGCCTCAAAGTTTTCGAATTCAATTCCTTCCTCAACCTCGGCATAGCTGACCCGGCCCCGCTGCCTGGCTGAGCGCCGGGTCGTTTCGCCCTTTGCATTCTCACTTTCCTTTTCGCTGCCTCGCCCTACTTTCGCTCCCGTTGTGCACAGCTCAGTCACAATCTCCTCGCACTCGTCCTCTGAGTCGGGGACGGTGACCCTATCTTCTGCTTTTACATCCGCACCCTTCTTGGTTTCCTTGCTCTTCTCATTGGCCTGGTGCGCTTTGCGCCCGTTGTCCGCAGCTGCGAAGAGGAACGCCTGATTGGCGATGACCTCCTCATTGTAGTTGACAGAGGCGGCCGCAGCGCGGCGCGGTCTGCGGCCCTCGCGGGGCTCCTCTTTGACAGTTTTATCTGCACAGGACGCAATTTCTTTGGTGAGATTTCAAATCGCTCTTGCCAATGCGCAGCAGAGAAAACTTCCAGGAACACTTATGAAAACTGTAAGTATGCTAAGATTGTGAAGATGCAGGCACCTGTTGGCAGTAATCTTGAAGGAGAACACATCTCCTGGTTCCTTGGAAAAAGGGGGAGCGGAATGTGCCTTTGCTCACTGAAGCATGTGAAGGATCAACCTAACAGCTTGAATGGAGGCACAAAGGCTCCTTCTACTAGCGTTTTGCCAAGAACTGTGGTCCATCATGAGTTGTGAAGTTCCTTCTCATACATTTCCACATTTCAGGTTGCGAGTGGTCAAGCCAAGATCAAAGCCAGACGCGAGTGCTGACAAGTATCTGTGCTAGAGAGTGCTTATTTTCCTCCCAGAAGTGTGGCACTTGCCTGCATCCTCTTGCCCATCCTCCTTGCTCCTCCCTCGACTCTTCTCCTGGACATTGCTCACATTGGGTCTTGTGTATTTGAGCATGGAGTTGGTCATGTTCAGGTGTTCAGCCATGGCGGCAACTGACTTCTTGGAGTTCTTCCCTCCTCTGGCGCCATCTTTCAAAATGCTGGCCATTCCCCGCCTTTTCTCCTTCTCCTTTGGCCGCTTCATCACCTCGTGACCTTCTGATTCCGAGATCTCTGCAATCTCGTCTGATTGCTCTGCCTCTGAATATTCAATCTCGTCAGACACCTCCGGGGTGTCTTGATGTTTCTTTTTGACCAGTCTGGTCAACACCCCTGCAAAGGGGCACTTCGTGTGTGAAGGGCTGAGGTGTCTGCCTAAGAACCAAAATGACCGTGATTCTGGATGTGACCTAATGAGCTGCTGGAAGGAGCATTCGGTATCTAAGTGACTCAATGGTCACTGCAAAATGTGTATAAACTGCTGGAGATTTGCAAGCGCGTTGAAAAGATATGTCGTTGAAGAAGGTCATACATCCTGGCAACCTAACAATGTGAATCATCACCTCGTCTCACCGACAGACTCGTCCTGGTGGTAGCTCACATCATCGAGCGCTGAGCCTGGTGCTACCTAGACAAAGTTCCCAGAACGAGGCTCTTGCATCAATCTCAAAGTGCTTGATCAGAAGCCACATGATACTTCGTTGCAAACAAACCTGAGCTTGTCGCTCATGATGAGGTTACTCACTTTTCTTGGGGCCCTCTTGAGGTTGACCTGGTCCTTCATCAGCCCGTGTATTTATTGCTGATGAGTTGACCTGGCGAGGCCTCTTTGACACCTTCGCTTCAATATCAGAATCTTCAATCTCGCTCGTCTCTTCCACATCATATATGACTGTCCGCTTCCTCTCCCTGAGGCGAGACATTGTTAGCTGCTCGATCTGTAGCTGTCGGTGGGCGAACAGAAGGAACCCTTGTCAGATCAGTTTCTGTCAAACCCGATAGAGACACCCACATGCAGCTTCAATGCAAACAGCGTGATTGTTGGAAGGCTACGAGTCCGCAGCAGGTGAGCTGGACAGAGCTTCAACCGCAGGTGCGCTGGCATGCTTCAACCGTACCGGTACTAGTATCGCACTCGTTGTTTTACTGCCACGATCGCCATCCCACTGCAGAAGATGGCCGCCCTGCAAGACCGATGCAGACTTTCTCGAAGTCGCGCAGGGCGCCAACAGAAGCTACCAGGGCAATGTGCCGATCGATGGTGAAGGTCTGGAACGGGAAGGGCCAAGGCGTCCAGCTGCAAGCCGATGAGCGAGCAGATGATCCGAAGTCCGGACTCCGCCGCGCCGCGCCACTGCGGCAGAGTTCACCAGAGGCTGAACCAGCCAAGTTTGAACTTTGAAATTCCCGCCAAAATTTCAGCCAGCTTTGCTTGACACCGAGTGGCGAATAGTACGTAGTATTTTGTCGGTACCGACGACAGGTGAACACTGAAGGGTCGTTTGCTCCTGACCAAGCACCACCTGATCCGCACCCCGGTCGGATTACATAGCTTCTGCCACTAGTGTCATGAAGGGTTTGAATTTTCGCAGCTGGAGTCCGAGTGCCGCCGGCGAGCCGCGGGCGGCTCCTACTCATGAACTTGAAGAGTCACGGTCATTGAAGGCGGCCTCTTCTGCATTGACTCTTACACAGTCTTACACAGTACAGGAGCCTGTTGGATGGTGATTGCACTTTCCATTGATGACGACTTGCAATGCACTCTGCCCTTCGATCAGTGCGTATTTGAAGGAATGGAAACTTCAGAGAAGCAGCCACTGGTTCATGCCCAGATCGCATCATCTTGAGATAAAGTGTGGGGTCGCTAGCCCCGAAGCGATCGCTGCTGCCGTATCCCCACCTTTGAAATTCCTAGAACAATTTCAGAGATACCTAGCGGCAGGTCTGCAGCACCATGGCGCAGCTACCGAACTTGGACAACGCGAGCATCAACCTGGGCGCATACCGCGACCACGCCCGGAAGGAATTGGTCGACGCGCTCGACTCGATGCGGGGCAAGAAAGTCCTCGTCCTGGACCCCAAGCTGAGCGGCCCGCTTGCGCTCATCGTGCAAATTGCACTGCTCAAGGAGCACGGGGTGGAGAACTTGTACCACCTCACGCCAGAGCCAATTCACACTGACTGCAAAAATGTAATGTATCTGGTGCGCCCAAGGCCGGGGCTGATGAAGCTCATTGCCGGGCACGTGCGACATGATAACCGGGAGAAGCTGCAGCGGCAGTATGCGGTGTACTTTATGCCCCGGAAGACGATCGCGTGCGAGAAGGTGGGGGACGGATGGTGGTGGTACTGCCGTGAATTGCCTCCTTGTGTTTTGCGACTCACCACTGGCGGACTTAGGGTTCAAAAATAACTGTGTATGGAGGGGTTTGGAAAAGGACTAAGAACGGCACAGTGGTGGCATGATGACCACTTCTGCTATGTGCTGGTTGTTCCAGGCTTTAAGTGGATCACGGCTTTGGAAAAACATCGCGGCTTGCTCATCGCTCTTATACTCGTACTAGAACCTTGCAATGAGCTAGAAAACAGTTCGTTGGCTACCCTATGCCTTCATTGACCGCTCACAACCTGGTAAAGAGAACCATTCAAGCCACACCACTTGCAATGACTGACTCATGAGATGAACCCCATATTTAAGCAATATTTGTGACCAACCAATCAGGGGCGAAAAAATAGCATGGGTGCACTAGTTTTGCCCAGTGTCCTTAGCCCCAAGTCTGTCCAAGCCAAACTCCCTTCTGGCCTTTCTCCCGCGGCTAGAATCCATCACCTGTCCTTCAACCACGTCTGATGAACTTAAAGTTACCTCCTAAACAATAGCCTTCTGCCCATAACGCAACCTGGTTAAGCCCTCCTAACCAGCCAGCTCGCACCAAATTGACACTTTGCAGGTCCTTGAAGACGCGGGCATCTTTGCTGACGTCACACTGGGCGAGTTTCCCTTGGACCTGCTTCCGTTCGATGAAGACGTGCTGTCGCTGGAACTAGACGCGGCCTACAAGGAGCTGCTCGTGGATGGGGACCGCAGCTGCCTCTATGACGTGGCGAAGGCCCTCTGGCGATTACAGGTGGGTACTGAACGTCTTGGTTGACGCCTGACCGACTTTCTGGGACGGCTTCCTCGCGTGAACACGCAAGCATTGAGATTCGATGCGGGGTGCCAAGCCATTAAAACGTGAAGGTTGGATGTGAAAAACGCGTCGAGTCCGTTGATCTTGATTGTCTGACACAGCGGTCGGTACCACAAGATCGCAGCTGCTTTTCAACATGCGCAAGGAACCGCGGGGATCTCGTCCAGACCCCCGACACCTGTGTTACTTCACTTCATTTTCAGTAACAAGATTCTATGTTTTCAAAGAACCGAGCGTTACAGCTCTTGGAAGCCGTTTTAATTAGGACCTTTTCGAAGCCCGCTTGATTGCACTGCAAGCAAAGCTCTGGGCTGGCTGTGGTTGCCCTCCACTCTTGATCAAAGGAGTAGCTAATTTGGAGCGCCGCTCACATCTCAAGCCCTCATTGCGTCAACATTTCATCAGGACTTGCCCATCATTGCAGGCCGTCTTTGGGACGATACCCAACGTGAAGGGCAAGGGCCGCGCGGCGTCGCACGTGGCGGACCTGATGGCCCGGATGCGCCGGGAGCAGCCGTTGCCGCAGATTCCGCCCGAGATCGACACAATGGTCCTGATCGACCGCCAAGTGGACATGATCACGCCCATGTGCTCGCAGCTCACATACGAGGGGCTGCTAGACGAGGTGCGCTTTTCCCTAGACTGGTCGCCAGGCCCTCGGATGTCCGTTGTCAAAGGTGGACTCACTTCGGATTACTCATCCCAAGGAAGAATCTGGTCCTGGTCTTGTGAATTGTTGCGAGAGACAAAAAGCTGAAACAGGCACATGATCGTTGAAACAGGAGCACCTTTTCTGACAAGAGTCTCCTTTGATTTTCGGGCCTTGAAACCAGTTTCGTATGATCCGTCCTCTGCTGGACGCTTTCGAGCCGTGATGTTGATTTCCGTTTCATGCAGTTCATACACATCAGCAACGGATCAGTTGAGGTGGACCCTACCGTGATGGGTCAAGCGGCGAACCCAAAGAAGATCAAAATACCGCTCAATTCCACGTAAGGTCCACAAGGAGCCCGAAGCCTTTCTTAAACGGCCCCGAGGTGGGGCTCTTTGATCCTAGTGAAGAAGCATTGTTGGAGGCGTCAAATCTGCAAAAGCTGGGGCGTCGAACCTCGAACAGCTGCAGACTTCTTCTCAACAGTATGCTCATGCACGACCAGATTCGTTACGCAGACCGTCGTTGGACCTCGTCGTGGCCAACAAGAGCACGGACGGTTCTCGTTGCATCTGAATGTTGTCATCGATCCTCGTATTGGACTCTAGTTTAGAAGGACTGCCTCGGTCCCGTCTCGCTGCTAAACAATCGCTTGTGCCCTCACTGCGAGCTGCACCGCTAAAGAGATAGACACGCAACTCAACCTTTACAACGCAATCTAGCTGAGTTTGAATCAAAAGTTTCTAGACGCCATGCGCGCGTGCGTGTGCTTCAATCCGACAAATCCTGAGCCCCCGAGTAAACAAGTCTTCTCATTCGGAGGCCCACCCCCTCAAGGGACAAGATGCGTGACAATCTAGGCTAGTAAGTTTTAGGAACAGTAAGCTCCGAACTCAAACACTAAACATGAACCCTTTAATTCACCTTGTCTGCACCCGCATTCACCTTGAACCCCACCCCAAACTGTGATCTTAGTACTCCGAAAGCTTTCTGTACCTGAGACTTCATTTCGCCGGGACAAGCTGTACCGCGAGTTTACGTAGATAGACTCAAACTCAAACTTGGACATCTTTCCAGGGACAAGCTATACCGCGAGCTGCGCGACCTCAACTTCGGCGTGGTGGGCAACATCTTGCGGCAGAAGGCGACCGCGATGCGCGAGGACTACAAGGACCTGCCCCAGAACCAGTCCGTCTCGCAGCTCAAGGACTTCGTCAAGCGGCTCAACATCCTGCCCGAAATGACGGTGAGTCGGCCGTCTGGGGCTCTTAAGTGCGCGAGCGGCCAGAAAGGAGACGGGTTTTGAGGGCATGCGTAGACGCGTCTGGGCGCGGGAATATTTGGCTGGACCGTTGTGTAGTCTACGAATGAACCTTTTTGCACGTGGGCTGCGGCGCTTCTTCCAAATTGGCCCACAGAACGAGTGCAATTGTCGAGACACTCCGTGCTTTCCAGCCAGTCTGACTCGACCCGTCGAGCTCTCACAATGCGTCCTTCCGCTTGTCGTGTTTCGTTGATCATTCGTGCTTTCACAATGCGTCCTTCCGCTTGTCGTGTTTCGTCGATCATTCGTGCTCTCACAGATCGTGCTTCCGCTTGTCGTGTTTCGTTGACATTCGTGCTCTCGCTAACCAGTTATTCGATGATTTTCTTCTTCGGTTCCCCAGCGGCACACCAACCTGGCCCAGCACCTGACGACCTTCACCACTAACCCCGCCTTCCTCTCGCGCCTCAATATCGAGCAGTCCATGCTAGAGGTGCGACCAGAGGCGTGAGTACCGTACGAGGAAAGCGGGCTGCGCTGTACTTTAGAGCCATGTTTTCGGGTTCAGCAGGCAGACAATTGTTTTCTTGGGACGCCGTCTATGCCGCATCTTACTTCGCTGGCGCTCGTCGGAGACAGAGCCAGGGTCATGCCGACCGTCTTTCAGCCATCTGAGTCGTTTTCCCTGACTGTTGACGCTCGTCTGTGTCAAAACAAAGGCTGTGGCGGGGACAGTGTCTGTAGGGGAAGAGCTACACTCTGCGTTGCTGGGCGATCCGAGGGGCCCGAGTGTTTTGAAGTTCTTCCCGCGATTGATCCGATCGGGTCTAACAGCAATTGTTTTGGAGGTTTGACCAGTCAACAACTGGGTATAGCGCCTGCTGACCCTTCTGCTCTGACGGATCCGGTCCATAAAACAAACCCCTCTCCGTTGACATTCTCTACCAACCTGGGCTGTGCGTGAAGTAGATCGCTGGTCTTCTCTTAGGGAGGGCTTTCAGGCGTTCGAGTTCTGGCTGAACGTCGCCAACCGTCTGATTGGACCAGAACGTCGCCGGGCCGTCCGCCCACTGACGCGGACGTCCGCATCCCGTGCAGCCCGTCCGAGTACATTGAGGATTAGATCGATAAGAAGGAGCCCCTCTCCACTTGTTTGATGTTATGACTTGACAGTGCCAACCGTCCGACTATATTCGAATATGGCTAGTCGTCTGCTCCCTGACGCGGACGTCCGTGTGCCGTGCAGCCCGTCCGAGTACATTGAGGAGATGATCGACAAGCAGGAGCCGCTGCCCAGCGTGCTCCGCCTCCTCTGCCTGCTCTCGCTCACCTGCGGCGGCCTGCCGCGGAAACAGTTCGATTTTCTCAGGCAAGCCTCTCCGCAGACCTTTTGCTCCTCAATATTTCCTTATCCCTTGTTTTGATGAGGTGGCAGCTTTGTCTGGCGGCATCACTGTTTGCGCCAAAACGTTGAGGTTTGTTCCCAACGGGTCAAAGGGGGAGTGGAGTCCTTGCGATTGAGTTTTGCAATTGTGGCTTTGAGGAACAACAGCAAGTTGCAGGAGGACCCGCTGACCCGGTTTTCGGCAAAGGCAGCTCCCGCTTGATGAGCCTGTCAACGCTACACGCTTTTTCTCGCGAGTACTTTGTGCCACGCACAGCTTTGCGAAACCTGCGCCACCGCTCAGAAGTGCTTGACCGATTCCGGGCATCCGCTCGTGCAGACGGGAGATCCTGCAGAGCTACGGCTTTGAGTACACTTTCACGCTGAACAACCTGGAGAAGGCGGGCCTGCTACGAAGGCAGGTGAGACCAAAAGCTATCTACGGGGGAGAAGGGCAGACCACATTCCGGGGAGAGGGAGTTTAATTTTATGGTTGTTCTCAGTAGAGGTTTTAATGTACGGCGTAATGCATCCTGAACGTGGTGTGGTACGGCTAAATCACGGTTGTTTTACCAACGTCGATTGCAACGCGGCGACGTGGATCTTACTCGTCTACGGACCCCTCAAGCGTAAGAACGCGGCAATCAGCAACGTGATCAACGGTGACCTTACAGACGCCGTGACGGACATGCCTAACTCTGAGTCGTTTCCAAAGCTACAGCTTCTCCCGATCAACCTGCCAGCTTTAGTGTCATCTAGTGTAGACTAATTTCACTCTATAAATGACTGACTAAATTAGTCTAAGATTTCCACCAAAACTAGCAGGTTGCTCGGAAGAAGCTGTAAGAGTAAGAATGACATAAGTCCGCCTTAGTCTTCACAGATGGTGCGCTTTGCCGTCTCTCTTCGTTGAGGTTGGGCAACCACAAGGGTGCAGCCAGCAAAGGGTAGGGCGACCACTTCGTATCTCCTGAAGACGGACGGGGTCGCCGAAACAGCGCGTCTTTCAGCCATAGCGCAAATCTTGATGAAGAACGACGGAGATCCTGCTGTGGAAGCCCCAGCACTTCGAACCCGGAATTAAGGCTACCTTATTCCACCGCCGAATAGCTACAACGGTGCCAAAATTTCGCTCTTGTGTTTACCATTCAGACCAAGTCACTCATTCCGCTTCCCGTCCTGGTCCGCTGTTCAGGATGGGCGGAACACCTACCCGGCGGTTCGGCGTGCTCTGAAGCTGGTGGTTGAGGGCCAAGACGATTCCAAGTAAGGGTTCTCACGATTGATAATCAAACGTGAATTACGATCGCTATGCGGCCGGTTGACTGTAATCTGACAAGCTCCGTACATTAGACGGGTAATCGACACAGATGAACTCTCGCACAACAATCGGGTTTCCACTCATAGGAGAATGTCACCGGGGTCTTTTCCTAGAGTGCTGTTTCGGAAGTTTCCAGTATTCGCGGCGCTCATGTCAAATTAGACCTGTCGAAGGATTGGATCCACCAAAACGTCTTCGTCTTTGCAGTCCCACGGACATTTCGTACACCTTCTCGGGATACGCGCCCCTGAGCATACGGCTTATCCAACAGGCGCTACAAGATAGGTGGTGAGTTTCTCGGCCTCTTCGCCCTCCAATATTGCAGGCGGTAATGTTTCCGCAGCTGAACTTCTCAGAAGCGGCATCGCTGGCCTTTCAACGGCCGCCCAGCACTGACTCAAGGCGTTGGCCCGCTTTCCGCAATCCGCCGAGGACTCCGAAAAACACGTTTGTCAGGTCAGCGGATGTGTGCATTTTAGACGAGTCTATATCCTAAGGGAACGCCGGTGAATAAGGCGCTCTGCCCATGGCTGGACCGCATGCACCTCATTTGCATTCTTCCCCAGCTCCTTATAACCAGTATATGAAAGGCACGACGAGCCCCTGCAGCACGCGCGAATCATCAAGCCTTGTTTCGTTCTGACCGTCCGCCTGCAAAATCTCATGTCTGCCCGCAGAGCAGGATTCTTGCTCTGATGACTGATCGACATCATGATGTCAACGGCACCTGGTACTGAAGGTTTTGTTGTCGTCCAGCAACTTGTCAATTTGCTCCTCTTTCCTCTCCTACAGGAAAAGCATGGACGAGCTCCTTAGATCGTTGCCCGGGCCACACTTTGAAAAGACACAGGTAGGCGGCTCGGGTTTGGCGCTCTCGTGCATTCATCCCGTTGGGCTTCTGATAGAGAATGCAGACCCTCATTGCGAGTGTAGAGAAGAAAACAGAGAGAATGGATCCGAGCTTACGCCGAGAGTAGGGGAAAGGGACTGACGTTGCAGAGGGTGCTCAATTTTGGGCGAAATTTGCTAGAGTTGACGCTCGCTCGCGTTCTGGTCTAAAGAAACCCTCAAAGGTGCTGACAGTCTGCAAGATGCATCCATACATTCGACGACTTTTTATCGTGGTGGGCGCAATAGTCAAATCCACTCGCTGCGAAGCCACTCTACACCTCACACCTATCTCCCTTTTTCTCAGGCGCTAGACGCAGACGGGACGCCGGTGGAGCACGAGGCCCAGAGCATCAGCGTAGACAGGTAAGTTAATACATGCCTTATTCGTACTACGTAGCGGCTCCATGTTTGTTTGCTCATAAGTGGTCAGATCAGAGCTGTCTCTAACGGTTCCTCGGTGCACTTTCAGGATGGTAGAGATTTAATTCGACGCCAATATAGTAAGCAGATGGCAAGGCTTTCGGCACAACAAGACCCTGTGTCTTGCGCGCTTGACTTTCTGCTTCTCCACTGAGTTCTTTCGCCGGGTGCGTCTTCAGACACACTGAAATATGGCCCCGCAGCAAGGAACTAGAAGCGGACGTTTTTTTCGGTCGTGCAGGCCCGACGGTCAGCGCTCGCTCGTTCTCGTGGTCTTCCTGGGCGGGGTGACGTCAGCGGAGATATCTGCGCTGCGGTTTCTGAGCGGCCAGGTGAGCGGTCGGGTCTTTGAGCAACGGCCTCTCAGTAGCGCACCGTTCGCCAAAGCATACAATTGCTCTGAACTTCGTGACATTTCCTTTTCAAGTACTGCCCGAGCAGTACAGTCGCGGGCTTGTTGTTGGGGTTGTGTTCGTCTTATTAGACTGGGTCTGCATCGATTGCTTAGCGGCTTTGCAAAAGATGCTGCTTTTGAAAACCCTGCCCTAGTCGGACACATTTGAATCCCAAACGAGGTTGCATGTTGTGAAAGATAAAGATGTCATGGGGTGACATTGCTCCCCTCGATTATATGCTGAAGAATGGCTCATGTGCACATAAATTTGTACCAAGTTGGGTGGGTAAATCAGTTCTACGCGGCTGAATATCGAAAACCGCCCAATTCTACGCGATTGCAGGAAAATTCGAAACACGAATTCTTGGCTGCCACTACGAAGCTGGTGACCGGCACGTCGCTTCTGCAAACGTTAATAGACGACGACTGGCGGTTGAGGAACAACAAATGAATCCAGTCCTTCACGAGGGTGTGTACATAATCATCTTGTATAAGCTGGCCGAGCAAACGGAAATCTAGAGCGCACAATAAGTGCTGGCGGTTGACTAATAACAGAGGAGCGTAATCCTCACGAGCTTGTATATGTAATCAGAGTCAAAAGCTGGCCGTGGTGTTTGAGCTGGTGAGCAAATATGAGGGCTGACGCTTGAGAGACGAATCAAGGTTCGGGGCCAGGATACAATATGCATGGAAGTGCAGCTTATCGCCATTAGCCTTGCAAGCTGAAGTTGTAGCACCTTTATGCATGCCTAGTTGCAAGATTAGCACCTAAGCAGTTTTAAAGAGGTACACCTTCCTCTAAGTATCATAAAGCCTTTTAGAAGAACCCCACGATGTTCCTCTAAGGCCGATCGAGATGGAGTCCATAAAAGACACCATCAGCCAGGTTGCGAAAATGGATTTCCTCTACGGATAGGGTCATCGTGTTGAATGAGCCGTCGATATCTCTATCGATGGTTCTCCAAGCCCACTGCCTGGCTAACCTCTGCTTATGAGCCTCGCGGGCCCGGCTCTTATATACTGATCGTTGAAATTTTAATGCATTGTATAGCTGGTATTGATATATTAGCATTATGATTGTCAATCCCGACAGCCACATGGTACACAGCAACATTGCCAGGCTCCATACCACTGACCACTGGAGGCCAAAAGTATGGTGCCGCCATGCTACATCATTTACTATGTCTTCATTATGCATGAACGAAAAGCTGCCTCAAGTTCTTGAGTGGTATACAATGATGAGACGCTTCCCCAATCAAATCATCAGCTAAAATTCGCTTCCGCTAATCAGCAGAATTCATACTAGGTACCTAACTACCTATAATACGTACCATGCCCTAGCCTATAAGGGGCAAAATTGGTGAATCGCCTGTGGCCCGGGACGTCGCGAGCTCCGCGGCCGCACCGGGGGTTTGAAGGCTCACTCTACCCGCGCACATGCGTGGCACGTGGCCGGGCAGGCTTCTCTTCCGCAACTAGTAGCTGTGGTAGCACAACCAATAACAGGTGGGGTCCCACTCACATGGCAGGGGAAATGAAGAGACAACCGTCGAAGAGACAACAGAGCGAAAAAAGAGGAGAAAAGGAAAAACTTGAAAGAGAGATGGAAGGGAGGGTCTTTTGTATTGAGACGAAATGAGGAGTTTCAAGTGGCCCCCAGATGGCCGTTCGATATACGGTAGTGATGATTCTTGACCATCCGTTCTGTTGGTGCTTGCTCGAAATTAGCAAGCACAGACACATACACACACACACACAACATGAATCGTGCGAGAATGATGAATGACAGAATGATTTGGCAAGCGTGCTCGTGATGCTACAGAACGCTACATACAAGTAGCGGCCCGGGCCCACGGTCACGAATCAATTAACAAGGGCACATAGTGCCGAGTTCGAATCAATGAATACCTATCTAAACGGATTGGCACCCGCCAATCTAGCGTGTGCACAGCACAGCTTCTGACACCAGTCAGATGTGGACTGGAAGTTCTAAACGAAACAAGGACCGTGGGCCTAAACTACCACTAACGGGCCACTACAAACCACTGGATGTAAAAGTACAGCAAAGATACTAACGTGCACCCCTGAGATCTACCCTATCCTGCAAGCAACAAACCCGAAAATAGAATCGGTCCTCTCGCCGCCGCCGGGTGAGGCCGTTAAAAAACCCTCCGCCGGATCGGGTCCGCTCAGCGCGGGGCCACGTCATAGGTGGGGCGGCGCGACCTTGCAGTCTAACCAAACTTCATCGGACGAACGGGGCCGCAAGTTGAAACCCTCGATCATCTCCGCGCCGTCGATGACCAAACAGGAATTTAACGAGCAGTCATCGA